TGTCAAAAGTTGGGATGACTTCCTAAAAAACAAACGTAAGATGCCAAGCTATGCTTGTATTTTTAGCTTAGGATTAAATATAATAAAGCAACTGACATTAGCAAGGCATAAAAACAAAAGAACATGATATAATCAAGAAGCATTACCCTAGAAATCACACACGTGCAGTTCACAAACCCTTGGGCACACTGGACTCTCACACATCAGCACTTTCTCACTTGACTTAAAAGAGGTGAGTCTACAGTAGTAGTTCCTTCAGGCTGTGCTGGCATGACTGTAGGCTTTTAATTAGTAACACAAGCCCATACTTTCATGTCTTTTCCTCCATACCAAAATGATAGCAAGGTAGGTTAAATCATAATTCTTACTCAAATTTGTTAACACCTGCTGTCCGTTCTATAGATGAGGAAATGGCTGCTCAGAAGCTGAGGAACTGAGCCAAGGTTACACACAATTCAGCAAAATCAATATTTAATAACAAGTCTGCTTGCCTCCAAAGCCTACAGCTATTAATAGGATCAGTGTAACTGATGCTTTGTTGATCAAGCCTGACCTTAAGCCCAGAGAAGACTGTAGTATGGTTAACACATCCTGTTAAGACATGTCAGGTGTGTGACCATTTTCATTTAAGATATTTTACATCATCAAACCCAACACACTATTGTGAGTCACTATTACCTTATGTATATATGAAGAAACACTGCCAAACTATGACATGCTAGCCAAAGTAACACATATCTTGATTTTCAATGTTAATATGTAAAAAAAAAGTGTTCAACTTAAAAAAGAAAGAACATGGTTTAAGGAGTTTGTGGCGAAATTCCCTAGCAGTCCAGTCATTTGGACTCCAACTTCCACTGCAGAAGGTATGGGTTCAATGCCTGGTTGGAGAACTAAGATCCCACATGCCATGAGGCATGGCTAAAGGAAAAAAGAGAAAAACAACAAAAAGGTTCTTTGAGGCATATTCTATTTATAAAAAATTTTTTTTTTAAATTCTCATTGCCTTTTTTATTGGGATAATTGTAGATCCACATGCAGGTGTAAGAAATATAAAGATCTCTGACTCTGCCCAGTTTCCATTAATGATAACATTTTGCAAAAAGTCTAATATCACAAGCAGATATTAACTTGGTACAATTCACTTATATTCAGATTTCCCAGCTTTACATGTATTCACTCTTGTATGTATATGTGTGTATTCAGTTCTATCAATTCTATCACCTGCATAGATTTATGAATCTGTCACCATAGTTAAGGTACTGAATAGTCCTTCAAAGCCACCAAGATCCCTATGTTGTCCCTCTGTCACCAAACTGAGCTCCCCCTCCCCTATTCCTTCTCTGTAACCCCAAGGAACTACTCATATGTCCATCTCTAAAATTCTTTCATCTCAAATGTTATGTAAGTGGAACCATACATTAACATTACCTTTTGAATGTGTATGTAACCTTTTGGAATTGCTCCCGTGGGATCCATCCAAGTCACAGTATGTTTTACCTCTGAGGCACGTTCCAGACTGGCCATACCACAGCTGTTTGCCCACAACTGACCTGAAGGACATCGGGGCTGATTCCAGCTATGAACATCTGTGTACAGGTTTTTATGTGAACATAAGTTTTTGTTCTTCTGGGATAAATTTCCAGATATGCAATTGCTGTGTCATATGATGGTTATATGTTCACTTATTTTTTTCTAATTGGAGTATAATTACTTTACAGTATTGTTAGTTTCTACTGTAAAAAGTGAATCAGCCCTAAGTGTACACACACACCTTCCTCACTACTATGCTCTCAATTTGTCCCATCCTCTCATCCCCTGTAGTGTCCACACACACACACACAGACACAGGCACTCTGCAGGCATATTCTGTTACTGAGAAGACTGCTATCCAGAAACCCTGCAGATGTTCTAGATGTTTACTGTAGTTTGCCAAGGTCAAAGCCAAATTCTTACCTGTGGGTAGCAGATGAGCTGTCTGTAGAGATTTGTATCAAATGATTTTATGTGTTCACAGTTTACATTTAAAAATGGCTCTCCAGTAACATTAATCTATAGAATAGAACAAACAAGTTATATTCTGCTCATTGTTTTAAATCAGTTAATTTGAATTTTTAGGTAAGCATATTTCATTACCTCTCCAAGTCGCTGCATGTACAGAGGTTCAGTAATGTCTATGCCAACATTTTCTTCTTCTTTAGCCAGAGGATCAATGAAACGCTGAAGAAATCTCTGAACATAGAGAAAGATTAAGTTTAATGCAGTTAGGAATAAGCAGCTACTCAAATTATGGGTACTGGGGTGCATGTATCTTTTCAAGTGCCCATCAATAAACAACTGGCTTAAGAAGATGTGACGGGACTTCCCTGGTTCCAGTGGTTAAGAATTCACCTGCCAATGCAGAGAATGAGATCCACCCTTGGGAAGAGCCCACATGCCTCGAGGCAACTAAGCCCCACAACTACTGAAGCTCATACAACCTAGGGCCCATGTTCTGCAATGAGAAGCCACAGTAGTGAGAAGGCCACGTAGCACAACTAGACATAGCCCCTGCTCACTGCAATGAAAAGCCCCAGTGTGGCAACAAAAACCAGGCACAGACACACACACACAAAATGACCATATATGTGTTTATATAAAATGGACTACTACTCAGTCATAAAAAATAAATATCGGCCACTTGCGGCAACACAGATAGGTGCAGACAATATTATACTTAATGAAGTAAGTCAGACAAAAACAAGTACTATGTATCACTATCACTTATGTATGTAATCTAAAAAATAACACAAATGAGTCTACATACAAAACAGAAACAGACTCACACAGAAAAGAAATGTATGGTTACCAATAAGGAGGGGGAGAGGGGAAAGGAGGGTAAATTAGCAGTAGGGGGTTAACAAACAGAAGCTACTTTATATAAAATAGAAAAGCAACAAGGATCTACTATTTAGCACAAGAAACTATGTTCAATATCTTATTAGTAACCTATAATTAAATAAAATCAGAAAAAAAAAGTATCACTGTAACTGAATCACTTTGCTGTATACCTGAAACTAACACAATATTGTAAGCCAACTGGACTACACAAAAATAATAGTAGGAGTGGTGTCAGAATTTGAAAACAAGCATGTTTTCTCTTCCTAAAAACTACATCTATGATTCTGAGCCATGTAAGCACCTGTGCCTAAACACTGGGGCACTTGGACATAGGTCCAAGAAAATGCTCCCACATTTTCCAAGCTTGGAGGAATGATACCTCACCTGAAAGTTTTCTTTGCACGTTGCCACGTTTACATCTGTTCCCCAAATCACGAGTTTTTGGCCCAAGGACTGCTCGCTCGCCACTGTATCTTCTGCGGCCGGCTGCACAGGAAAAGGCGACGGGAGCCGGTTCGGGGGACCGCCCGCATCGCGCACCCCACCGCGCCCTGACCGGCCCTGAACTCACCCCGTCCGAGTGCAGGTCCACCTGCAGCCCCTTCCGGGCCGAGCCCAGGTCGGGTCTCTGCCGCACGGGAGTGCCGCGCACGCCGCTCCTCGGGGTGCCCTCCACCCGCGAGCTGGGGGTGCCGTAAGTCAGCGGCGAGCTCAAGTCCAGGTCCAGGGGGACCGCTGGGGATCGCATCCACACGGGTGAGCCAGAGTGGGGGTGGGGGAGGAGCCCAGCGGATCGTCCACTCCCCCCGCCAGGTCCCCGCCCCCCCGCCGACTCCCAACCGGGCAGCTCACCTGCGGGCGGCGCGCGGGACGGGGTGCGGGGCTCGGCGCCAGGAGACGAGGGCAGCGGCTGCGGCTCCCCGGACGAAAAGGGGTCCTGGCCTGCGGGGGTGGAGGGCACCGCGGCGTCGGCGCGGGCGGCACCCGGCCCGTACAGGGGCTGACCCGGCACCGCCCGCCCTCCCAGGGGACCCCGCGGGGCACAGCAGGGACCAGACACTCACGTGGCTGAGCTGGGGCGGCCCGCCGGGAGCCGCGGCGGCTCGGGGTAGATGCAGGAGACGACATGGCGGTCTGCGCAACAGGGACGCGGGTTTGCGTGGACGCTCCCTACAGACCCCCGCCCCTCTTTCTTCGCTCCTGTCTTCCCTCCCCTCAACTCTTACACCCCCGCGACCCCCCGGCCGACCCCAACCACCCCCCCACTCCAAACTCCTCCCGGGCCCACCTAAGGTGCGCGTTTCAGCTCCTCTTCAGCGGTACGCAGATTTCCCGCCGGCGGCACCGTTGGCTCCGCCCCCAGCGGCGGCTCACCAATCGCGGCAGTGTCCTCGCGCGGACCCGCCCCCGGAAGACACCACTGGGCAGCGATAGGGGGAACTCGACGGCCTCAGCCCGCGCCCCGCAGGACACCTACGCACAACTGGCTCGGCGCTCCCCCTCTAGAATGGTCTTGTCCGCAACGGGAACACGATTTCGCGGGAAATCCGTGGAGGCAGCGTTCGGGGCGGGCCCCCACGGCTGGGGCTAGTTCCTGTGTCCCTTTGGATTCCAAACGACCGCCCCCACCCAGACCCCCGTTACCAAGGACTAGCAGTGGCCCCTGACCCGAGCCCTAGCCTGTCTTTCTGCCTCGGGCACTTGGTCACCTCCAGCTCGCCCCCTGTCCTCCGCACCTATTTCCGGAGGTCGAGCGGTTGGGTTCCTGACTCTCCCGAAGTTTGAATGCATTGTGCTCTGTGTATATTAACTTAGGATGTCTAAGCCGCCTGTCCTACAGGGCGGGCCACCTCCTCGAGGATCTCCAGCAGGGACCCCACGCCCGCATCCAAGTCCGGAGCATTACGGGGTCCAGGGTGGGTGTGCTTGGGGATCATGGATCCCTCTCCCCGACCCACTAAGGCCCCCATTCAGCCCAGCACCTCCCCCCCTAGTCCTACAGGCAGGGCCGGGCCCAGGCAGCTGTGCGCACGCGCCGGAAAACCCGCCCTTTCCCGCCCCTTCCCGCCCCGCGACACTTCCGGTCCCGGCAGGGAAAGTGGTGTTCGCGGCTGGAGGTTATGGCCGATTCGGGGTCCGGCGTGCGGGCCTCCCTGCTGCAGCTACAGGAGTCCCTGTCCTCTGCCGATCGCTGCGGCGCGGCGGTGGCCAGTGGTCAGCTGCTGCGGGGCCTGGGGCAGGAGTGCGTACTGAGCTCTGGCCCCGCGCTTTTGGGTGGGTACAGCTCCGGGCTCCGGACGGCCGGTGCCCGGCAGCCCGCTCGAGTCCGAGTGGGCACTCGGGGTGGTGCTTGAACTGGCCCGTGGGAATTTGGGATCTGTGTAAAAGTGTTTGTCAATTGCCTCTTCTTAACGCCAGAAGAAAGGTATTTCAAAGCCTGAGGTGGTGGAAATGCTCTGAATTTGGCATTAGTGCTAACCACGGTGGGGAGCGACGATGAGAGGAAAGTTTTCTTCTTCGACCTCATTGTCGTCTCAACCCACCAGCACCTTTTCCAAACCCCAGTTTTGCTGTTTCTTCTTTTGAGAAGCAAGTCATGCTCTTAACTCTTAATGTGTCTGCGTGAAAACTTCGGTTACACTCCCTTTTAAAAACAAACATGCAGACTTCATGATGCATCCTCTTAATTTGAAAATGAGATTTTCTTCCGAAAACGTCATTGTTAATAAAGAGGAGAAATAAACCCTTGAAGAGATTGCTGTGTAGTACCTACAGACTGCCATGGTGTGTTCATGAGGACAGCATCACTGTGTAAATGCTTTCCAGTCTGTTCTAAGAGTTAAGTTTTGCTCCTTTAGTAACCTTGTAAAGCAGTTCCAGGTTCAGTCTCTCCTATCCAGGATGTGTCCTTTCACTTGAGGGATTGTAGGGCTGTCTACTAGTTTCCTGTTGGTCCTGAAACACACCACATACTTAGTGTTTACAACAGCACAGGTTTGTGGGTTACCGGTCTGTGGTTGGAAGCGAGCAGGGATCTCATGAAGCTAAAACTGAGGCAGCAGGCAGGGCCACTCCTTTTTTGAAGCCCCTGGGGGAGAATTAATTTCCTTTTCATTCAGGTTGTTAGCAGAATTCAGTTCCTTGCAGTTGTAGCCCTGAGGATCCTTCTTTCTTCTGGCATTCCTTGTTTCCAGAAGACACCTGCATTTCTTGGATCACGCTGCCCCCCTCCCTGCTTCCTCCATTTTCAAAGCCAGCAGCAGAGGGTCAAGTTAGACTCCTGGGACCTGTCCTGCTTGCCTTCCCATCTGCTTCTCCTCTTTCCACTTGTGAGGGCCTTTGTGACTGCATTGGGCCCCCTTGATGACCCCGAAGTGAAGTGAAGTGAAGGTCGCTCAGTTGTAACCAACTCTTTGAGACCCCATGGGCTATACAGTCCATGGAATTCTCCAGGCCAGAATACTGGAGTGGGTAGCCTTTCCCTTCTCCAGGGGAACTTCCCAACCTAAGGATGGAACCCAGGTCTCCTGCATTGCAGGCAGATTGTTTACCAGCTGAATCACAAGGGAAGCCCTGGTGACCCAGTTTAAAGTCAGATGATGGGCAGCCTTAATTCCATTTGCAACCTAATTTTCATTCGCTGTGTAAAGTTAGCACGTTCACAGGTATGACGCTAGGCATCAGAGTTCTGGCCTCTGGGGCCATTATTCTGACCTTATCACTGTGGAACATTGTCTAGAATTTCCCATTTTCCTTGTCAAGGCAGATTTGGGCTTGTGTTTTGTCACTTAAGAGGCTGAATTGAGAAACAAGCATCACCTTAAGTGTGTGTTTATGGAGAACCTTGGCAGCTTTCTTACTTTCTTTTTTTTTTTTTCCCAGCATTACACACTTCCTTAGTTTTTTCCAAAGATTTTGGTTTGCTTGTATTTGTTCGGAAATCACTCAGCATTGATGAAGTAAGTTGACCGTTTTCATTTTGCTCTTCTAGTGTATGTCTCTTCATGTTGAGGTGACTTTTTTTAGCCCATGTTTTCATAATGTTTATTTCTTTTATTATAGTTTCGTGATTGTAGAGAAGAAGCCCTGAAGTTTTTATGTATTTTCTTAGAAAAAATTGGCCAGAAGATCACACCTTATTCTCTAGATATTAAGGTAAGGAACTTACCTCTTTATATATCAGCGTCCCTTTTAACTTATATGAAAAATTACATGGTAACTTACATCATAACTTAACATGGTTAAGCTTAATTTTATTTCTGCCTTTCTTGTTGGGTAGTTTACTTATTTTTGCTTGATTGTGTTAGAAATTAAGTGTCTTAATTTTTTAAACATTTAACGTGCTGAGGCCCTTGTGGAAAGCTATTAAAGTGTAGTATGTCAAATATTGGTATTTCTTCTCCCAGGTGAAGATTTAGCTATTAAGTCTTAGTTACAAGAAGTAAGATCTTATTGATGATTTTGATGTCTCCTTTTAAATCCTAGAATACTTGTACCAGTGTTTACACAAAAGATAAAGCTGCTAAATGTAGAGTTCCAGCCCTAGAACTTCTTATTAAGGTAATTTAAAAAATATTTCTAAGTGCATGTATTTTATCGTACACATATAATTTGAACTGAAAATTAGAGTCGTGGGTGAGAGATGCTGAGGACTCCCATTGGTGTGAGAAGGTGCCTGTTTCCAGCCATCACCCAGCAGCACATTGGTGTTCTGCCCTCACACCACTCTGGGTAGCAGAGGAGAAATTTGGGCTGTGAGGGGCAAGAAGTGAAAAGTGAAAGTCGCTCAGTCCTGTCTGACTCTGAGACCCCATAGACTATATAGTCCATGGAATTCTCCAGGCCAGAATACCGGAGTGGGTAGTCTTTACCTTCTCCAGGTGATCTTCCCAACCCAGGGATCAAACCCAGGTCTCCCGCATTGCGGGCGGATTCTTTACCAACTGAGCTATAAGGGAAGCCCTTACTCTGAAAACCTAATGCTTCTGAGACTTGCCCAGATTCACCTCATTGTGTCCTTGAATGTTTTCTTGAAACCTTACACTCACACTCCGAAGGGTCTGTGTGTTGTGTGTATGTGGTCGTTGGACTCACCCTCACCTGGGTCTCTGCTTAGATGCATGTCTTTTTTTTGCATCTCTGTTGTACAATTTCTTTGGGTCTTGTTGGTCCTCAAGTGCCTCTGAGGGAATGGGTCTAGTCATAGGATAATTTTCTTGGGAAGGTGAGATTAAGTCTGCATCCCTTTACACTTGGCCTCCCCTGTTTCTCCACCACTCACCTCAGCCCCTCATCCCACATAACCTGGCTTGACGCCGAGCGTGAGTGCCTGGAGACGATGGCCGTGGAGCATGGCTGTGAGAGAATAGGCGCAGTAGACGGAAGCCTTCCGTTTCTTCCTCCTAGACTCTGCTAACTCGTGCTCTTTCAGTTACTTCAGGCTCTGAGGAGCTCTAGACTCATGGATGAATTAGGGGTTGGAGAGTTATTTACCAAATTCTATGGGGAACTTGCATTGAAAGCAAAAATACCAGATACAGGTAAGATGAATTTAAATGTGACTTTAAAATGTTTTAACAAGTTTAAAAAGTTTTTAGTGTAAAACTTGTTTTTTTTCTGCCAAAGTATTTATGTTTTACAGATGAACTTTTTTTTTTGACTTTTATTGCAGTATAGTTGCTTTACAACATTGTGTTAGTTTCTATTGCACAAAAAATGAATCAGTTCTCTTTTTTTGGGATTTCCTCTCCATTTAATACAGATGAATTCTTTTTGCTGAGAAGAAACCAAAATGGAAACAAATAATGTGTTAAATCTGCTTGTAAAAATTTTAATCTATACAAAATGATTTCTTCAAATAGAAAACTCACATGTCAAATGTAATTTAGCTTATAATAATAAATTCACATAAAACATATGAGGAAAGATTCAGTATATAAAACTAGATAGTTTGTGTGGCTTATTGTTAAATTATTTTGAAGTAAAATCCTCTCCTTTTCTTATTTGTGCATTTGTGCTTAATTTATTTAATTTTAAGGCCTTAATTTGTCTAAAATTTATTTTTCAGTTTTAGAAAAAATATATGAGCTCCTAGGAGTATTAGGTGAAGTTCATCCTACCGAGATGATAAACAATTCGGATAAACTCTTTCGGGCTTTTCTGGGTGAACTTAAGACCCAGGTATGATAAACTTTATGAGCTTCTTTTCTGCTTCCTTGTATCTGGTGGGCTTTTCTCTTTTTATGGTACCTTGTTAAACTCTCTTTTCAGATGACATCGACAGTGAGAGAACCCAAATTTGCGGTGCTGGCAGGGTGTCTGAAGGGACTGGCATCACTTATGTGTAACTTCACCAAGTCCGTGGAGGAAGGTATTGCTTGACGGCACTTGAGTTTCTTTATTTAAGAACTACTAGTCTGAAATGAATTCCTGTGTGATCTTTGAATTTTATACCAGTTGTGGATTCACATGCAGTTGTGAGAGGCAATGCAGAGATCCACGTGTGTCCTTCACCTGGCACCTCCTGGTGACGCCTGTCATGATGTAGTGCAGCCTGATGGACCTTTGGGTCTTGCTCTGTTCGACGTGATTCCCGTGCACACATTTGGGTGTTGAATTTGGTTCTGTGCCACTTTATCGCATGTGGGCTAGTGTGTGCCCATGACAGTTGAGACCCTGGCAGCCTGCTGCGTGTCTGCCCAGGCATGATGTCTGCCCAGGAAGGATGCCTGTCCTGTAGCCACATCCCCCTCCCTTCCTCCCACAGCCACTGCTCAGTCTCCCATCTTGAACTTTGTCCTTTCAAGTTTATGTAAATAGACTCATAGCAGGTAACTTTGTGGCTGCCTTATTTCACTGTGCATAAGGTCTTCAAGGTTCACCCATTGTAACTATATGAATATAGTACACGTATATCCATTGGGCCATCAGTGAGTACTTGGGTTGCTTCTGCTTTTTTGACTGTTCTGACTGATGCTGCTGGAAATGGGTGTGTGAACACCTGGAGTCCCCGCATTCCCTTCGGGCATCCCCAGAGGTGGGCTTGCGGGCCCACGTGGTGGTTCTGTAATTTCCAGGGGCTGCACTAATTCCCGTTCCCACCATCAGGGCACAGTCTCTTCATGTCCTCAGAGTACTTGTTTCCTGTTGTTTGATCGTAGCCTTCCTAGTGAGTGTGGGGTGGTTTCTCCCTGCATCTCCCCTGTGGCTTTTGGTGTTGAGTGTATTCACAAGTGCCTCTTGCCCACTTGGGTGTCTTCTTGGTTGAAATGTCTATTCAGGTTCTCTGCGCATTTGAAAAATCAGATCATTTGACATTTTGTTACTGAGTTGTATGAGTTATTTATGTATTCTGCATATTGGTTCCTTATGGAATCATAATTTGCAAATATTTTCTCCCATTCCATGGGTTGTCTTTTCACTCTGTTGATTGTGCCATTTGATGTGCAAAGGTTCTTCATTTTGATGAAGTTGACTTTATTTTTTCTTTGGTTGCCTGTGATTTTCATGCCACATGCATGAAATCATCACCAAATCACTGAATCATTGTGTCTTTGTAGAAAGCCAGTTGGGCATTAGCTGATCGGCTCATCACTTGTGGGGGTGGATCCTGATTCTCTGTTCCCCTGCCCACATCACACGGTCTTTATGATATAATTATATAGTGAAGTTTTAAATGTCCACTGTAATTCTCACATTTTATTTTTAAAAAATCATTTGGGGAAAAAAAAAATCATTTGGGTATTATAAGGTCTGTGCCTTTCCATGTAAATCTTAGAACAGATTGGTCTGTGTCGACAAGTCTTGCTTGGATATTTGTGGTCTTTGTGCTAAACCTGTGGATTAGTTGATACCTTAACCATGTTGAGTTTTCCAGCCCATGAGCACAGTGCACCTCTTCGTTTAGTTGAGTTGGGTCCTCTTTGATTTCTTTCATTAGCATTTTGTAATTCTTGGGCTGCAGATCCTTGTCTCTTGGTTTTAAACTCTGTTTATTACAATTTTCTTTGTAACTGTCAGTAGTGTTCTTCTATAGTATCTTAAATTTAAGCTTAGAGGATAATCTAGCTATGAGAGCATTATAATGAATTCATTTCTTTTTAAAGGAAAAATAAAACTTCTTAACTCCAGAAAATTCTTTAAAAGAAGAACTTGTTTGCTATTCCTTACTATTTTTGTTCAGATAATTGCCAGATTTTTCTACCTCCTGCAAATGTGCTTGCTTTTGTTGAATTGCAACTTAAGAAATTGGCAGATCTGATCATTTCAACCTGAGGAAACAGCAGTTTCTAACGTTTCAGCCGGGTGTTCCCAGTCTTTGCTCCCTCTGAGTAGAGAAGCTGGCCCAGCTGCTCCTGCTTCCCCTCCTTGGTCTCCTTTCTCTGGCTCCCTGTCCATGGAGCATCCCGCCCTCTCAGCTTCCTGCTCAGGGATCTCCTGTTTTCCAAAGCCTCTGTGATTCCCTGTGTGAGCCGCTTCCTTGGGCTTCTGTAGTCCTCTTTGTTACAGCACTTTCTGCGACGTGTTTTTCATTTCCTAGGCAGTCTATTTTGTCACTTGACCTTGGTGGCAGGTGACGTTGCTTATTTCTGTTTGTCTTCGCTTGGCGAGTTGACATTCGGTGAACAAGAAAAATAATAGCACTTATTGCTCATTAACCATGTGCTAAGGATTATCCTGTTCATGTTGCAAGGGATATCCTGTAACAACTCACTAAAGCAGGTGATAATATGTTTGTTTCCCAGATTAGAACACTGGACCGAGGTGGGCAGAGTAATGGCTTCCAAAGATGTGCCATGCTGATCCCAGCCCCTCGACTGTCAGGTCCGTGGCAGAGGGAAGTCAGGTTGTGGACGGGACGTTGAGACTGTCCAGGTGAACCCAGTGTGATCACAGGGGCACTTGACTGTGGATGAGGGTCAGGGTTAGGGTGCTGTGACGGGAGAAGCTGGCTGTGAGGATGGAGCTGGGGCCCCAAGGCAAGGAGGGCGAGCAACCTCTAGAAACTGAAGGCAGCCCTCAAGCCTCTAGAAAGGAGCACACCCTGGTGACTGCTTCCTTTGTGTTATTTTAATGATTTATTCTTTTATTTTTCTGGCCGTTCTTTGCAGCTTGTGGGATCTTAGTTCCCTGACCAGGAATCGAACTTGGACCCCGTGCGTGAACGCACCAAGTTCTAAACCAGGAAATTCCCTATTTTATTTTTTAATTGAAGCATAACTGCAGCCCAGTATTGTGTTACTTCAGGTGTACAGCATAGTAATCTGACGATGAAACACCTTAGGAAATGATCACAACAAGTCTCAATGTCTGTCACAAAAGTTGTTATGACAGTGCTGACTGTACTCCCCAAACTGTGAGTCACGTCCTTATCATCACCGGTGTCTCTCATGCTCCCCACTCTGGCAACAAACAGTTTGCTCTCCGTGTCTGTTTCTGTTTTTCTGTGTTTCTTTGTTCTTTTAGATTCCACATTTAGGTGAGATATCAGGTTACTTGTCTTTCCATGACTCTGCTTCACTTAGCATAATGCCCCCTAGGTCCATCTGTGTAGCAGCAAATGGCAAGACTTCACTCTTTCTTGCGGCTGAATAGTATTCCTACAAATACATATACCTGCACATTCACCACATTTTCTTTATCCATTCTTTGGTCGATGGGCACTTAAACGTTGCTTCTGTGTTTTGGCCATTGTAAATAATGCTGTTCTGAATACTGGAGTGCATATATCTTTTCTAATTACTGTTTCTGTTTTCTTTGGATAAGTACCCAGAAGTAGAATGCTGGATCATGTGGTAGTTTTAGTTTTTTGAGGAACTTCCACTCAGTTTTCCACAGTGGCTGCACCAGTTTCATTCCCTTCAGCAGTGCATGAGGTTCCCTTTTCTCCACATCTTCGTCAATACTCTTTATTTGTTGTCTTTTTGATGACAGCCACTCTGACAGGTGTGAGGTGAGATCTTGTGGTTTTGGTTTGCATTCCCCTGGTTAGTGATGTTGAGCATCTTGTACCTGTTGGCCATCTTTGTGTCTTTGGGAAAATGTCTATTTAGATCCTCTTCTCATTTTTTATTTTTATATTTTTTTTGTTTAAATGTATTTATGTTTAATCGGAGGATTATTTCTTTACAGTGTTGTGTTGGTTTCTGCCAAACAGCGGCATGAATTAGCCATCTGTGTATGTATGGCCTCTGCCTCTTGAACTTCCCTCCCACTTCTCACCCCACCCCACACCTCTGTGTTGTCACAGTCCGCTCACTTTTTTTTACTGAGTTGTTTTTTTTTTAATGTTGAGTTCAGCATGCACTTTGGATGTTAACCCCTTATTAGCCCTGTCATTTACAAGTATCTTCTCTCATTCATCAGACTGCTTTTCTGTTTTGTTGGTGGTTTCCTTCCCCATGCAGAAGCCTTTTAGCTTGATGTAGTCCTGCATGTTTTTGCTTTTGTCATCCTCTCGTGAGGTAACTACCAGGGGGTGCCAGTGGTAAAGAGTCTGCCTGCCAGTGCGGGAAATGTAAGAGATAACAGGTTCGATCCCTGGGTTAGGAAGATACCCTGGAGTAGAAATGGCAACCCACTCCAGTGTTCTTGCCTGGGTAATCCCATGGACCGAGGAGCCTGGCAGGCTATAGCTCATGGGATTGCAAAAGAGTCAGACATGACTGAGCACACATTCATGCATGCATGAGGTAACAGATCAAAAAAAGTATTACTAAGACTGATGTCAAAGAGTACTGTGTATGTTTCTTCCAGGAGTTTTGTGGTTTCAGATTATAGGTTTAGGTCTTTAATCCATTGAGTTTATTTTTGTATGTGGTGTAAGAAAAGGGTCAAGCTTCATTCTTTTGCATGTAGCTGTCCAGTTTTCCCACCACTATTTACTGAAGAGGCTATCTTTTCTCCATTGTATATTCTTGCCTCCTTTGTCATAGATTAATAAATCATATGTGTGTGGGTTTTTTTCTGGGCTTTCTATTCTGTTTCTTTGATCTGTGTTTCTGTTTTTTGTTTCAGAACCATACCGTTTTGATTACTGTGGCTTTGCAGTGTAGTTTGAAATCAGGGCACACAATGCCTCCAGCTTTGCTCTTCTTTCTCAGTGACTGTTTTGACTATTTAGAGTCATTCGTATTTCCATTCAAATTTTTTGTTTATCTTTTCCAGTTCTGTGAAAAATGCCATGGATACTTTGATACAGATTGCATTAAATCTGTCAACTGCTTTGAGGAGTGTGGACATTTTCTCAAAATTAGTTCTCTCTGTGAGCACAGTATACTTTTCCATTTATTTGTATTGTCTTCAGTTTCTTTCATTAATGTCTTAGAGTCTTCAGGGTATAGATCTTTGACCTTCTTGGTTTAACTTATTCCAAAGTATTTTATTCTTTTAGGTATAACTATGAATAGGATTGTTTGTTCAATTTTTCTTTATGATAGTTTATTATTAATGTATAGGAACACTATACACTTCTGTATATTAATTTTATATTCTACAGCTTTACTGAATTCATTTATTCTAATTGTTTTTTGGTTCGTGCAGTCTTTAGGATTTTCTATATATAGTATGTCATCTGCAAACAGTGACAGTTTAACTTCTTCCTTTCCACTTTGGATCCCTTTTATTTCTTGTCTGACTGCTCTGACTAGGACTTCCAATCCTAGGTTGAATAAAAGTAGTGAGAGTGGTCATCCTTGTGTTGTTCCTGATCTCAAAAGAAATGCTGTCAGCTTCTCAGCATTGAGTATGACATTGGGTCTGGGTTTGTCATGTACGACCTTTACTGTGTTGAAGTATATTCCTTCTTTATCCACTTCATTAAAAGTTGTTATCACAAATGGATGTCAGTTTCGTCAGAAACTTTTCTTAATCTATTGAGATGGTCATATGATTTTTAGTTCTTTGTTGAAGTTCTTACTGTGTTCTTATATTCTTCTCCTGAGTTCAATGAGCATTTTTATGACCATTGCTTTGAAATTTTTTTCTGGGAAGTTACTTACCTCTGTTTTTCTCAGTTCTTTTTTTGAGGTTTTTGTCTTGTTCTTTCTTGTAACATGACCTTTGGCCTCTCGTCCTGCCTAATTCTCTATTTGTTTGTGTTTGGTAGTTCAGCTACGTTTCTTGGTCTCTGTGTAGAAGGTGTCCTGTGGGGTCCAGGAGTGCAGCTCCGCCCCTCCCCTGGACTGCCCTGGAGCCGGTCACTCGGGAGCATCTCCTGGGGGCCACTGTGCTGTGGTTTCTAAGGCCTGGTTACTTCTGTGGCTGGTGCTCTGGTGTGTGGGGGCAGCCTGGGGGCAGGAGCCACTTTGGGGATGCTGGTGCTGACTGAGGTGTTGACACGGCAGGGGTCACTTTGGAGGGGTCCTGGTACCAGCCAGGGGCCCGAATAAGGGCTGGTGGGGGTGCAGCTTGGAGGAACACCAGCTGTGTCAGGTCTACAGATGAAACTGGGTGGGGTGAATGGTGCTGCAGGCTTAGATGGAGAGTCAGACCCTGCACCTCGTCTTCTGGGTGCAGGGTCTCCAGCTGGGGAGCTGAGGTGGAGTCCAGACCCTGGGGTCCCAGTGCTGGGGGTGGGCCTGACAGCATCACCCTCCTCCAGGGGCCACTCCTTCTGTCTCCAGTTGTGAAAGGTCTGTCCTGTTGTCTTCAGGTCTTTCTCTGGGTTTTCTGCTTGTGTCTGTCATGTTGGTTCCAGATTGCTCACCTCCAGAACTGTGTGGTAGTGAGTTTGTGTTGTTTTAAGGCTCAAAGTTTGTGATAATTGGTTATAGCGGTAACAGGAAACTAATGTAACCAGTGCATGGCAGGACTGGGACTTCAGCCTTAGTCTGAGGCTAAAATTCAGTTTTGGGCCAGGTTGTGATTATGTGACTTCGGGTAGTAGTACTGGGTACTGGCACGTTCATTAATGGAAGAAGAGGTCCTGCTGTCTCCAGCAGAGCGGTGGGTCATGAGAGTCTCATGAGGTTTGCCAGACACACCTTATGATTTGTGACAGCGGCTGCTTTCTTTCTTTCCTCAGATCCCCAGACTTCAAGAGAGATTTTTGATTTTGCATTAAAGGCAATCCGTCCTCAGGTAGGATTCAGTATTCTAATTCTTTCACAACTGAGCCTTGTGATTGTCTAACATTGATGGTAGTTTTTTTTCTTTTAATAGATTGATCTGAAGAGATACGCCGTGCCTCTGGGTAAGATTCTACATTTAAGGAGGCTATTAGGTTGGCGCCTGAGCGAACGTTTCCTTAAACTGTGAGTGACGGTGGTGCTGTGACCCCTGTGATGCTCCCACGTGGTCACTGATGGCAGCTCTTGTGCTGTTCAAGATGGTCACACTAAGATTACACCATTTCAGAGGAAATCACTTTAGAGCAATTCAGATTGTTTGATTCTGTCTTTATTTAAATAAATCCTGATCCTACTTCTCTTCTTTTTTAATTAATTTATTTTAATTGGCGGCTAATTACTTTACAATATTGTACTGGTTTTTGGCATACATTGACATGAATCAGCCATGGGTGTACATGTGTCCCCCGTCCTGAACCCCCCTCCCACCTCCCTCCGCATCCCATCCCTCAGGGTCATCTCAGTGCACCAGTGCTGAGCGCCCTGTCTCATGCATCAAACCTGGACTGGCGATTTGTTTTGGGGGTCACTGGCTGGATTGTGGGCCTCTTGATTCAAATGGAGGATGGAAGCATCAGATGTGAGGGGACCCCAGGCCCCTAAAGTAAGGATTCAGGGGCTTCGTGAGCACAGTTTTGGTTTGATGTGTGCCTGAAGCTTTCTTAGTTCTTTGTCCTGCCCTTTGTCATCCTGTTTTAAATACAGTGTGTTCTGTGTTTGCAGCTGGCCTGTCCTTATTCACCCTGCATGCATCTCAGTTTAGCACCTGCCTTCTGGACAACTACACTTCTTTATTTGAAGTCCTGTCGAAGTGGTGCAGCCACATGAATGTGGAATTGAAGAAAGCTGCACACTCAGCTCTGGAGTCTTTTCTGAAACAGGTACTATGTAAAACTCTATGCAAAGACATAAATTCCAGTCTTGTGCATGAACATTTGAAAAAAAAATACAAGTTGGTCCATTAGCTTCTGAGAGAAGCTTTAAAGAGAAAAGTTGGTTATCCCTCTGCCGCAGGAGTGGCGGCAGGTTTGGAGAAAAGAAAGCTTGAAGACATCAAGTCTGATCAGGTCCTTAGAGCCAAGGCTGGACAAGAGAGTGAGGAGGTGGGACGGAGGGAAGGCTGGAGGTCAGGGCTCCCTAGATGTGGTGCCTGGGTCAGGATGGGAGTAGGAGGGGGTGAAGGAGGGCTGGCAGTAGGGAGGGCTGGAGGTCAGGGCTCCCTGGAGGTGGTGGCTGGGTCAGGGTAGGAGCAGGGAGGGGGGAGGGAGGGTGGCGGGGTCTGCTGTCCTGTTAGACAGGATGCTCGCGTCTCTGTGGCTTCTTGGCTGAGGCGAGCCCTCCTGCCCCAGAATGTTTCCATCCAGGTTGGGTGTGGGTGCAGGGAGCCTGCAGGTGGCCTGCTGTCTCCGGGTGCTGAGACCTGGGGCCTTCTTACGGGTCTCGGCGCAGGCTGCAGGTCGGCAATGTGGATGTGTGTCTTCCTTCTCCCTCTGGTGATTGTCTGGCTTCTTCCCATCCTTGTCTCAGACGGTTGTGGGCAGGTCCTGATGCCCTTGCTGGTCTCGAGTTCTGGCAGGTGTCATCGTGTATGGTGCATCGTCATCTGCTTGCTTCTCAGAGTACTTGCTTTGGCTCACGTAATTATTGTAGCTTTTTGTTTTGAGAAATGAGATGCCCTTTTTTTTTCCCCTAGTTGTTAGTTCTGAACCGTTTCTGCGTTCCCTCCTGGGGGTCCTCTCTGTGGGTGATTCTGAACTCCCCGGAAGCTGGGCCTGCCCAGCTCTATGTCACCTTGAGTCAAAGATGAATCTGAGGATGCTTTCTGCTTCATTAGGGAGCTTTTGTCTGCAGCTTGTGTTTTGTGCATATGTCTTCCTGTGTCTACCTGGTCTCTCTCAGTCTCTTTCTGTAGGAAAAATGCATCACGTGTAATAAAGGCTTACTTAAGGAAGTACCTTTTCTAAACCTGATGGAGACTAAGTGAATTGAACAGATGGTTCTTTACAAGTAATAGTGGCTGTGGACCTGTAGTAGCCCACTGATGTCCCATTCGGCTGTTCTAGCCTTTTCACGTTTGGATGGATGCCTCTAAAGTAAACATTGTGCGATGCAGGTTTCCTTGTTGGTGGCACGAGATGCCGAGGCACACAGGGGCACGCTGCGCTTCTTCATGGAGCAGTTCTACAGCATCATCAGGAATGTGGACGCCAACAGCAAGGACCTGTCCATTGCCATCCGCGGATATGGGCTCTTTGCAGGGGTATGTCTCACTTATTGACCCCTTTTAGTTTCATTTGAATGTTTAAAGGAATATACTTCAGTATATTTTGAGTAGCATCTCACACTTTTGAAAATATTGTTCTTATTTGTTTTGTTGTTAATGTGTTTTTTCAGTGCTTCCTGTGTATTATCTCACATATTCATAACTTTCCTATAAGCTTTCAGGAATATTATTCCACTTTACAGATGTGGAAACTGAGGCCCAGAGGAGTTAGGGGACCCGTGTAAGGGTTCAGTCAGCAGTAGACAGAACCGAGACATGGTTGCAGCCTGGAGATGAGGAACACCATGTTCTCCTGGCCACGCCTGGCCACCCATCGCTGATGAGGTGGAACCGGGCAGTGACACCTGGCACTCTGGCCCGAGCCCCTGTGCCTGGGTGAGGTCTGCTGGGGATGCTGGGGGTCGGTGTGGTTGCATCCTCCTGGCGGGGCCTATGGCTCCCACTGGCGGAGAGCGTCTCCTGCTGTTTCTCTGTACAGATCCCCATCAGGGCTACTCCCCTGTTGTTGGGATGGAGCGTCTCTTCTAGCCCTCTGCTCACTCCTCCATCCTGATGCCTCCTCATTTGCTTCTTCCCAACACTCCTTTCCCCTTAAAGTCTTCATCTCCACATGTTTCTGTGGCTCATTTATATGAGGAAATGGGCAGAGGAAATGGGTGTGAGGAGGCTCAGACGTGATTGAGAGCACGGACTTTGTATCCTCAGACCCTGAGGTCTCTCAGCGAGGACCTGTTCACTGTAGTGAGCTGGTGTAGACAGAATATGGTGGAACAAGGGAGAGGACGCGGAACAGGCGCTGGGCCAGGCCCACGAGAAGGCGGGACTGGGGCCGACGTCTGAGGAGCCTTTGGGACACGTGCGGCTGGACCGTCTCCGAGTTAGGAGGGTGTGGCTGTAGGTGCTGCTGCTGTGCTCTGGGGGATTTGGGCCTGTCCCGCCTCCGGGCGTCGGGCCTCTGCAGGGACAGCACCCAATTATCTGCCATCTGCCCCCTGCCAGAAACACAGGTGACAATCAGTAGGTGTTTTGTGTGTTAGTAACTGTTTAGCATGTATTTACAGGTTTTTCAGAAAGCGTCTTTCCAAAATACAATGCATTTTTTTTTTTTTTTTCTCTTTAAAAATATGGAACGCTTCACGAATTTGCGTGTCATCCTTGCGCAGGGGCCATGCTAATCTTCTCTGTATCGTTCCAATTTTAGTATATGTGCTGCCGAAGCGAGCACAATACAATGCATTTTATATCTGTATTTCTTCTCCACTGAGAAGCTTGTTAACATTCAATTACAATAATGTGGCCCAATGAGACACCTTAGGTGCCATCACTCTGGGGTGGGTAAGGTCGATGGAGACGGGTTTTGCCTCCCTCCAGCCGTGCAAGGCGGTCAATGCACGAGACGTGGACTTGATGTTTGTGGAGCTCATCCAGCGGTGCCGGCAGCTGTTCCTCGCGGAGGTGGACGCTGCCGAGGACCACGTGTACCAGCTGCCCAGCTTCCTGCAGTCCGTGGCCAGCGTCCTGCTGCACCTCGACGCTGTGAGTGAGGGGGCGGTCCGCCGAGCATGGGCTTGACGAGTTTAGCTCAGGTCTTCAGCTGCTTTGATGCAATGGGAGTTACATACAGTCAGTTCAGGCACCAGTATGACCAAGGTGACCTTTTTAACTAGTACCTCGTACAGTTTTTCGGTTTAGTTTTTGTCATAAAACTTGATGTTTTGTTCCCAAAGCAGAAAAGCTATCTGTTACTCTTCATATTTCTAAAGGATTAGGATTGCTGCTTGAGATAGAATCGTAGCTAACATGTCATGCAGACAGTTTTACTCCAGTGTATTTAGGCAGTCCCAGCGATGAATTAGTCCCTTAGGTAACAAGCCGCTTCTTCATGGATCCCCTCCCCGCCCTGCCCCCGTCTGCTGTGCCTGTTGTCCCAGCCCCGATCCGCATGTGCTCTTGTCCCCGCAGGTTCCTGAGGTGCATTCGCCGGTCCTGGAACACCTCGTGGTCATGCAGATGGACAGTTTCCCCCAGTACAGCCCCAAGATGCAGCTAGTGTGCTGCAGGGCCATTGTGCGAGTGTTCCTGGCCCTGGCAGAGAAGGGGCCCATCCTCTGGAGTTGCATTGGTGCTGTGGGTGAGTTTGGAGTTTACTCCTGAGATGATGCATGAAGAATCTTACCTTGTTGTTTGAGATAAAGAACATCCAGTTGCCAAATTCTTTTTTGTCTTTTGATGCCTCTTGTAGAACTGCTAATAGTTTGGTGAACCAAAATCTTTTTTTCTCTAGTTTTTTGAATTTTTTCATCTTTTCCTTTTGAATCTTAATAGTCTAAAATTTGAAACTAAACATAAAAAAAAGAAAGAAAAAAAATTAAAGGTGTTAGCAAACTTAGAGAAAAAACCAAGAGGTACTTTATATTCAAATGGCTGTCAGTTTGTTGAGTGTTTAGTATTTTTCAGTGTAATCTTTTTTTTTTTTTCTTTTTAGTGCATCAAAGTTTAATCAGAATATGTTCTAAGCCAGTGATCCTTCAAAAGGTAAATTCTGAATCTATGCTTTGAAAGTTAGTCTTTTGTCACTTTTGTTAGAGATGTTGCTGGAACTTTTAGTCTGTAAATATACAAAAGTGGCCTTTTTGATTGCCTGAAAGATTTTTTTAATGAAGTTGTCCAGTAGGATGGTTGTCACTTAAAAGAATTACCATTACTTTCTATAGTATGTAATAGCTGCTTTCTCAAATGCAATGTTAATATTATATTCAGGTGTTTGAAATTGCAGACACATGTGTGAATTACTTGCAATGATTAATAATTCTTTTGGGGAAAAAAACAATTGGCCTTTCTGTTATTAGCAATGCCTTAGATTTTGATAAGTGTAGGATGTAAAACCTAACTATTTTTTCAGGTAAATAAACTTCTGGGTGTGAGACATCCTTAAACATAACCTTATTACTGTACCTACATTTTTACAAAAGGATATTTTCTTCTTGAAACTCTAGGACAGGGAGGGGGGATCGGGATGGGGAATACATGTAAATCCATGGCTGATTCATGTCAGTGTATGACAAAACCACTACAATATTGTAAAGTAATTAGCCTCTAACTAATAAAAATAAATGAAAAAAAAAGAAACTCTAGGACAAAATACTTAGTATATAATGGGAGGCTTGTCTTAAGTTTACTTCAGTTAGAGAAAATAGAATCAGATGAGAGATCTGTGTGAGGAGGTGAATTATTTACAACACGTACCTTGGGTATTGTTTTGAAGCTTAGTTTGTGCATCACTATTTTGGTCCTAGAGAATGGTGACTTTTCCCAGCTTTTTTATTGTGCTTTCATAACGTGCTGTCTTCCTCAACCAAGCTGCCTTCTTCAACCTGGGGCTCTGTTAGCTCTGAGGATGCACATTGGGAGGTACAGCAGTGCTGCTGTTCTCCGTCCCTCCTCAGCGCGGCTGTCTCTCTGTTTTCCCACCAGGGAGCTGAGCCCGAGTCTGAGGACCCTGGAGTATTGGGGGAAGTCAGGACTGGCAAGTGGAGAGTGCCCACCTGCAGAGACTATGTGGACCTGTTCAGGAGCCTTCTGAGCTGTGACCAGACAATGGTAAACACTGCAGCTGAAAGCCACAGAAGCGCTGTGGCTCCCCTATAGTTTACATAGTTCACACTGGAGACTTAATTATTTCAGAAGCGTGCTTTATTTGCAGTCGGTTTTTTTTTTTTAGTACTTCAAGTAATGTAAATAAGGATAAAGTGAGACTTGAAAAAATCAAATTAGAGGAGCAAAGTCATAGAACTCATTTGAAACTAATGAGTTGTTGTAGCTGAGTCCTCATTTTAGCTTAAGAAACTGTGTACAAGGTATCAGAAATGTGGCAATGTTATCATGGTGGGAGAGCTGTGCTCTTTATTTGTTAAAGGTGATGTGATAGGATGAAGGAGACAGGTGCCCAGTTCTGTCACCATTAGACCCATGCCTCCTGCTTCCTGCATTGCTGGCAGGTGTTTCTGCAGTATCTGCTCCAAGCCAGGTTGGTCACCATTTCACATAGTCTCTGACAGAGCATGGGTATTCTAGGAAAAGCAGTTTTGGTCAGTAGATGGTTCCTGTCCTGTGAACAACCTCAGGAGTTTTTCTTATTAAGGTATTAGTAAAGTAGTATAACAGTATTAATTTTACCTAAAATGTTTTTTCTTACATGTGATATTAGGTATATTTTGAGGTTAAGTTCCATAGACTGTTTGAGTGAAGACAGCGTAACTGGTCTATGTTTTTAGGATGGTAGAATATTTCACTTTGAAAGAAATAATAGATTATAGTGCTTTTCAGTCCCTTCTGAGGGTAGATAAATATTTATACATATCTATGTATGCATGTGTATGTGAGTACATGTGTATTTACATGTGCACATGTATATACGTGCATGCATGTGCATTTGCATATAGACACACAGAACATGTGTATATATGTATAGATGTGTGTATACACACACTGCTTGTGTATATTCTCGGTCCTTCAGTCGTGTCCAGCTCTTTGCAACTCCGTGGACTGTAACCTACCAGTCTCCTCCGTCCATGGGATTCTCCAGGCAAGAACACTGGAGTGGGGATCTTATCAGGGATTGAAACCATATCTCTGACATCTCCTGCATTGGTAGGCGGATTCTTTACCACTGAGCCACCAAGGAGGCATCTTTCTCTCTCTCTCTGTCTCTCACACTCTCTCTCTCTCACACACACACACATATTAATGAGGTAGATACTTGGACAAGGTTGGCCTAAACCTTCTCACTTACTACTGTTTATGGGTGTGACATGACTGTGTAAGTCATGTCAGACTGAAATGGTATTGTCCTAATAATTAGAACGGTGTCTGTATTTTACGGCTTGAAAACTTAGAGGTAAGTCTGCTCTAGTTCACACAAGTGTTTCCATAAAACCTAATTACACATATACATCTTTATGTGTCATAATGCTGATTTAATACTCGTACTGATACTGTTTTGTGCAGCATTTTGAAATTTATTTTCTTTATTTTCAGGATTCTCTCTTAGCAGATGAAGCATTTGTCTTTGTGAATTTCTCCCTTCAAAGTCTGAATCGTTTGCTATATGATGAATTTGTAAAATCAGTTTTGAAGATTGTTGAAAAACTGGACCTTACACTGGAAAAGCAGAATGTTGGGGAACAAGAGGTTAGAAGATCTTGTTAGTAGCAATTTTGCATCATTTTTGTACCAGCTCTGTCCGCTTGCTGCAGTATTCAGGAGCAAATCTTACATTTGTAGAAGATGGCAGGAAATTGATTTATCAGCATTAATATGTGTCATTGATACTTTTCTCTTGATATTTGAATTGCCCAATGTGCAGAATATATTCTGTGTTAGATTGTTCAAGAAGTAATTTATATGTTTAATAAGTTAAAGCAACTTTTTGGAAAAAGTTTTTCAGAGGGTTACAGTTCTTGGCTTAGCAACAGTATGGACTAGTCTCGTTTTGGGTAGAGGCGGCTTTTTGCAATGGGTCTGGGCACCCTGGTGCTCCTCTGATTTATAGCCATGGGGACTCTAGGCTCTGGAGACAGTAGAAGGGAGGGCAGGAAAGGCCACCCATCCCATGTTTCTGCATCGTTTTTCTGGCCGGGCTCAAAGATCAGACTGGGCATGAGGTTGCCAGCTTAGAGCTGCTGTCCACTCTGAGGAGACCTAGTAACAGGACACTCAGGACGTGAGACTGTCATCTAAGGCAGTTTGTTTCTGAGCCCAGTGGTTCCTGGAATCAAGTTTGCATGCTGGCTTCCACGACTGAGGCCGTGTGGTCAGGGGTCCAGAGGTGGGCCCTGGCCTTGGCTGCACTCGTCAGGGCCAAGTTTTTGCGCTGGTTGTCAGGGCCATTGAGGGCTGGGCTGTCGCTCTTCAGGCTTTTTATTTATTCATGTCTAAAGTAATTCATTAGCAGACTTGCCCAGAGGGACTCGCTGAGCTGGTCGGCCACTCTGCATGCAAAGCGCCCATCCTAGTCTCTTGCGTCTCTGCTCCCCCTCATCCCACCCCCGGGTCACTGTTGTCTCTGTTGGTGTTTCCTGGGACATGTCTGGTCTCCAGCTTTGCCCTCCTTCCTGCCTGTTTGACATTTTCACCTGGGTCTGAAACACAAATTGAACGTGTTTATATTTATGTTTTACCTAACAGTAGCGACTGGTCCTCTGTTTGTCATTTTGAAATCTTGTCAGTACTGATTACTGTCTGTGTTTTGAGATTCTGCTTCTGTCTGGGCACTGTGGCTCCTGTGAGAAATTGTGCCTGCCCGCCCCAACCACGATGTTTCTGTGTTTGCACTTTTATTCCTCCTTATCCCGTCCCTTGCCTCCCATGTAGCATGTTCTGAGGGTTCTGTCATTTTTATCTGACTGTGAGCTTTGGGCCCGTCTCTGCCTCCTCACTGTTGCATTCCTTGCTCAAAGCCTCACCCATGTCTGTGGGTCACTTACTGAGTCATTTGTTGAATGACTGAACGGTACCATGTTTTTGGTGCAACTGATTTTTAAAGGATGAAAACAAAACCGCTGGCGTTTGGGTGATCCCGACCTCAGATCCAGCTGCTAACCTGCATCCTGCGAAACCCAAAGACTTCTCCGCTTTCGTCAACCTGGTGGAGTTCTGCAGGTATTCATAAAGTTCTGTGTACTTAAGAGTAGATACTATCAATTGTTTGCTGTGACATAGGAGAACCACTTATGCAGATACAAGAAATGAAATAGTAGGACTTAGAATCTAAAATAGCTTATATGAAATTTTAAAATAGATCTAATAGCTGTTTATGTTTATCTTTTAAAAAAAATTGTATTTAAAAGATCCTCAGGTAAGGACAATAAGGGGGCTTCCCTGGTTGCTCAGACAGTAAAGAATCTGCTGTCTATGCAGGAGACACGGGTGTGATCCTTGGGTTGGGAAGATCCCCTGGGAAGGAAATGGCAACCTACTCCAGTGTTCTTGCCTGGAGAATCCCATGGACAGAGGAGCCTGACAGGCTATAGTCCGTGGGGTTGCGAAGAATTGGACATGAGTGGGTGACTGAGCACAGAACACAGCATAGCAGAGAAAATAAGGAGTACAGATACACCTGCAAATGGTGTATAATGGAATCACAAATGATGGTTTTGTTTTGATTATGTCACATATAATTTCAAAGTGGAGTGAAAATAGTATATGATGAGGATTTCTGTGTTAAGCTTTAAATTTGTTTTTACAGGGAGATTCTTCCTGAGAAACATGTAGAATTTTTTGGGCCATGGGTACATTCCTTCTCATATCAGTTAATTCTGCAGTCTACACGGTTGCCACTCATTAGTGGTTTCTACAAACTGCTTTCTCTTGCTGTGAGAAATGCCAAGAAAATAAAGTATTTTGAGGTAAGTATTTTTTGAGGGACAGTGAATATTCCTGTGTATTTTAGATTGCATGAGTGTGTATAAATACATTTTAAAATATGATGTTGTATACAGCATCTTGCAGATTTAAAGTCTATTTTTATTATTTGTAGTTTGAAAAACTGATGTGAGTGGCAGTTGGATGGCACTGTTTAAAAGTTTAATGGAAACATTTTCCGATCTGCCTGGCGAGCATCTGGCTGATGATGTGAGCTGGATAGAGGTTCTGATGTGTGCATGGCGCCAGGACCCACCTGCAGCATCACTGGTGCCCTTTCCAGACTCATGTCCTTGGAGCCTCTGCGTCATGGCTCAGCAGCCGTGCCCAGGCTGCCAGGGGATCTGGTGGCTTCTGAGGTTGGAGAGTGGCCGCATCAGTGTCCAGGGGCTCTAGTCGTGAGCAGCTGTCTCAGCTCACAGGCGTGCACGTCAGATGACCGGCACGGGGAGTGGACTTGGGTCCCGGCTCCTGACCAGCCGTCCCCCTCCCACCTCACACATGCGTCCTCATGGGCCTGAAGTGTCTTTCTCTCTGCATGAGGCCTCAGCAGAATGAGAATGGGTCCTCTCACCGGGACCAGTGGGCACCGCCAGATTAGGACATGGGACGATTGGTTGCCCTTCCCTGAGCTCACTGCCTGTTTTATCTGACAGGGCGTCGGTCCAGAGAGGCAGAAGCCATCTCCTGAGGATCCAGAGAAGCATTCCTGCTTTGCTTTGTTTGCGAAATTCGGTAAAGAGGTAACTTTCAAAAGCCTTATCCAGTCTTATCATCTATTATTTACGGATGAAATGGGTTGCTTAATGCACTTGGGGATGGAGGGTTTGAAAACACTGGCAGAGAAAGTCACTGTGCTTCCGAAGTCCTCTGAGGTTTCTCACAGTAATTTTAGTGATGATGACTCTGAGTTCATAGATTCTTTAGCTTTTCCATATGATGGGAATTAAGTACTCAACACATGAACTTTTGCTGGAGATAAGTACTTAATTTTTAAATGAACGTGGCCGTGTCAAAGGCTATGTGATAATTTTTCGTATTTGCAAATTAGATGTCTCGTAGTCGATGGTGGAACTGAAGGCTTTGTTCAGGTGCATGGCACTAACCTTGTCTTTCCTGCCGAGGTGTCAGTTAAGATGAAGCAGTACAAAGATGAACTCCTGGCCTCCTGTTTGACCTTTGTCCTATCCCTTCCACATGACATCATTGCACTTGATGTCAGAGCCTACGTCCCCGCGTTGCAGGTGGGCTCATCACTCGTGGGGGTCGTGGTCCCTGAGAAATGTGGCAGCCTCGGCTGCACTCACATGTCAGAACCCCCATCCCCACCCCCTGCCAGCATCCTGCGTGGTCGGGCCTTCCTGAGGGGGCTTCAGTGCCCCTTCTCTCCAATCCACGTGGTTCCGACATAGGAAAGACTTGTCGTTTAAGAAACCCTCTCTCAGTCCTAAATTCCTGGTGTTCATTACCTCATTTATTCTCATGTACAGATGGCTTTTAAACTGGGCCTGAGCTATGCTCCACTGGCAGAAGCTGGCCTGAATGCCCTGGAAGAATGGTCAGTTTATATCTGCAAACATGTAATTCAACCCTACTATAAGGATATTCTGCCTAGCCTTGATGGATATCTGAAAACTTCAGCTTTATCAGGTAAGGTATAGAAGAATTTTGATATGTATCTTAAAATGGTAATGTAATACATGTGTTGGTATTTCTACATATTTTGCATTCAAAATATGTTTGGTATTTTTGTAATCTTTCCAACTCATTTCAGTATAATTGGATATAAGTATAACTGAGGTATTAAAACTACTTATAGGTTACTTACTCATGTATATTCTAACAAAATTTATAAAATCTTCAAGGGGAAGGACTCTTAAACATCTTGAACTCCTTATAGATTGTAATTTATTGTCTTGTAAAGAAACTCTTATTTAATAAATCAAACATGGATTAAAACTATAATAAAATTTAATAGTAAAGTTATATTTTGACCTAATTTCACCTGATTTTTATTGGTTTTTCCAATATGACTAATTTAGCACTGCATTGGGAGTGCAGAGTCCTAGCCACTGAACCACCAAGGAAGTCCCTCCAAGAAACTGTTTTTTTTAATTAGTAGTGGTGTTTAAAACTGAGGCAACCACCATTAATATTTTTGTTCTAGAAATTTCATTTTTAATCATACTTTAAATTAGAATTTTAATGTCTCTCTATGGTAGAGTGTCTTTCCTCTTGTGTTTATTAACTAAATGAATGAGTGGTGTTTAAAATTGACTTCTGTTTACCCTTGTCAGATGAGACCCGGAGTAACTGGGAAGTGTCGGCACTTTCTCGGGCTGTTCAGAAAGGATTTACTAAAGACGTGTTAAAGCATCTGAAACGGACAAAGAATATTTCATCTGTAAGAGACCCTTGTATTTTCTTTACCCTAAATAGTGAGAGATCAGATTCTGATGCTCGTGAGTAGTAAAAATCTTCATTTAAAATATCATTGTTACATATAAATTTGGGTACAGTATGAAAATAGTTTCAGTATATGTTTAGTGATAAAAATGTAAACCGTGTTAACATGTAAACTGTGTTATTGTCTTGATCTTGTTTTTTTTGTTTGGAATAAGCAGCTGCCACACAGATATGGATGTATAAGATTGCCTCATTTACTGACTAAACCTGAAATAGGTTATTTTGTTGAGTTTAGTTCATGGCAGTATTTATGTTTTTTTCCCAGTGATAATTTCTTGAGACCAGGTTTTTTTAGATGTGGCACATAATGTGACAGATAAAAATGATGTAAATAGAGAAACTTGAGTTAGTGTAACTTAATATTTAGAACTGGTATAGCAAGCTTTCTGGAAGTTTCCTCTGATCTCATTATTTTTGACAGTTTTTGTTATAGCATCAGAAATTCATTTATTTCTTTTTTAAATTTTTACTTATTTTTCGCTGTGCTGGGTCTTTGTTGCTGCAAGGGCTTTTCTCTACTTGTGGCAAGCAGGGGCTACTCTCTTGACAGCTTTTGATTGGGAGACTTGAATGAAACTAAAAGCGGTGTCTAAAGGTTTTAAATTATTTTATCACACTGAGGTAAAGGAAGATAAAGTTTCTTGACAATATCTTTAGTTTTGCACGTTTCTTTACAGGCACAGGGCCCTAGGGTCCCAGAGTGCGAGGCCAGAACTGTTTTCACGCGTGATGTTTGCACTGTGCAGTGGTGGGTGGTGGTGTTGGTCCCTTCAAGCTTCACGAAGCCTCAACCCTTGAGCGCACACGGTGTACCATCCCATGTGCTGGGGCAGGAGTGCCGGCGGTTGTCCTCAGGGAGCATTGAGCAGCCGCCTCCCGCATGAGCACCACTGTTACTGGAAGCATGGCAACAGACTCCTGGCTGTTCAGTGTCTGGCCAACGTTTTCTCTGGAATGGAGAGAGCGGGCCTGTCACTTCAGGAGCGCATCTGAGAGTCTTTATTGCTAGTGAGCCAGTATCTTCCGATGAGCAGTGCATTGAGTTTCTAAACCGAGTATAAGATAAGCCAGAGGACTGTACTGTAATAGACTGCATAAAGTTCCCTGATGTGGGCTCACACTCCACATTGTAACTAACCTTTACTGCTTCAGTTTTGGAGTAGTATCAAAGAAAACCCTAGTTACCTAGAAAAACTGTGAAATCCTCCTCCCTTTTCTAGTCACAGCCCAGAAGTCTGTCACAGACGCAAAATGAGAACAGCATCACTTGCCTGAGTTTGTTTATTTGGAATATATCGTTATTCCTAAAAGTATGTCATTTGTTAACATGTCATGGGTTCAGTGTTTTTAAATAAAATGGTAAGTATTTAAATAGTGAAAGGTGAAAGTGTTAGTCGTTCAGTCATGCTGACTTTTTACAACCCCGTGGACTGTAGCCCAGAGGCTACACTGTCCAGGGGATTTTCCAGGTAAGAATGCTGAAGTGGGTTGCCATGCCCTCTACCAGGGGATCGTCCTGACCCAGGGATTGAACCTGGGTCTCCCTCATTGCAGGCAGATTCTTTACTGTCTGAGCCACTAGGAAAGCTAAGTTTTAACAAGATAAATACAGGTGAACATGACCCGCATTAACAGAAGCTCTGTGGGAATCCCCAGTACTTTTTAAGGGTATCCGGACCCCCAAAACAGTAACTGCTGACCTAGAAAATGGACATTGGCTGCAAAAGTGGAAGAATTGTGGCTACTTTTCATGATTTTGCAGTGAAATGATGGCAGTGCCGTGGAGGATTATAAGGAGACATTGAGGGCGTCAGCAGTAGAGAGGGTCTTTCTTTGAGCTCAAGGTTGTTTTTCGTTGTCACCACATTTGCAGAATGAAGCGCTGTCCTTAGAAGAAACACGGGTTCGAGTAGTGCAAGTACTTGGCCGTCTCGGGGGACAGATCAACAAAAACCTGCTAACAGGTGACGTTTCCTGAAAGTAACTCAACCCCTGAGACATGTGGGCCCCTCAGCTGCACATAGGTCATGGTGTCTTCTGATACTTGCTCTCATGTGCCATTTATGTCTTTCAAGTGAGATTTTGAAGAACCGTATTTTGCCTAATGGAGTGAACACTTCAGCCATGCCTGAAGCCTGTGGGTTCCTCTCTTCAGGATCTGGCATTTGTTCATTTTTTAAGCAGAGTCTGGCTGGATAGGCCTTTATGTTAAACATCGTGTCAGGAATTCAGAGTTATCTTTTTGAATACGAATATTCTTAATGTTTGGATATTTTTAGGTTGTTTTTGATCAGAATTAGTGTTTTTTGATGAGTAAAAATTTGTATTTTTAGTTTTAAAATTTCATCCTAAATGTACTGGTGATTTTGGCATTTTGGCGGTTAGAACATCTATTAGAAAAATATGTGTTATAAAGAGGAGCTATTTAATGAAAGTATTGTTCATCATTTTTTCACAGAAGAGTAACATCTGAAATTGAAAAACATTGCAGACTATTAGACTTGTTTAAAAATAATTTGACTTTCAGTCAGATTAGAAACAACGTGTGGTGGTTTCTGACGCTGCTGTCAAGCGGGTGTGAGGAACAGAGCAGGAGAGGGTGGACCAGGGCCGTCCCAGTGAGGGGAGGAGGGACTGACTGGCATCTCTCCCGCAGCAGCGTCCCCCGAGGCGCAGGCCCGGGGCTGTGTGGCTTGGGACCGAGAGCGGAGGCTCAGCTTCGCAGTGCCCTTCGTGGACATGAAGCCCGTCGTTCACCTGGACCTGTTCCTGCCGCGCGTCACAGAGCTGGCGCTCTCGGCCGGCGACAGACACACCAAGGTGCTCGCTGGTCGCTCGCCGTGGTCAGCCACACTCTCCTTAGGGGACACGTGTTATATTTCATGGCCTTTGTGCTTTCCCCAGCTTAGTGATGGGGAAATGACTCAGTTATCAGGAGTCGGTATCCTTGGACAATGGAAATTAAACCTAAGGAATCTGAATAGATGATAAGACCTTAACGTACTAGAATTCTTCATAGTAGAAAACACAGTACATGGTGTGTTGAAAAGTGATTTTTTAGTCTGTGCTTGATTCTGTATTCAACTTGGGAGATTCAAAATAGGTGATCTCAAGTTTTTTATATTAATTTGTACATTTCCACATTTTGTTCATTAAAAATAGATTTCCTAGAAGTAGCAGTTAAAGCGTGCTCACAAATGGAGCAGTGTTCTGTGATACGGCACCGTGGGACCGTGTCTCTTATGAACGTGTTAGTCCCGGTGTCTGGATCTTTTACATCTCAGTTCTCATCTCTTGACTCCAGAGCAGAGTGAACAGAAGCGTTACTCTTATATCACAGGAAGTGTTGCTTAATGTTAGTTCATATATGGGTGGGCTAGTTACCTGCTGCACAGGTTTTCCTTTTTAAAGGGCTGTGTTCTGTAGCATTTCAAAATGCTCTTGACCTTTGTTGGACCCCTGGCCTGTTTCAGGTTGCAGCCTGTGAACTTCTGCACAGCGTGGTTATGTTTATGCTGGGAAAAGCCACTCAGATGCCTGACGGTGGCCAGGGCCCCCCACCCATGTACCAGCTCTATAAGCGCACGTTTCCTGTGCTGCTACGACTGGCATGTGACGTAGACCAGGTAGGTCGTGGATTTGAAGCAGTTGCAGAATTTGGAAAAATGTCGTATCGGGTCCAGTGATCATCTCAGCTTGTTGCATGTTGGGATGACTGTTAACATCCTTGAAACCTGCTGCGCAGTGCTGCCCTCTCACCTCTGGATAGGACCTGGGACTCGGGACTTGTCAAAGCACCCGCAGTCCCTAAACATGCGCCACAGGGTTTGGAAAGAGTCACTGCTGTGGCACCTGAGGCCGTGTGTGCGCTTGGCCCTGTCACGTCGGCGCTCATGGTCTTTCACAGGGGAGGAGGGGGTAGCCATGGCCAGCAGTCGGGGGGCTTGGAGATACCGGCAGGTCACCTCTTCCTTGTGGCTTTGTGAACAGGGACACAGCCTTTGCTGCTGGGACACAGAAAACATTCACGTTTTCACTTTATTTTGTGAAGCTATAGAGGGTTCACACATAAAAAAGAAAATGAAAAACCTACTTATAGATGGAAAGTCCCTTGGAATATATGTGAACTAGTACAGTCCAGCAGTGCGGTAAGATGCACTATGATTAAATAGAGTTTGGGGGTAAAACTAGAAATTTACCACAGAAGTAGGTTTCGTTAGTGGGTGATTCTCTCCACATAGGCCAGAAACGTATTTGTGTTGGTAAGCTAGGAGTAGTTTACTTTTGCCTTTAAAATGAGGAAGAGAAAAAAAAAATGAGGAAGAGAGTTAACCTGAATGACACAGTCGGGTCACCCCCAGCCTTGAAACACTGCTGCCTCTGGGCCAAGGCTGAGATGTGGTGAAACGTAACTCTACACCCAGAGCGGGGCCTGTGGGTAGCCCGGTCTCAGAACGGCTTCACGTATGTCTAGGAATTTATTTGCAGGGGTTGGTGCCTGGGTCTCTCATCAGGCCACGTGGTCCCTGAGGGCACGGATGTCAGAGAAAGGAAGAAAGAAGTTATTATTTTGAACATAGTTTGTAAAAACCCTGGAAAGCCCAGAGTGTCAACCGACAAATCTAGGAATCAATGAAGGAGAAAGCTGATGAATTACAAAATAGGACTCTCACATATTAGTGTTTTAATATAGCTCATATTTTAGTATTGACCCCTTGGAAAATATGTCTACAGTATGCCGTTCACAACAGCATCAAAGAATATAGTGAAGCATCTAGGGGATGTTCCCTGGTGGCCTCATGGATGGATTCCGGGCTTTCAGTACTACGGTGCAGGTCAGTCCCTGGGCAGGGAACTGAGCTCCTGCAGGCCACATGGTGCAGCCATAATAAATAAATAAACCAAAATGTCTAGGAATGAACTTTAACATGCCAGGCACACATACATGTATTTTATGAATATAAAATGAATTTGATGTGTGCCTGAAGAACCAGAACTGAGGGGATTTCTAGGTGGTCTAGTGGTTATGGCTTGGCATTTCCACTGATGGAGCGCACCAGTGGAGCCCAGGTTTGACACCTGGTCAGCAAACTAGGCTCCTGCAAACAGCACGGCATGGCAAGATAAAAGGATCAATATTGAAAAAAGGCTGAATCTCCCTCAAATCCTTTAGTAAGTTTGGTATCCTTCCAGCAAAAATCCCAAAAGTATTTCATTTTGAACATGAAAAACAGTATGAAAGAATAATTGCTCGAGCCTAACCATGAAACTTGTGGATGGATCAAGTCCTGGAGGGAGTCCTGCCCTCGCAGATGTCAGGAGGAAGACCCTGAGTATAGTGGTTGGACTACTGCACAGGTGTCAGTGGGGCTGTCTGGCAGTGGGTACATGGGCCCCTGTGTGCACATGAAACATATGTGGTGCATGGGGTTTCCTGGGTCAGTGAGAAATGGATTGTTTAGTATATTCTTTTAGAGTTATTAACATATGAAAGATTAATTTCAGATTAAAAAGATACAGAAGGAAAAACAAACTGGAGATATGATAGAGAAATGTAATGAATTATAGCCTGTGTGAATCTTTGAATAGGGATGGTCTTTTTCACTGGTAAAATATATTAATACAGAAACATAGGCTGCTAAAAGTAAATTCCCCACCATCACCCCCCGCCCCCCATCACTCCCCAGGAAAAGGCATGTCATCCTCTGCAGAAAACCTGGGAAGTTTCTCCGAGATCTTAGTAAAACACATTCTTATAAACATATGTATAAATTTTGTTTTATAGAAGAAGTAGGGTCACAGTGTTCAGAACTTCTTTTATTTAAAATTCAGTTCTGCTACTCTTGTGGACTTTATCATTACCTTGTAGGTGTCTTTCTGTAAAGTTGTGTAGAAAGGGAGATTTTCATACAAGATTTGAAGGCAGATATGTGGAAGAAAATTATTAGTATATTGACTTGATTAGTGTTTAAAACTACTGAATGACACAAAACCCACAATTTTGACATATATGTATTTAACGTGGGAGAGAGTCTCTTGGACAGCAAGGAGATCAAGCCAGTCAATCCTAAAGGAAATCAACCCTGAATACTCATTGGAAGGACTGATATTGGAAGCTCCAATACTTTGGCTACCTGTTGAGAAGAACTAACTCATTGGAAAAGATCCTGATGCTGGGAAAGATTGAAGAGAGAAGAAGAGGGTGAAAGAGGGCAAGATGGTTGGATAGCATCATTGACTCAATGGACATGAATTTGAGCAAATTCCAGGAGATAGTGAGGGACAGAGAAGCCTGGCATGCTGCAGTCCATGGGGTCACGAAGAGTTGAACATGATTTGGGAGCTGAACAACAGTATAAAGTGGAAAATTTTTTTTGCCATTTTGTGGTAAAGAATGTAAGATTTTAAAATGGACAAATGGATAAAGAACAAAAATGGGAAGGTCATGAACAAAGAAATACATGTGGCCAATTAAATACATTTTAAATATTCAATCTTTTAGTAAATGAGGAAATTCAAAATTATATTTTTTGTAGCCATTGTCAAATAATTTAAAAATTGGCAGTGTTTAGTTTTGCCAGTGTTTAGTGTTGCTTTATTGATTACGCAAAAGCTTTTGACTGTGTAAATCACAACAAACTATGGAAAATGCTTCAAGAGATGGGAATGCCAGACTACCTTACCCGCCTCCTGAGAAATCTGTATGCAGGTCAAGAGCAACAGTTAGTTAGAACTGGACATGGAACAGCAGACTGGTTCCAAATCGGGAAAGGAGTATGTCAAGGCTGTATATTGTCACCCTTCTTATTTAACTTATATGCAGAGTACATCATGTGAAATGCTGGGCTGGATGAAACAAGCTGGAATCAAGATTGCCAGGAGAAATATCAATAACTTCAGATATGCAAGTGACACCACCCTTATGGTAGAAAGTGAAGAGGAACTAAAAAGCCTCTTGATGAAAGTTGAAAGAGGAGAGTGAAAAGGCTGGCTTAAAGCTCAACATTCAAAAAACTAAGATCATGGCATCTGGTCCCATCACTTCATGGCAAATAATGGGGAAACAATGGAAATAGTGACAGACTTTATTTTCTTGCACTCCAGTCACTGCAGATGGTGACTACAGCCATAAAATTGAAAGATGCTTGCTCCTTGGAAGAGAAGTTATGACCAACCTAGACAGCATATTAAAAAACAGTGACATTACTTTGCCAACAAAGGTCTTTCTAGTCAAACCTATAGTTTTTCCAGTAGTCATGTATGGATGTGAGAGTTGGACTATAAAGAAAATTGAGCATTGAAGAATTGATGCTTTTGAACTGTGGTGTTGGAGGACTCTTGAGAGTCCCTTGGACTGCAAGGAGATCCAACCACTCCCTCCTAAAGGGAATCAGTCCTGAATAGTCGTTGGAAGGACTGATGCTGAAGCTGAAGCTCCAATAATTTGGACACCTGATGTGAAGAACTGACTCATTGGAAAAGACCCTGATGCTAGGAAAGATTGAAGGCAGGAGGATAAGGGGATGACAGAGGATGAGATGGTTGGATGACATCACTGACTCGATGGACATGGGTTTGAGCAAGCTCAGGGAGTTGGTGATGGCAGGGAAGCCTGGCGTATTGCAGTCCATGGGATTGCAAAGAATTGGCCACAACTGAGCGACTGAACTGAACTGAACTGAGTGTTGCCAGGCCTGTAGGGAAGGGGCCTGTGGTCCTGACAGGAGGGAGTGTGGATGCCTTGCTCGTCCAGAGAGGCGTTCAGAGTGGTGTGCATGTGGCAGTCACACTTCTGAACTACCTGTGTTTCTAGCAATAGGTCCTGCTGTGTCCATACAGGAGATGCTGGGCCTCTGAACATACAGATACAGCCTATGTGTTAATGTGAAAAGTATTCAGATAAGAGAAAAAAAGTTGGTTACAAAAGTGTGTAGTTTTACACTCGTGTATATTCATGTATTTATGTGTAGAATTGTATCACGTTAACAGTGATTTTGAATATTAACAGTGGTTGCATTCAAACCCTACATTGGATGTAGGGTTATAGATGGATGGTTTTCTACATTTTCTATAAGGAATATGTGTGTACATATATATAATTTATGTACTACAAATACAAAATAATTTTTTTGGAAACAAAAAAGTAACCCTTTAAGACCAGGTTAATTTCCAAACTGAAAGGTAAGACTCTTTTACTTTAATTTAGTCTAAAATTGTTTCAAGTTTAGGAAGATAATTTTGGGAGAAATATCTGGGTATAAGAGGACCTGTTTAGCCTGAGCCCCAAGACACCCACGTGAGTTTTGATGTGGTGTGTGTACCAAGTGCTTACTTCTAGAGCACACTGTCAGTGGGGAAGTAAAAAGTCCCTGGACTTCTCAGGGCTCTTGTGGGGCCAGCATGTAAGACACAAGAGGAGAGAGACCTGAACACCGGAGATGTTTACCTTCACTTGGACTATGAGCATTTACTCCTCATAGAGAAACAGGGCTAGCCACATAACCACGTGTCTCAGGAGATTGCTCTGATCCAAAAGGACACTGCAGCTTCTCCCCAGGCCTGGACTGTAAAAACCCAGAGACTGGCAGGCTCTCTGGGTCCTGGAGAGACTGTGTCTACGTTTGAGCCGCTTAGGGTGAGAACCTGGGATGCCATAGAATGAAGACTTGCCTCCCTCCTTCTGGCCGGGGACGGGGCAGTGCCTCTTGTGATGCGTGTGGAAGTGTGTCCACGGAGGATGTGGGAACGGACCGCCTCCTGTGCACGCTCAGGGCCAGGTTAATAGGATGGATGTGGGAAGTCTTTGCTGTCAACCCTGATTGCCCTACTTATGAGAGGAACAATGACTCCTGGGACACGTGATTTTTTTTGCAGGCCTCTCAGGAGGTGAGAAGTTAGATAATGTTCGTCACAGGATTTAGCTGGAGAAGGACACTGGTATAACCACAGTAGTGGTATTGCTTAATTTTGTTCCTGTCATAGAAATGGAACTTTCTCTGCCTTAAGATCAGCATGAAGGAAGTGAATTGTGATGGTCTTGCTCTTCCAGGTGACGAGGCAGCTGTATGAACCTCTGGTCATGCAGCTGATTCACTGGTTCACCAACAACAAGAAGTTTGAGAGTCAGGACACGGTTGCCCTGCTGGAGGCAATACTGGTGAGTGTGATCCCCTCCTGCCATTTCTGTTGACTGGCTTATGTGGTCAGTGTTCAGGACCTTAAGCTGCCCATCAGGGTGTCAGAATGTAGCATCTAGCTAGATCCATCATCTTTTTCTTTTGTTTTAGATAGACACCATTTAATGAACATGGTGCCATATTTATTATCTTAAGTGATACTTTTAAATAGCTGCATGCAAACGGATTTTTTGCTTTGTTTTGGGAGGATAACTATAAATGTGACAAACTTCATCTACTTTGAGAGACTGTGTGTGTATGTGTGTTTGGAGGGTGAAAAGGGTGAACAGGAATGTTCCTGGACTTTTATCAGAGTTGTAGTATCCTCTTGTTTTTAAAAACGTGTCTATGGTATAATAGTTAAGAGTAAAAGGAATTGTTTGAGCTTGTGCCGTTTTCTCCTGCATTCAGATTCAGTTCCTCAAAACCCCTAAAATTCTTAGCTCAGCGTTTACATACAAGTGTCCTGAGCCGCTGGAGGTGGCGTTGTTGGGCTGTGGTCTCTTGCCCACTGAGGCAGAAGGCAGTGGTCAGCTAAAGCCTTACTGTCGTTCCACACTTATTTTATCTTCATTTTCTGAACTTGTACAAATAACTACATGTGATCTCTTTAAATGTCATATTAGCTGATTTTTACCTATTATATCAACCCATACTTTTGTTTTCTCATATGCTGACTTTGAAGTCAGAATTCGCAGTTGAACTCATAGCACGTTTGTCCAAATGAACATCCTTTAGTTCTGTGTTTTTGAAAGCTGATTTCTTTGAATCTGTGTGTCTGTCTCTGTTGAGTGAGTAGTGTCATTGCATGGAGGACTGCCATCCGTTCCTGCTGGCCCAGGTCAGTCCTGGCATCACTGTCAAGTGTGTTGTTACTCACAGGGTTCCTTTTGCACTCAGGGGCCCCTGACTGGAGGTTACATGGGTGGTGGGCATTAGTGAACACTTGTAGTTAGGATGGTGGCATCAGCACAGCTGTAGTTTAGTTCCAGCAGGGTCTGGTGGTGGAGCTGCCTGTGACAGATCCAGTTAATTCAGCTTCACTTGTGGCATATTTCAAGCAGACAAATTTATTCTACTGTTTCTAAAGTCCCTATCTTAGTTGATCACTGAAGGCAGTGATCAGGGTGAGAATGGAAATATAATGTGAGCTGGTTGTGGCGGTGAGAGCTGGTTGTGGCGGTGAGAGCTGGTTGTGGCGGTGAGAGCTGGTTGTGGAGGTGAGAGCTGGTTGTGAAGGTGAGAACTGGTTGTGGAGGTGAGGGCTGGTTGTGGAGATGAGAACTGGTTGTGGAGGTGAGAGCTGGTGCAGGCTCCAGCACCCATATGTCTCTCCCGTTCGCACCTCTGCCATTTCTTCTGTGCGTGACCATCACCTCCTTGACTCTGGCTGGCACTGCGATCAGAGATTTTGTGTATGGCAGGGAACCAGTTGTGTTAGAATCCTCTTATTTCATTTTCTGAGTACTTTCTCAAGTTAAAACTTCTTCGTGGATCAAAGAGGGAAACAAACACTCAAGTTTCCTAGGCAGTTTTTTCTAGGTGTTCAGAGACCATGGGCTTCGGTGGTGGCTCAGCTGGCAAAGAATCTGCCTGCAACATGACAGACCTGGGTTCAATCCCTGGATTGGGAAGATCCCCTGGAGGAGGGAATGGCTGCCCACTCCGTTATTCTGGCCTTCATAATTCCATGGACTGTATAGTCCATGGGGTCGCAAAGAGTCGGACACGACTGAGCAATTTTCACTTCACTTTCAGAGACCATACCATTGTGGAGTGTGCTCTGGCAGAAAGTTATATTTTCAGAACCACATCTCTCAGATTTTTCTTTGTGTAGCATTTCAGTTCCCTTGAGACTTGCAAGGTCTTTTCTTCATCCTCAATAGATAAGCATTCCAGGTGCTGTTACAGGTAGAATCAGCAGCAGAAGGTTTCAGGATACAGCCATTGTGTTTATTCAAGGAACGAGAGACTGCTTTGTTAATATATAATTAAAGTGTTCTCTCTCTTTTCTTACAAATGTTTCAGCTTCTTAGTTTGTGTAAAAGACAGTTTTCATTTTGTTGAAGGAATTTGTTATTAGAGTCTAGATGCTTTCTAGGAAGCCTCTTTATTAGTGTCTATTTGTTCCTGAATTGAGCTCTAAATTCATTCCCATAACTTACTCCAGTTATGTTCAGGGTATTCAGCTGTAACTTTATGCTTTGTTTCAGGATGGAATTGTGGACCCTGTGGACAGCACTTTAAGAGATTTTTGTGGTCAGTGTATTCGGGAATTCCTCAAATGGTCCATTAAGCAGACAACGCCGCAGCAGCAGGAGAACAGTCCAGTAAACACCAAGTCACTCTTCAAGCGACTGTACAGCTTTGCACTTCACCCGAATGCTTTCAAGAGACTGGGAGCATCGCTCGCTTTTAATAATATCTATAGGGAGTTCAGGTGTGTGAGTTCCCTATTGGGGGTGAGGGGATGTGGGGAGAGTATTAATATCTACAGGGAGTTCAGGCACATGAGTTCCATGTCGGGGATAAGGAGGGTCAGGGAGAGTGATAATATCTACAGGGAGTTCAAGAGTCCTGTGCTGGGAAGAGTGTAAAGGTCCTTACATTTCCAGTAGTGATTTTGTGAAGTGCCTTGCTGTTTATGCATCCATGTAATCATGTATCAAGCGCTTAGTGAATACTTAGATTCTGGACACTATTCTGTTTCTGAGGATTAAATAATGAATTAAAATGCTGTTTGCATTCAAGGGGAGGCTCAGAAAGTGCTGAGAACTACATTCAGGCTTAATATACACAGTTTGGAAAGTGCAACAAAAGATGTAGTGAGAGGCTTGTGAAGCATGTGAAGGAAAGTCTGACACAGGGTGAGTAGGTTACACTGGGAGTTAGACTGGAGCCGAGTGGAAAGGCCCAAGCCCAGGTCAGAGAGACAGGCAGGGATAAGAGACAGACGGGGGTCTGAGGAGACACATTTTCTCTTCCTTGCTGTGGGGATTGAGGTGTGGACGGGAGTGAAGTGAGGCTGGCCATGGGCCTCTCTGTAGAGCTGAGATCTGAAGGGAGTCATGGGAGCAGGGAGCATGGTTGGACTTGTCCTGAAGCTCTCCTGCCAGCAGCTGTGCGGGGCGTGGTCTGAGTGCCGGGACGCCGGGGAGGAGGCTGTCTCATGGTCCATGGAAAAGGTAGTCCGTTACCGAAGGATGTGGTGGTGCTGGCTCATTCCTTCATTGAGCACTGGTTGCTAAGTTAGGCTGTACGTGCCAGGCTCCATGCCAGATGCAGGAGGTACAAAGATGCAGCAGTTCATGATGTGGCATTTAAAAAAGAGAGGCAGGTAATAATCACATAGATAAAGGTAAAATTTGTAGCTGAAATCAATGCTTTTAGTAGTAGTATAAGGGATTCTCTGGTGGCCCAGTGGTTAGGACTCCATGCTTCCATTGCTGAGGGCTCAGGATTGACCCCTGGTTGGGGAACCAAGGTCCCATGAGCTATGCCATGCAGAGAAAAAAAAGAAATTAAGTAGTGGTGCATGATTACTAAAGGATCTTATAACAAATAATCAGACCTCAAGTCAGAATAGCTTCTCTCAGGAAATGGCACTTGGATAATGATGAGGGAGCAGTTGTTAAAATAAGAGAGATGGTGGACGGATGGATGGGGGAGGTAGGTGGGTGGTAAGTAGATAGATTGTAGATGGATGGATGGTAGGTGGAGATATGATGGATGGCTGGACTGATGGGTGTCTGTATCTGCATGTGGGGGCATGTTCATGGTTGTATGAGAATTGACAGGAGTTTGAAGTCATTGTTAAGTTTTTAGTTGAGATGGAGTTGATGTAAAATGTTAGGTGTACAGTGTGATTCAGTTTTTAAAAGTTATGCTTCATTTATAGTTATGAGAAAATATTGGCTATATTCCTGTATTGTACATTATACCATAGTTTCTTATCTGTGTTATACATAGCAGTTTGTGTCTTGAATTCCTCTACCCCTGTTTTGCCCCTCCTCCTTCCCTCTGGTAGTCACTGGTTTGTTCTTTGTATCTGTGAATCTGTTTCTGTTTTGTTATGTACATATATTTGTTTTATTTTTTAGAGTCCCCATATAAGTGATATTATGCGGTATTTGTGTTTGATCTGTTTCTTTTTTTTTTTTATCTGTTTCACTAAGCATAATACTCTCTAGGTCCAACCATATAGCTGTGAATAGCATTATTTCATTCTTTTTTGTACTGTGTAATAGTCCATTGTATATATACACATCTTGTTCATCCTTTTATCTGTCAGTGGAAACTTAGGTTGTTTCTGTGTCTTGGCTATTGTGATTAGTGCTGCTGTGAATATTGGGGTGCTTTTATCGAATTATGGTTTTCTCAGGTATTTGCCCAGGAGTGGAATTGCTGGTTTGTATGGTAGTTGTAGTTTTAAAGTTTCGAGGAACTTTAATGCTATTTCCATGGTGGCTGCACTAGTTTACATTCCCACCAGCAGTGCCCAAGGGCTCCCTTTCTCCACATCCTCAGCAGTACTCATGATTTCTGGTCTTTTTGGTGATAGTTATCTGACAGGTGTGAGGTGATATGTCATTGTGGTTTTGATTGAATTTCCCAGATGCTTAATGATGTTGATCATCTTTTCGTGTTCCTTTTGGTCGTCTGTGTGTCTCCTTTGGTAAAGTATCTGTTCTGGTCTTCTGCCTGTTTTTAAATGGACTGTTTTTTGATGCTGAGTTGTTTGTGTATTTTGTATACTAACCCCATATTTATCATATCATTTGCAAATGTTTTTTCCTGCTTCGTAGGTTGTCATTTTGTCTTGTTGATGTCTTCCTTTGCTGAGCAGGAGCTTAAGTTTAATTAGGCCCCATTTGTTTCTTTTTGCTTTTGTTTCCTTTGCTTTAGGAGACAGATCCAAGAAAATATTGCTATAGTTTATGTCAAAGAGTATTCTGCCTGTATTTTCTTCTAGGAGTTTTATGTTTTGCAGTCTTACATATGACTGCACATACAGTCACATACGCAGTCTTTAAAGTCTGTTAAAGACCTTACATATAGGTATTTAATTCGTTTTTTTAATATGTTGCTAGAGAATGAATGTTCTAATTTCATTTTTTGTATGTAGCTGTCTAGTTTGCCCAACAGCACTTATTGAAGACCCCGTCTTTTCTGCATTGTGTATTCTTGCCTCTTTTGTCATAGATTGACTGACCATAACTGGAAGGTTTTATTTCTGGGCTCTCTACTGTGTTCTCTTTATCTATCCGTCTGTTTTTGTGCCAGTCTCAGGCCATTTTGATTACAGTACAGTATAGTCTGAACTCAGGGAATGTGATTCCTAATAGCTCTGTTACTCTTTCTCAAGATTGTCTCAGCTATTTGGTGTCTTTTATATTTCCATACAAAATTTAAAATTATTTGTTCTAGTTCTGTGAAAAATGCCCTTGGTATTTTGATAAGTTTTTTTTTCCTCTTAGTTTTTTAAGTTGTGAAACCTATCTGTACATAAGAATGTTTAAAACATATGGACACACCACCCGGTGTGTGGGATATTAGTTCCCCAGTCAGGGATCAGACCTGCACCTCCTGCAGTGGAACCTCAGATTCTGAACCACTGGACTACCAGGACAGCCCACAGATGACATGATAGTTTGCATGCTGCTGCTGCTGTTGGTAAGTCGCTTCAGTTGTGTCCAACTCTGTGCGACCCCATAGATGGCAGCCTACCAGGCTCTGCTGTCCCTGGGATTCTTCAGGCAAGAACACTGGAGTGAGTTGCCATTTGCTTCTCCAGTGCATGAACGTGAAAAGTGAAAGTGAAGTTGCTTAGTCGTATCTGACTCTTTGCGACCCCATGGACTGCTGCCTACCAGGCTCCTCCGTCCATGGGATTTTCCAGGCAAGAGTACTGGAGTGGGTTGCCATTGCCTTCTCCAGATAGTTTGCATAGAGAACCCTAAAGACTCCACCAATAAAACTGTTAGAACTGATAAACTCAATAAAGTTGCAGAATACAAAATAAGTACAGAAAAATATGTTGCCTTTCTGTGTACTCATAATGAACAATCAGAAAGTAAAATTAAGAAAGCAGTCTCATTTACAGTTGTATCAAAAGGAATAAAATACCTCGGAATAAATTTAACCAAGGGGGTGAAAGACCTGTACACTGACAGCTGTAAGACACTGATGACAGAAGTTGAGGAAGACTCCAATAGATAGAAGGATGTTCTGTGCTCATGGATTGGAAGAATTAATATTGTTAAAATTTCCATACTTCCCACACAAGTTGCGAGACTCAGTGCTGTCTCTACCCAAATCCTGATGGCTGTTTGCACAGAAATAGGACAGAAGATGAAGAAGAACTAAAGAGCCTCCTGATGAAAGTGAAAGAGGAGAGTGAAAAAGCTGGCTTAAAGCTCAACATTCAGAAAACTAAGATCATGGCATCCAGTCCCATCACTTCATGGCAAATAGATGGGGAAACAGTGGAAACAGTGGCTGACTTTATTTTTCTGGGCTCCAAAATTACTGCAGATGGTGACTGCAGCTTGAAATTAAAAGACGCTTACTCCTTGGAAGGAAAGTTATGACCAACCTGGACAGCATATTAAAAAGCAGAGACATTACCTTGCCAACAAAGGTCCATCTAGTCAAGGCTATGGTTTTTCCAGTAGTCTTGTATGGATGTGAGAGTTGGACTATACAGAAAGCTGAGCACAAAAGAATTGATGCTTTTGAACTATGGTGTTGGAGAAGACTCTTGAGAGTCCCTTGGACTGCAAGGAGATCCAACCAGTCCATCCTAAAGGAGATCAGTCCTGGGTGTTCATTGGAAGGACTGATGCTGAAGCTGAAACTCCAATACTTTGGCCACCTCATGTGAAGAGTTGACTCATTGGAAAAGACCCTGATGCTGGGAGAGATTGGGGGCAGGAGGAGAAGGGGACGACAGAGGATGAGATGGCTGGGTGGCATCACCGACTCGATGGACACGAGTTTGGGTGGACTCCAGGAGCTGGTGACGGACAGGGAGGCCTGGCGTGCTGCAGTTCATGGGGTTGCAAAGAGTCGGACAAGACTGAGTGAACTGAACTGAACTGAGGACCAGCAATCCTAATACGTGTACGGAGCCACAAAGACCCCGGATAGCTGAAGCAGTCCTGGAGGAGAGCCAGGCTGGAAGCACCCCCTGGGTCTCGAGACTTGTCCAGCCCTTCTGTATGCCTTGTCTGACTTGCCTCTGACTGTATGTCCTCCCCTTCCCCATTTGTGACTCTCCCTTCCCCATCCGCCCCTCCCATCCCTGTTCTGGTGAGACCTTATTTCCTTTACCCTGTTGCTGTCTTTCTCGGATACCTGGGTTTGCTGGGCCACATTCCAAGCGGCTTTGAGAGAAGATGCCTAGGGAGCTGTGTGGGGGTGTCATGTGCTGGAGGATAAGAATACAGGCTTGGACGCGTCCTTCCTGCATGCTCCGGGGCTGTTCTGGAGATCTTTCTTTGGGGGGCACAGTTTTAGAGTATCATTTGTCTTGTCATTTCCCTTCTCACTACTTTAAATGGATTTGGTTCTTGTCTTACTGTCTTTTGTTTAAGATAAAACTACTGTAGTCACCCTGGCCCTCTGAGATTGACTCCAGCTCTGACAATTTGATCACACGATGCTCTTCAGGGGAACCTCTTCTTCCCACTCTGACACCCATGTTCCATCCTGCCTCATGCTTTTGCCCACACCCTGTATTTTCAGTGTCAAATCGGGGTGTGTGAGGAAGACATGGGGCCTGTGGAACCCTAAGAGGCTTCTAGGATACCCTTCCAGGATTCAAATTAAGAAAAAAAAAAGTAGGGTAATATTCCTGCCAAACCAGACAACAATGTGCAGTCTAGTCCTGATGCCCCCATCCTCTAGCCCTGCTGGTCCCTCACTCTGGTCCTCGCTCTGTTCCTCACTCTCATCCCTCACTCTCGTCCTCACTCTGGTCCTCTGGTCCTCAGTCTGGTCCCTCACTCTCGTCCTCACTCTGGTCCTCTTCTCTGGTCCCTCACTCTGGTCCTCACTCTGCTCCCTCACTCTCGTCTTCACATGGGTCCTCACTCTGCTCACTCACTCTGGTCCTCAGTCTGGTCCCTCACTCTTGTCCTCACTCTGCTCCCTCACTCTCATCCCCCACTCTAGTCCTCACTCTGGTCCCTCACTCTGGTCCTCACTCTTGTCCTCACTCTGATCCTCACTCTCATCCTCACCCTGGTCCTCACTGTGGTTCCGGGAAAACACCCCTTCCCAGAGTGGGGAGCGGTGACTGTGCTCTTGGTCACAAGCTGGAACGCCCATGAGACTGTGTGCCTCTGCCTGGCAGTGTGTACACAATCATTCCCTGTCCTGCGTAAGAGGAACAGATTTTCCAGGGGGAGGCTGGCCTGTGCCCTGAGCCCTCGGAGGTCTGCTGTCAGTGGATCGTCCAAAGATGGTGGTGGTCCATGTAAGTGTTACATGTGGTGGTGAAAGGCCCAGAGATGACTGCTGGTGTTGACTTGTTTTTGGATTGGTAGAGAGCTTTTGAAGTTGCTTTAAAAGAATGAATGTAGGACCAGATCTTCTTTTCTGCTACATATAATGTTGGGGAGATGTGTGGAGTGTGGTCAGAACAGTGGTTCAAGGTCATGTGCTGTGAGCAGGTCCACAGGTGGAGGAGGGTGCTTGTCATAAAGGGCCCATGTCTCTTGGGTCTGTTCTTGGCCAGGTTTTCTTCTTTGAGATGTGGTTTAGGTTGTTTTCTGTTTCAAAGTATTTGAGCCGTTTCTAAAGACAGATTCAGTTCAGGTGTGTTCTCTCTGGTAGCATTGCTGTGTCCCTGTGTCATGGCTGTTTTCCGATTCTGAGATGACACTCATGTTCTCTGTTGCAGAGAGGAGGCGGCTCTGGTGGAACAGTTTGTGTTTGAAGCCCTGGTCACATACATGGAAAGCCTGGCCTTGGCGCACACAGACGAGAGGTCTTTGGGTAGGTCCATTCGGGCTTTCTGTGTGCACTGGCCTGCACAGCTCGCCAGCTCATCCACGTGGGGTGGGGGCCAAGGCCACTCCCTTGTGAGGCACGGTCTTCTCTCGTCTCCTGTTTAGGGTGATGAGTGAAGCAAGAATGGGCCCCTCACAGCCTCTAACCCAGTTTATACAAGAGGTGTCTGTACCCCCACCCCTAAGACCTACCATGTCCCCTGACGGCCACTCAGGTTGACCCTGGGCTTGCAGGGTCCTGCCCGGGGCAGGCGGGGCAGTTTTATGGTGAAGCCCCAGTGAAGCCAGCCAGCTGCCGTGGTGACTCAGCTGGTGGAAATGCACGGCTGGCGCAGGGCAGACAGCTGGAAGACTTCTTGGCGATCCCTGACTCAGTCTGCCTGGGAGTCCAGCCCAGGGTGCTGACGTGGCCCTCACGTGTGGAGACACCCTCCCTCACCAGGGAGGTGCCTGTTGTTTTTAACAGACACACAGAGCCCTGCTCTCCTCCATGTCGATAGCCCTACTAATGAGTAAAAACATCTAAAATTCAGTCCTGCCAGCATTACCTTAAAATTGCTTCATCTTGACATCATATACAGGTGACTTTTCTCAACAGGAGAAATTCGACTCTTAAAAATCACAGTCAAGTGAAGAGTGTAGACAGAAAATGCTTTCTTGGTAACAGGTGAGGCCTCTTTCCTCACCACCCTAGATGCCTGTGGATGATTTCACCGTTTTACTTCCTTTCTCCTGCAGTGCTGTATTATCAACTATAACAGAGTTTAACCTGCAGCAGAGAAGGAGGGCCAGGGAGCCGCCCTGAGCTGACAGCCTGCAGTGGGGTGCGTGGGCTCTGGCCAGCCTGGTGGATCCCATGTCCCACCCGGAACTGAGGCTGCATCTGGCTGGCGGGGCTGGTGTGTCGCTCTGTCTGAGTGTGCACCATGCCAACCTGCAGTTTCTTAAACATGGGTTTTGGTTTTCGACATGCAGTGTTGCATTTTATAAAATCACCTGTTTTAATTAACGAAGCTCGGCCAGTAAGCCTAGCACTGCTGTGTTGATGACTGTCAGCTGTGAATCTCCGTGGCGATGTCTGTGTGTTGAGAGCAGGTACGGTTCAGCAGTGCTGTGATGCTGTCGACCACCTGGGGCGCATCATCGAGAAGAAGCACGTTTCCTTAAACAAAGCCAAAAAGCGACGCTGTCCCCGGTAGGTGATGTTGCTTCCTTTCTCTTTCTTCCCCTGTGCCCCCAACATAAAACTAATTCTCAGTCAACACATGGGAATCTGGGAGGAATTTGTAAAAGTATAGAGTCAGTTTTCCAAAGTCATTTAAAAGCTTTGTGTCTAAAAGTGCTTCATTTAAGGTGTAATCTTGAATGGGGTGGTGGATGCAGTTTGAGAGTCATTGTTGGAGCCGAGATATGTCTGCACTGAATACAGCTCTGATGTGGATTTGCTTGAGATGCTATGGAGTAGGTTTGGAATGTAAGAACCAAAATGTTAGAACAGTAGGATTTTGAAATGAAGTCCTTCAAAACCAAGGCTGGCTCATCGCCCAGTGGTTTCCTGTCTTTACTCCCATTTCCATCCTGCTGGGTCCCATTCTCAGACGGGGTCGGGGTGTTCCATGCCCCCTCCCCTGGGTCTGTGCACCCTGAGGAGCCCTGGCATGTGCCTCCACTCTGCAGAGGCATAGCCTGTGGACTGGACGTTGATTCTCCCTCTGTGGTTTTAAAATCGATTCTCCCCGACCCTCGGTGTGGCATCCCTCCAGGTTGCTCATGCTCACTCTTGAGCAGCAGGATTACTTTGAGGTCTGGTGACAGTGCGGGTCGCTGGGCCCTGCCCTGGAATTGGCCTTCGTAGGTTTGCAGGGGGTTGAGAATTTGCCTTTCTGCTGAGTTTACAGATGACATTGTCGCAGCTGGTCCAGGGAGCACACTTGAGAAGTTCTGCTTCATATCCTTAACCCCTTTTGTTTTAAACTGCCCTTAACAGAAAACATGAAAATACTCCGTGCTGTTCTTTTAAGAAATGCTTTTTAATTTTTCCCTCAATTAGAAAAAAAAGGCAATGAGCATTTAGGACCTATTTCACCTGTGACATTTTGATTCTATTCTAATGATAATACTTTAAAAATAAATCAAATGCCTTTTAATGAGGTTTTCACATGTATTAGGGAAACAAAATTGAATTTATGGTTTATGAACTCGGGTTGGCTAAATGCTGAATTTTGGGGCAAATACTGAATGCAGTGTGTTCTCCATACAGAGGCTTCCCACCTGCAGCATCCTTGTGCCTGTCAGACGTGGTCCAGTGGCTTTTTGCCAACTGCGGGAGGCCCCAGACAGAATGTCGACACAAGTCCATAGAACTCTTCTATAAGCTTGTTCCTTTGCTGCCAGGTATGGTGATCACTGTGTCCTGTAAGTGTCTTTTACCAGTAGTCTAGAGATGTACTTATATAAAACTTGATCTTTCCATTTAGAGAAATGTAACATGTTTCTAACAAATGAAAAGTAAGTATATTTAATAATCATTTCAGATCATTTGTATGACAGCTGATAATATATGGCTACACAGTTCTCAAAGATTTATAGAAGGAAAAATGCTGTTTTGATGTTAGATGATACGGAGGAAGTAAATTTAGGATTTCCTAGTATCTTTTTTTTTTGTTCTACAACATTTTTGCTTTTCTATTCCACTTAGAATGACCATGGTAGTTGTTAACGTGATATTCAATTAAGATTTAGAAACATTATTAATAGGTAATGAAGTAATGTAGTTGTTTTATTTTGACATGTAAATTAATAAGGGATTCCAGACACCTAAGTCTGAATGATCTCAGATCTTTGTGATATTAAGGGAAAACAGTGGACCTGTGTTACTGTGCTGAACCATTAAACTGTGCTTGGAGACTTGAGCTCATGTCTCAGTTTCTCAGGAATGAGTGTCTTGCTCTCTGCAGTTAGCCCATCCCCAGGGTTGGTAGCTGAGGCGTGGGGACGCTGGGCTTCCCGTGCACCCAGCACGAATCTGGAACCAAGTGCTGCTGGGCCATGTGCGTCTGGGTGAGGCGGTGCCCTGCACCACGGCTCCTGAGCCTGTTCTCGACAGCAGGTGGCATGGAGGACCACTGTGGGGAACAAGAGGCGAGATGGCCTCCTGTCATTCTGGGACTTAGAAGGATTGTGCGTTTTGTTATACTGTGGAATGTAGTAGATACTGTGAAATACGTGATGTTAAATATCATATAATTTACATACTGTATATCATGATTTTATTCATGCTGTGTACTATGTAAACATATAGTATGTGTTTATCCACTGTACTATAATTTAGCATATGTGATAGAGATGTATGTTTGTGCTTTTAATTTTTAGGGAATTGTTCAAAAAGCATTAGTATTTTATATATGTTTTGAGTTAGCAAAGTTTGTTTCACATGTTTCCATTCTCACAAGGAAGTCAGTGCAGAGTGGACGCACAGGGTGGAGGGCAGGGCAGAGGTGGGACTGCTTCCTGCAGGCCCCATGCCCGCTGGTGGCGTTGGTGCAGCTGCTCTTGCTGCAGGCCCTCCTATGCTTGCGTGAAATATCAGGGCTCTGTCTCTCAGAATGATCTGTGTTCGGCACCGGATGCTGGGTTCTCCATCTGACTCTTCCTGTGTCCTCCAGGGGGCCTCTGCCCACTTTAGGGATATTTAATGTCCTATGTCCTGCAGGGGTGCCCTGTGCATAGGGGCCAGGTTCGTGGACACCCAGATGCATGGGACATGATGAACCGTGCAGGTTTGTTCCCCACCAGGGAATGGTGGTGGAAGGGCCCAGAGACAGGCCCCACCTCACGGGGAGTGGGAGCGAGAGACACCCGCCCCCCCCATCTTGTTTCCCCCTAGGCCTGTCTTCCTGGGCCCTTCATTTCTGCATGCTCTCTGCTACCACGCCCAACTAGCACTCAATGTAGAATTTACATATCTTCTTTTTCTTTACTCATTGTTACAGTTTTCTTTGTCTCTTAGTGAAAATAATGGACTGGTAATTTTTCTTTCTAAAACCCTGAAAGCATGATTCTAATCTTTTGTTATGTGGCTTGTGATAGGTGTTTTCTGACACATTAAAAAACATTTCGTCTTTTGCCTCAGAAATACATTACTGTTTCAGTTTCTGTCTCTAACTTCATTAGAGTCAGAATGACTTGACGTTTTTAAAGTCACTGATTTCAAAGCCAATACACTTTAATGTTCTTTGTTTAATATAGAAAATAATACCTATTAGAGAAATACCTTTTAAAAAGCAGACCATTTAATTCTCTCATTTAATGAGCACTGGACTTTGCCACCTGGTAGATGCTCTTCCACGCACTGTTTCAGACACTAGCTGCCTCAGTTCCCGTAATCTTGGTGACAGCCGCGGAGGTGGGTGCTGTGTGAGTCACGGGACCCAGGCCGGAGAGCCGCTCCCCGTGGTGTCGGGTGGACAGGCAGGGTATTCAGAGGGTCTCGCTTTCTTGTGCTTGTTCCTTCAAAAAAGCATTAATGGTTCACAAGAAAGAGGCCAGGAGGAAGAGTCTGAAGTTTATAGGTAGTCATGTGGTATCTAGTTGGGTTGCTAATGTTTAAAGAAACTGAGGAGAATGACTTCTGGTGGAAATAACCTTCTTGTCTGTGAGCACAGTGAATGCGCGAGCTATGAGTGCCACAGCTAGAAAAACACTATCCTGGATCATTTTGGAATTTCGTTGCCTTGGTAGGTTTGTTTATGTGAGTCTTTTATGGGGGGGCTATATTTGAAATATTGTGATATTGCCCATCTTGTTATGGTGTGATTACATTTTAACATACCAGACTTTTTTTGTTCTTTATTGTTGTGAGAAGCTATTTTTAATTTTCGTATAGTGATTACCAAATGATTTTAATCACATGAGAGTGACTGATGTGTGTGCTTGAATCCTGTTTCTCTTTTAAGGCAACAGGTCCCCTTCCTCATGGCTGAGAGACTTGGTCCAGAAGGAAGGCGTCCCCTTCCTCGTGAGCACCTTCGAGGGCGGAGGAGCCCGGGACCGGCCAGCTGGCCTGCTGGCCCAGCCCACCCTCCGCCACCTGCAGGGCCCCTTCAGCCTGCGCGCCACCCTGCAGTGGATGGACACGCTGCTGGCCGCGCTGGAGTGCTACAACACCTTCCTGGATGCGGGCACCCTCAGCGCCACCGAGGTCCTGGGTGGGTAGAGCCTCCCGGGCCGGCTCTGCAGCTCTGCACGGAGCCAGGCTGGGGACGAGATGGGGGGGTGCGTGACTGGACAGGATCATGGGGTGTCATTCTCAGCTCTGCCAGCTCCCTGCACTCACAGTCAGGGTGCGAGGCCCCCTGTCTCCCCGCCCCGGGGTCTGCACCCTTCTCTCACCCTGCTCCCTGGTTCTCCACCCCCACTCCCCCTCATCTTCTGAGCTCCTGGGTGGTGTGTCTATAGTTTCTATAGTTTTCTTAGCTCTTCCTGTTCCTGGAGCATTTCTGTTCTAGGCAGTAGTGACGGTGCTTGCGGAGGACAGCGGGCAGTGGGATGTGTGTGCTGAGCAGGCCCTGTCCCCCTGGGGACCTGCATGGCCCACGCAGCAGGTGCTGCTTCTGGGAGGGGCGTCCCCAGGGTGGAGTGCATGGAGCCGGCTGGTGGCTGCCAGGTACGCTCTGCTGTGAGGCTCAGAGCAGCCGCGTGTAGTGTCTGGGATTTCTCCTGGGTCCTCGCTTGCATGGGCTGAACTGCAGACTTGTGAACAGTTTGTGCTGTTCAAATGATTGAACTGGGGGCATCTGGTCCAGCTGTGGTGACAGCTGACCAAGGGGACTGCGTCCTCCCCCAGTCCTATCAGAGGTGACAGGGGTAGAAGGACTCAGGTGGCCCCTGGTCTGCTGGACTCAAGGGTACCTGGGGTTTAAGAATGTGATTCTAACCATATGTACTCTCAGTTACTTGAATACATAATGACCTGTCATCAGAATTACTCAAGTGACCCATCAGGTGGCAGTTTGATGAACTTTCCTTAAATCTAATGACACCGAGAACTGGAAGCCCCCACCCAAGAGGGTCTCACCCAGCCTCCACCTTTGCTTGTCTCTCAGCTTGGGACCACTGGGGTCACTTGTCCCCATCTTTATGCCCAGATGGTGAGCTGCACTCCGATCACAGAGTGGAGAGCTTGCGTCTGTCCTGCGGCAGACAGGGTGGGCAAGGGGAGTGTGTCTCAGACTCATGAGTTTTGTGGGAAACCCATCTGGGAGTTGGTCTGAAATTGACTCCTTGAAACAGCCAGTCAGACCCCCCTGTTTAAGGCCAGGATATGTCTCCCCGCTGTCCCTTTGGAGGACATTTAGGTTGTTTCTTCTTTTTTTATTTGAAAACATTGCTAAAATGAGCATACTCAAAGTGCATCTTTGCGATTCCAGTGTTATTTCCTGAGGATAAAATCTCAGTGCTGGATCAAAGGATATGAACTTTTAAACCTTTAATAGAAATTGATATGCACATTTTTTCAAAGCTTTTGGTATGATTGGGCAAATAGCTCTTCAAAAAGATGGTGTTAATTTATGGTCCCATGAGTAGTGTTTGAGAAGCAGGATCTAACATTCCATAGGTGTGTTCTTACTGTGTGGGTATGCAGTTGAATTCGAGGTGGGTTGTGTTTTGAAATGAGAAGAAATAACTGCCCGTTTTATGGAACCTTTAAAAATTTGACTGAAAGTAGAGCATGCCCATACTTAAAGAAGGAGTTTGATGTTAATCTTAGTGGTTTTAGAAGGAAGTGTATGCTGATATTTTACTATAATTTTTCTAGGAGCTGAAACGCAGTCTTCACTTTGGGAAGCAGTGGCTTTCTTCTTAGAGAGCATCGCCCTGCACGACATCACAGCAGCACAAAGGTGCTGTGGTGTGGGGACCACAGGTGACAGGCCCAGCCCGCAGGAGGGGGACAGGTACAGCTACAGCAAGTGCACGGTGGTTGTTCGGGTCCTGGAGTTCTCCACGACGCTGCTGGGCACCTGCCCTGATGGCTGGAAGGTGGGCATGCCCTCCCGCTGGGTCTGCTTTCCCAGAGCTGTCCTTTTGTGGGAGCAGTCTGTCCTTGAAAATACCGGACTTCGGGTTCTCATGTAGGAACAGAAGACAATTTTCTAAATGTCTTATTGGCTCTTGGGTTTTACACTGTGGCTGAGCACCTGTCTGAGGAAATGCACATCAGCCAAAGTTTCTAAATGTATCTGTTTGGCTGAGGCCCACAGCCCACCCATTGGCATCTGCTGGGTGCCTGCTATGCACCTGGCCTGCCTCTCCCAGGACTGGCGGCCCAGGTTGCCCCATGAGGGTGTCACGGGGCACCTCCAGGCGCTCCTCTCCTGGGGCTGAGGGCTCAGACCACCCCATGAGGGTGTCACAGGGGCACCTCTAGTCCTGCCTCTCCCTGGGCCTGGGGCCCAGGCCTCCCTGTGAGAGTGTCATGGGGGTACCTACAGGCCTGCCTCTCCCGGGGCAAAGATGGAGGGACCCGGGGAGACTGGAATGTGTGCTATCTAAGCTCATGGAGAGCGGGTGCCAGCCCTTCCCCCAGGCAAACGGAATCCCTTATGCCTGGCCGTCCAGGGCATTGGGAGTCCCAATGCTGCCATTGTGTCTTTGCAGCTCCTCGGGAAGGACTCGTGCAGCGCAGACCTCATAAGGCTCCTGGTGAGGACGTTGTGTGCACCCTCGAGTGTGGGCTTCAACATTGGAGATGTGCGGGTGATGGAGCAGCTCCCCGGTGTGTGTGTGGGCCTGCTGAGGGCCCTGAGGATGTCCCCGCACCAGGACGTGCTGGAGACCCGCCTCCGGGAAGAGGTCACAGCAGAAAGGTGGGGCTCTGGACGGGCTCAGCGTGGGGGTGGTGTCAGCCAGGGCCTACCCGGCCCCAGGACAGCTAGCGTGGCTGGGGCCCTGCAAGCTAGTAAATGCATTCCAGCAGGACTCATGATTGTCAGAGTCCTTACAGTAAGGAGGCTAGCACTCACCTGGTTTTTCTTTGTTTTCCTTGCCTGGCCAGCATTGAGGAGCTGTGTGCTGTTGACCTGTATGGCCCGGACGCTCACATGAAGAGGGCCAGACTGGCTTCTCTCATGTCAGCTTGTAAGCAGCTGCACAAGGCTGGCTTTCTGCATGTCATAGTGCCGTCTCAGGTAACTGTGCTGCTTTGTTTTACATTTCTCTTAGCTTATTATGCCAGTTAGTCTATTTATATTTAGTCTTTTTAAGACATCGTTATGTCCAGAGCTTGCTGAGATGGGAATTAGAGAAATACTTGCTCCAGACACGTCAATGTTGCCTGGAGTGTAAATGCCACAGTCAATGCTAAAGTTCATGAATATAAACTGGAAATACAGTGAAGGACTTCTGAATGTTTTCAGCAGCCTTCTGAGACCTTTAGGCACTAACTGCTGTCCTCCCTTTGTAGCAGGAAGCAGAGGTGAGTGAAGATGCCCCTGAGAGTTGGAAGGCAGTGGTCAGTGTTAGTGAACATGGCTTTTTATGAATGAAAGCAGTGAGGTTGTGTTTTCCTCTCAAGCGTCTCATTGCTGGGTATCTCAGTGGTCAGTGTAGTGAACATGGGTTTTTATGAATGAAAGCAGTGAGGTGGTGTTTTCCTCTCCAGCGTCTCATTGCTGGGTGTCTCAGTGTTGCTTCACTTCAGTCTGCAGATGAGCAGCATTCTCTCGGCATGAAGCTTCTTTCCCTGGTTTATAAAAGCATCGCCCCTGGACATGAGGGGCTGAGTCTGTCTTCCCTGGACCCCAGCTGCCAGCGGTTCGCGCATGAGCTTCTGGAGCTGGCCTTTGCGTGCGGAGGACTGGTAGGAGACGCAGCTGCGTACACATGTGCCGTCTGGTGACCTCAGGCAGCGCTCGCAGTGTCCCTGGAGATGGGAGTTTAGTTGGGAACCTTCTCAGCTGCGGCTACCCACTGCTGTATTCTGACCTGGAGAATTCCATGGACTGTATAGTCCATAGGGTTTCAGAGGGTCTGACACAACTGAGCAACTTTCACTTTTACTTCACTTTTCTCAGCCGCACAAGGACTTTAATAACTGATTTATGTTAGAGGACTTTTTATCCTGTAAGAAAAGAGTTTTCCTTTTTTTACAAAAGGAGTAGAATGATGATGTTCTTGAGCTGAGGTTTGGTCTTTCTCAGGCAGAGAACGTTCTGTGGGTGCAGAGCGACCCTGTGCTGATGCAGTGGCTCTTCCTCCCCCACCCTTGATGACTCGAGAGGCTGGTGTGGGAGGTGCATCCAGATGCCCCACGTGCTCATGGCCTCGGGCTCTGCCAGGCGACCTTAGATGATCTTGCTGGCCGAGGGTCCCCATCCAACGCCCTCCTTCTCCTGCCCGCCCCCATACCCCCTCAGCACAGACAGACTACTGTCTCATGTCCTCACCTGAGGGTCCCCACCCACTCCGTCCCTTCTCCTGTCTCCTTGTCCCCTTGGAACAGACTACTGTCTAACAACCTCACCTATCCCAGATGCTCCCCTCAAAGCAGGATTTTGGGGAGCCCTGGGAGACACAGAAGTCAGGAAGAGTTCTAACCCCAAATGGAACCTGGGAAATGGAGCCTGGGGAGGGTCTGCAGTACAGACCAACCCCGACCTCCCAGGCCAGGCTCCTGTGCTTTCCATGTCAGAGTTCCCTGTCGCCCAGGGAGTCCTGACCACTGCTGTCCCCTCTCCTCCTTGCAGTGTGAGCGCCTGGTAGGTCTCCTCCTGGGCACAGCTGTGGTGTCCACGCCATCCTCAAGAGGCACCCAGAGGAACATTGTCAGCTTCTCTCATGGACAGTATTTCTACAACCTGTTCTCAGAAACGATCAACACTGAACTGTTGAGAAATCTGGATCTTGCCGTATCAGAACTCATGAAGTCATCTGTGGATAATCCCAAAATGGTAATGGGTTTTTCCTCTTAGGAAAGTGTGTTTTCTTTAGTAATGCTTATAAAGGGGTTGCCGTACTGCTGAGAAAATGCATCATTAAAACAAAGTACAATCTCTGCCTGGAAGGTCTAAACTCCTGCCCAAAGCCTCTCCTCTGTGAGCAGTTAGTGATGTAGTGGATATGAGACGTTGACCCTTGTTCTCATCTCGCAGGGCCCCGTACAACATGGCTCAGCTGTGGGAGCGACTGGCCTTGGTCTCCACCGGCCGTGGCTGGGCCAACGCCGCAGTCCCTGTCACAATGCTGAGTCCTTGCTTCCCACACATTCATGTTCTGGCCCCTCTGTCTCTCACACTGAACCTTTGCAGGTCAATATTTAATATGTAGTTGACTTTGTTTTTTATTAAAAATCACTCTAAAATCTTTTTTTTTTTTCATTTATTTTTATTAGTTGGAGGCTAATTACTTTACATCATTGCAGTGGTTTTTGTCATACATTGAAATGAATTAGCCATGGATTTACATGTATTCCCCATCCCGGTCCCCCCTCCCACCTCCCTCTCCACCCGATCCCTCTGGGTCATCCCAGTGCACCAGGCCCGAGCACTTGTCTCATGCACCCAACCTGGGCTGGTGATCTGTTTCACCCTAGATGATATACATGTTTTGATGCTGTTCTCTTGAAACATCCCACCCTCGCCTTCTCCCAGAGCCCACAAGTCTGTTCTATACATCTGAGTCTCTTTTTCTGTTTTGCATATAGGGTTATCGTTACCATCTTTCTAAATTCCATATATATGTGTTAGTATACTGTAATGGTCTTTATCTTTCTGGCTTACTTTGCTCTGTATAATGGGCTCCAGTTTCATCCATCTCATTAGAACTGATTCAAATGAATTCTTTTTAATGGCTGAGTAATATTCCATGGTGTATATGTACCACAGCTTCCTCATCCATTCGTCTGCTGATGGGCATCTAGGTTGCTTCCATGTCCTGGCTATTATAAACAGTGCTGCGATGAACATTGGGGTACACGTGTCTCTTTCAGATCTGGTTTCCTCGGTGTGTATGCCCAGAAGTGGGATTGCTGGGTCATATGGCAGTTCTAGTTCCAGCTTTTTAAGAAATCTCCACACTGTTTTCCATAGTGGCTGTACTAATTTGCATTCCCACCAACAGTGTAAGAGGGTTCCCTTTTCTCCACACCCTCTCCAGCATTTATTGCTTGTAGACTTTTGGATAGAAGCCATCCTGACTGGCGTGTAATGGTACCTCATTGTGGTTTTGATTTGCATTTCTCTGATAATGAGTGATGTTGAGCATCTTTTCATGTGTTTGTTAGCCATCTGTATGTCTTCCTTGGAGAAATGTCTGTTTAGTTCTTTGGCCCATTTTTTGATTGGGTCATTTATTTTTCTGGAGTTGAGCTGGAGGAGTTGCTTGTATATTTTTGAGATTAATCCTTTGTCTGTTGCTTCGTTTGCTATTATTTTCTCCCAATCTGAGGGCTGTCTTTTCACCTTGCTTATAGTTTCCTTTGTTGTGCAAAAGCTTTTAAGTTCCATTAGGCCCCATTTGTTTATTTTTGCTTTTATTTCTAAAATTCTGGGATGTGGGCCATAGAGGATCCTGCTGTGATTTATGTCGGAGAGTGTTTTGCCTGTGTTCTCCTCTAGGAGTTTTATAGTTTCTGGTCTTACATTTAGCTCTTTAATCCATTTTGAGTTTATTTTTGTGTATGGTGTTAGAAAGTGTTCTAGTTTGATTCTTTTACAGGTGGTTGACCAGTTTTCCCAGCACCACTTGTTAAAGAGGTTGTCTTTTTTCCATTGTGTATCCTTGCCTCCTTTGTCGAAGATAAGGTGACCATAGGTTCGTGGATTTATCTCTGGGCTTTCTATTCTGTTCCATTGATCTATATTTCTGTCTTTGTGCCAGTACCATACTGTCTTGATGACTGTGGCTTTGTAGTATAGTCTGAAGTCAGGCAGATTGATTCCTCCAGTCCATTCTTCTTTCTTAGGATTACTTTGGCTATTCGAGGTTTTTTGTATTTCCATACAAATTGTGAAATTATTTGTTCTAGTTCTGTGAAAAATACCGTTGGTAGTTTGATAGGGATTGCATTGAATCTATAGATTGCTTTGGGTAGTATAGCCATTTTGACAATATTGATTCTTCCAATCCATGAACACGGTATATTTCAACCCAAAACCTATGGGACACTGTAAAAGCAGTGCTAAGGGGAAGATTCATAGCATTACAGGCCTACCTCAAGAAACAAGAAAAAAGTCAAATAAATAACCTAACTCTACACCTAAAGCAACTAGAGGAGGAAGAAATGAAGAACCCCAGGGTTAGTAGAAGGAAAGAAATCTTAAAAATTAGGGCAGAAATAAATGCAAAAGAAACTAAAGAGATCATAGCAAAAATTAACAAAGCTAAAAGCTGGTTTTTTGAAAAAATAAACAAAATTGACAAACCATTAGCAAGACTCATTAAGAAACAAAGGGAGAAGAATCAAATTAACAAAATTAGAAAGGAAAATGGAGTGATCACAACAGACAACACTGAAATACAAAGGATCATAAGAGACTACTACTAGCAGCTGTATGCCAATAAAATGGACAACTTGGAAGAAATGGACAAGTTCATAGAGAAGTATAACTTTCCAAAACTGAACCAGGAAGAAATAGAAGATCTTAACAAACCCATCACAAGCAAGGAAATCGAAACTGTAATCAGAAATCTTCCAGCAAACAAAAGCCCAGGACCAGATGGCTTCACAGCTGAATTCTACCAAAAATTTAGAGAAGAGCTAACACCTATCTTACTCAAACTCTTCCAGAAAATTGCAGAAGAAGGTAAACTTCCAAACTCATTCTATGAGGCCACCATTACCCTAATTCCAAAACCAGACAAAGATGCCACAAAAAAAGAAAACTACAGGCCAATATCACTGATGAACATAGATGCAAAAATCCTTAACAAAATTCTAGCAAACAGAATCCAACAACATATTAAAAAAATCATACATCATGACCAAGTGGGCTTTATCCCAGGAATGCAAGGATTCTTTAATATCCGCAAATCAATCAATGTAATACACCACATTAACAAATTGAAAGATAAAAACCATATGATTATCTCAATAGATGCAGAAAAAGCCTTTGATAAAATTCAACATCCATTTATGATTAAAACTCTCCAGAAAGCAGGAATAGAAGGAACATACCTCAACATAATAAAAGCTATATATGACAAACCCACAGCAAGCATCACCCTCAATGGTGAAAAACTGAAAGCATTTCCCCTGAAATCAGGAACAAGACAAGGGTGCCCACTCTCACCACTACTATTCAACATAGTTTTGGAAGTTTTGGCCACAGCAATCAGAGCAGAAAAAGAAGTAAAAGGAATCCAGATAGGAAAAGAAGAAGTGAAACTCTCTCTGTTTGCAGATGACATGATCCTCTACATAGAAAACCCTAAAGACTCTACCAGAAAATTACTAGAGCTAATCAACGAATACAGTAAAGTTGCAGGATATAAAATTAACACACAGAAATCTCTTGCATTCCTATACACTAACAATGAGAAAACAGAAAGAGAAATTAAGGAAACAATACCATTCACCATTGCAACAAAAAGAATAAAATACTTAAGAGTATATCTACCTAAAGAAACAAAAGACCTATACATAGAAAACTATAAAACACTGATGAAAGAAATCAAAGAGGACACAAACAGATGGAGAAATGTAGTTGACTTTGGTCTGCGAAACTTAATTTTGAATTTTATGTTGGTTGGTAGACCATCAAAAATCGTTAACTGTTGCAATGGCCATTCTAAGGCAGAGGCATAATTTCCTGCTGAGTTAATGAGCTGTTATTGCAAGGAGACTTTATAGCTGGGGCCCGAGTCAGCAGGTTGTTAACTATGTTTATGTTAACTGTGTTTCTGATGTGCCCGGTCTCCACAGGGTCTGCGTCCGGTACGCCTCTCCCCAGAAAGCTGTTGGGGCAAGCTCTGCACCAAGATAGTTTTGCAGCGGGGACTGAGGAGGACATGGGTCTGGGAAGTGGGCAGTCTCCCAGGGTGGGCACTGACCCCCACGAGAGCCCTGGGAGGTGTCCCCTACCCTCCGATGGTGCACAGCCTCCCCTCTCCCCCATCCCAGTGCGTTTGATGACAGCAGTGACGGTCATGAGAACAGCTCAGGAGGGGGACACACTGAGGCGCTGTTCTTCTCCCCAGCGAGAATCCATGTACAGCCCTCTGTGCAGATCCACTCCCACGGACCACGGCACTAGAGTGCATTTCCTCGTCAAGGGTACCTGTGCCATTCAAACCGTGTTGTTCACGAGTCAAGTATTAAGTTCATGACCGTCAGTGTTGCCAAGGAAGGAGACGTGTGCTAGCTTGCTGCTGGCTCATCCGTGAGCGGTGTCATGGCGGTGGGGTGTTGATTCATGGATCTCAGTGGGCTTAGGAGAGCGCTGTTGGAAAGGTGGTTTGACAGGAATACATGCACGTGTGTCCCTGTGTGCATGTTCCTATGTATGCATGTGCCTGTGTATGTGTGTGTGTGCCTGTGGGTGTATCTCTGTGTGCCTGTGTCCCTGTGTGTGTGCATATGAGTGCACACAGTGGTAATGGTGACCGCAGAGAGCTGACTTCCCCTCCTGTGGAGGATGCCCCCACTAAGAAGACAGTAGTGGTTTAAGCCTGATTTAGTCAAGGGGCTGGAGACCACTGTGGGCCTTTGTAAGAAAACTCACATGTTAAGTCACATGTGAACTTCAGATTTGAGGAGCTGTGAGGTACATGGCTCTTCTGGAAGTAATGTCTTCATTTTCTGGGAAGAGCTTTGAATGACAGTAAATTCTGTTGCCCATCTGTTGGCCTGGATGATAAGTTTCCCTTCCTTTGTCCACACTGTTGCAGGTGAGCGCCATCCTGAACGGTCTGTTGGATCAGAGCTTCCGGGACCGAGCCAGCCAGAAGCAGCAAGGCCTGAAACTGGTCAGCACCGTCCTGCAGAGCTGGGGGTGCTGCGGCCCGTGGTGGGCTCGGGACGCCACCCCTGACAGCAAAACCGCAGTGCTCACCTTACTGGCAAAAATTCTGCAGGTATTTTGAGAAACCTTGAAAATGTAATTGTGTCCTTTGCTTGTGTCTTTGAAAATTTAATGGATGTTTCTTGAAAAGCTCATTGGTTTGACTAATTTCTGATTCACTTACATCTTATGTTTTTCCATTTTCTTACTTTATTGTCCTTTATTCTCATTGTTTTTTCTTATCTTCTCAATGTGCCTTTTATGTGCATTGTCTTAGAGGATAGTTTTAAAACATTTCAGAACAGAAACTGTTGACATACTGTTGAAGCCCAAGAACAAATTTATAGATCATTTCTGAAATTTAAAAAGTAGAAAATGTAGTGTAGGAAATTGGAGGCACAGTGTAGAAATCTGAGTTTATTTTCCCTCTGTTAGATTGATTCATCGGTGTCCTCTAATACAAGTCACAGTGCCTTCCCGGAAGTTTTTACAACATTTGTGAGTCTACTTGCTGATCCAAAATTGGATCTACATTTAAAGGTAAGAGATTAAAAAGATTTTTTTCAGGTTATGGTCTCCATTTGTTTTCCTGTTTTATATTTTTGTGTATTTGTGATATTTTTTGTTTTTTTTTTCATTTTATTTTATGGAAAATTTCAGGCATTCTCAAAAGCAGAAGGAGCAGCACAGAGAACTCCTGGGTCCCTGTTATTGGTTTTTGTAGCCATCAGTCATCTTTCTATTAATAAGAATCTAAAACATCTCAGTAACTTGGGTCCAGAACTTCATGGACTGTAATTATTTTAGAGTCCTAAAAGTAACAGTTAGATTTTTCTCCAGTAAAGCTTAGCTTCATGAACATGTCTTGCTATGGATCACGGGATGTTTCTCTGGGATTTTATGCTTCGTGTGCTTAGCACACGGGGGTCTCAGTACAAGGGGGTCTGGGAACTGATGTCCCGCCCAGGGAGGAAGGCCCTGCCTGGGATCTCCGGGGCCCTGGTGGAGGAGAGTCAGTTCTGCATTCACCCTTTAGGCTGTCATGATGGTCTTTCCTCAAGGACTTGGGCAGCAGGTTCCTAGGAGCAGCTCTGCTTGTAGGAGGAGAAATCACACAGACTCGTGCTGCCCTGTCCCATGCTCTCGGGCGGCCCTGACTTGGCCACTGAGACTAGAGTGGAAGTCTGGATACGGGGCACATCCCACTGTGGGCGTGGTGTCCGGCAGTGGTCATTTAACCCACTGGCTCCATCTGTAGAGAGCAGTCATTGCTCTTGTCCATGGGGCCTGCGGCTAGTCTCACGCTTGTGCTTGCTCCGCAGGGCCAGGCCGTGGCGCTGCTCCCCTTCTTCTCCAGCCTCACGGGGGACCGTCTGCAGGAGCTCAGACGTACTCTTGAGAAGCTCGTTGTCTCTCATTTCCCCATGAGATCTGGAGAGTTCCCCCCGGGGACTCTGCGCTATACTAACTACGTGGATTGTATGAAAAAGGTTTGTTTTCAGTAGTACCAACTAAAGGTAAAACACTGCTTGTTTTCTGTTAACGTTTCTTGGGGAGAAGTAAGTGAAATATTGAGAGAATGTTCTAATTTTAAGGATACTGTTGAATGCATTTTGTTTTTGTTTTTGTTTTTTTTTTTAAATTTATTTATTTATTTTTTTTATCACAACCATAGTGTATCTTTTTTTTTTTTTTACATGTATTCCCCATCCCGGTCCCCCCTCCCACCTCCCTCTCCACCCAATCCCTCTGGGTCTTCCCAGTGCACCAGGCCCGAGCACTTGTCTCGTGCACCCAACCTGGGCTGGTGAACTGTTTCACCCTAGATAATATACGTGTTTCAATGCTGTTCTCTTGAAACATCCCACCCTCGCCTTCTCCCAGAGTCCACAAGTCTGTTCTATACATAGGAGTCTCTTTTTCTGTTTTGCACATAGGGTTATCGTTACCATCTTTCTAAATTCCATATATATGTGTTAGTATACTGTAATGGTCTTTATCTTTCAGGCTTACTTCGCTCTGTATAATGGGCTCCAGTTTCATCCATCTCATTAGAACTGATTCAAATGCATTCTTTTTAATGGCTGAGTAATATTCCATGGTGTATATGTACCACAGCTTCCTCATCCATTCATCTGCTGATGGGCATCTAGGTTGCTTCCATGTCCTGGCTATTATAAACAGTGCTGCGATGAACATTGGGGTACACGTGTCTCTTTCAGATCTGGTTTCCTCGGTGTGTATGCCCAGAAGTGGGATTGCTGGGTCATATGGCAGTTCTATTTCCAGCTTTTTAAGAAATCTCCACACTGTTTTCCATAGTGGCTGTACTAATTTGCATTCCCACCAACAGTGTAAGAGGGTTCCCTTTTCTCCACACCCTCTCCAGCATTTATTGCTTGTAGACTTTTGGATAGCAGCCATCCTGACTGGTGTGTAATGGTACCTCATTGTGGTTTTGATTTGCATTTCTCTGATAATGAGTGATGTTGAGCATCTTTTCATGTGTTTGTTAGCCATCTGTATGTCTTCCTTGGAGAAATGTCTGTTCAGTTCTTTGGCCCATTTTTTGATTGGGTCATTTATTTTTCTGGAGTTGAGCTGGAGGAGTTGCTTGTATATTTTTGAGATTAATCCTTTGTCTGTTGCTTCGTTTGCTATTATTTTCTCCCAATCTGAGGGCTGTCTTTTCACCTTGCTTATAGTTTCCTTTGTTGTGCAAAAGCTTTTAAGTTTCATTAGGTCCCATTTGTTTATTTTTGCTTTTGTTTCTAAAATTCTGGGATGTGGGTCATAGAGGATCCTGCTGTGATTTATGTCGGAGAGTGTTTTGCCTATGTTCTCCTCTAGGAGTTTTATAGTTTCTGGTCTTACATTTAGATCTTTAATCCATCTTGAGTTTATTTTTGTGTATGGTGTTAGAAAGTGTTCTAGTTTCATTCTTTTACAGGTGGTTGACCAGTTTTCCCAGCACCACTTGTTAAAGAGGTTGTCTTTTTTCCATTGTATATCCTTGCCTCCTTTGTCGAAGATAAGGTGACCATAGGTTCGTGGATTTATCTCTGGGCTTTCTATTCTGTTCCATTGATCTATATTTCTGTCTTTGTGCCAGTACCATACTGTCTTGATGACTGTGGCTTTGTAGTATAGTCTGAAGTCAGGCAGATTGATTCCTCCAGTTCCATTCTTCTTTCTCAGGATTACTTTGGCTATTCGAGGTTTTTTGTATTTCCATACAAATTGTGAAATTATTCGTTCTAGTTCTGTGAAAAATATCGTTGGTAGTTTGATAGGGATTGCATTGAATCTGTAGATCGCTTTGGGTAGTATAGCCATTTTGACAATATTGATTCTTCCAATCCATGAACACGGTATACTTCTCCATCTGTTTGTGTCCTCTTTGATTTCTTTCATCAGTGTTTTATAGTTTTCTATGTATAGGTCTTTTGTTTCTTTAGGTAGATATACTCCTAAGTATTTTATTCTTTTTGTTGCAATGGTGAATGGTATTGTTTCCTTAATTTCTCTTTCTGTTTTCTCATTGTTAGTGTATAGGAATGCAAGAGATTTCTGTGTGTTAATTTTATATCCTGCAACTTTACTGTATTCGTTGATTATCTCTAGTAATTTTCTGGTAGAGTCTTTAGGATTTTCTATGTAGAGGATCATGTCATCTGCAAACAGCGAGAGTTTCACTTCTTCTTTTCCTATCTGGATTCCTTTTACTTCTTTTTCTGCTCTGATTGCTGTGGCCAAAACTTCCAAAACTATGTTGAATAGTAGTGGTGAGAGTGGGCACCCTTGTCTTGTTCCTGATTTCAGGGGAAATGCTTTCAGTTTTTCACCATTGAGGGTGATGCTTGCTGTGGGTTTGTCATATATAGCTTTTATTATGTTGAGGTATGTTCCTTCTATTCCTGCTTTCTGGAGAGTTTTAATCATAAATGGATGTTGAATTTTATCAAAGGCTTTTTCTGCATCTATTGAGATAATCATATGGTTTTTATCTTTCAATTTGTTAATGTGGTGTATTACATTGATTGATTTGCGGATATTAAAGAATCCTTGCATTCCTGGGATAAAGCCCACTTGGTCATGATGTATGATTTTTTTAATATGTTGTTGGATTCTGTTTGCTAGAATTTTGTTAAGGATTTTTGCATCTATGTTCATCAGTGATATTGGCCTGTAGTTTTCTTTTTTTGTGGCATCTTTGTCTGGTTTTGGAATTAGGGTGATGGTGGCCTCATAGAATGAGTTTGGAAGTTTACCTTCTTCTGCAATTTTCTGGAAGAGTTTGAGTAAGATAGGTGTTAGCTCTTCTCTAAATTTTTGGTAGAATTCAGCTGTGAAGCCATCTGGTCCTGGGCTTTTGTTTGCTGGAAGGTTTCTGATTACAGTTTCGATTTCCTTGCTTGTGATGGGTTTGTTAAGATCTTCTATTTCTTCCTGGTTCAGTTTTGGAAAGTTATATTTCTCTAAGAACTTGTCCATTTCTTCCAAGTTGTCCATTTTATTGGCATAGAGCTGCTGGTAGTAGTCTCTTATGATCCTTTGTATTTCAGTGTTGTCTGTTGTGATCTCTCCATTTTCGTTTCTAATTTTGTTAATTTGGTTCTTCTCCCTTTGTTTCTTAATGAGTCTTGCTAATGGTTTGTCAATTTTGTTTATTTTTTCAAAAAACCAGCTTTTAGCTTTGTTAATTTTTGCTATGGTCTCTTTAGTTTCTTTTGCATTTATTTCTGCCCTGATTTTTAAGATTTCTTTCCTTCTACTAACCCTGGGGTTCTTCATTTCTTCCTCCTCTAGTTGCTTTAGGTGTAGAGTTAGGTTATTTATTTGACTTTTTTCTTGTTTCTTGAGGTAGGCCTGTAATGCTATGAATCTTCCCCTTAGCACTGCCTTTACAGTGTCCCATAGGTTTTGGGTTGTTGTGTTTTCATTTTCATTCATTTCTATGCATATTTTGATTTCTTTTTTGATTTCTTCTATGATTTGTTGGTTATTCAGAAGCGTGTTGTTTAGCCTCCATATGTTTGAATTTTTAATAATTTTTTTCCTGTAATTAAGATCTAATCTTACTGCACTGTGGCCAGAAAAGATGACTGGAATGATTTCAATCTTTTTGAATTTACCAAGACTAGATTTATGGCCCAGGATGTGATCTATTCTGGAGAAGGTTCCGTGTGCACTTGAGAAAAAGGTGAAGTTGATTGTTTTGGGGTGAAACGTCCTATAGATGTCAATTAGGTCTAGCTGGTCCATTGTGTCCTTTAAAGTTTGTGCTTCTTTGTTCATTTTCTGTTTAGTTGATCTATCCATAGTTGTGAGTGGGGTATTAAAGTCTCCTACTATTATTGTGTTACTATTAATTTCCTCTTTCATACTCGTTAGCGTTTGCCTTACATATTGCGGTGCTCCTATGTTGGGTGCATATATATTTATAATTGTTATATCTTCTTCTTGGATTGATCCTTTGATCATTATGTAGTGTCCATCTTTGTCTCTTTTCACAGCCTTTATTTGAAAGTCTATTTTATCTGATATGAGTATTGCGACTCCTGCTTTCTTTTGGTCTCCGTTTGCGTGGAATATTTTTTTCCAGCCCTTCACTTTTAGTCTGTATGTGTCCCTTGCTTTGAGGTGGGTCTCTTGTAGACAGCATATATAGGGGTCTTGCTTTTTTATCCATTCAGCCAGCCTTTGTCTTTTGGTTGGGGCATTCAACCCATTTACATTTAAGGTAATTATTGATAGGTATGGTCCCGTTGCCATTTATTTTGTTGTTTGGGGTTCACGTTTATACCACCTTTCTGTGTTTCCTGTCTAGAGAAGATCCTTTAATATTTGTTGAAGAGCTGGTTTGGTGGTGTTGAATTCTCTCAGCTTTTGCTTGTCTGTAAAGCTTTTGAGTTCTCCTTCATATCTGAATGAGATCCTTGCTGGGTAGAGTAATCTAGGTTGTAGGTTATTCTCTTTCATTACTTTAAGTATGTCCTGCCATTCCCTTCTGGCCTGAAGGGTTTCTATTGATAGATCAGCTGTTATCCTTATGGGAATCCCTTTGTGTGTTATTTGTTGTTTCTCCCTTGCTGCTTTTAATATTTGTTCTTTGTGTTTGATCTTTGTTAATTTGATTAATATGTGTCTTGGGGTGTTTCGCCTTGGGTTTATCCTGTTTGGGACTCTCTGGGTTTCTTGGACTTGGGTGGCTATTTCCTTCCCCATTTTAGGGAAGTTTTCAGCTGTTATCTCCTCGAGTATCTTCTCATGGTCTTTCTTTTTGTCTTCTTCTTCTGGGACTCCTATGATTCGAATGTTGGGGCGTTTCACATTGTCCCAGAGGTCCCTGAGATTGTCCTCATTTCTTTTGATTCTTTTTTCTTTTTTCCTCTCTGCTTCATTTATTTCCACCATTTTATCTTCTAACTCACTTATCCTATCTTCTGTCTCTGTTATTCTACTCATGGTTCCCTCCAGAGTGTTTTTGATCTCATTTATTTCATTATTAATTTTTAATTGACTTTTTTTATTTCTTCTAGGTCCTTGTTAAACATTTCTTGCATCTTCTCAATCTTTGTCTCCAGGCTATTTATTTGTAACTCCATTTTGTTTTCAAGATTTTGGATCATTTTTATTATCATTATTCTAAATTCTTTTTCAGGTAGATTCCCTATTTCCTCCTCTTTTGTTTGACTTGGTGGGCTTTTTTCATGTTCCTTTAGCTGTTGGGTATTTCTCTGCCTTTTCATCTTGTTTAGATTGCTGTGTCTGGAGTGGGCTTTCTGTATTCTTGTGGTCTGAGGTTCCTTTTTATTGTGGAGGTTTCACCCAGTGGGTGGGGTTGGACGATTGGTTTGTCAAGGTTTCCTGGTTAGGGAAGCTTGTGTCAGCGTTCTGGTGCGTGGAATTGGATTTCTTCTCTCTGAAGTGCAATGGAGTGTCCAGTAATGAGTTTTGCGATGGATCTATGTGTTAGGTGTGACTTTGGAGAGCCTGTATGTTGACACTCAGGTCTATGTTTCTGCGTTGCTAAAGAATTTGCGTGGTATGTCTTGTACTGGAGCTTATTGGCTCTTGAGTGGTGGCTGGTTTTGGTGTAGGTATGGAAGCTTTTGGATGGTCTCTTATTCCTTAATGTTCCGTGTAGTCAGGAGTTTTCTGGTTTTCTCAAGATTTGGGCTTAAGTCTCCTGCCTCTGGATTTCAGTTTTGTTCTTCCAATAGTCTCAAGACTTCTCCAACTATACAGCACTGATAATAAAACTTCTAGGTTAATGGTGAAAAGATTCTGCACCGTGAGAGACAACCAGAGAGGTTCACAGAGTTACATGAAGAATAGGAGAGGGAGGAAGGAGATAGAGGTGATCAGGAGGAAAAAAAGGGGACTCAAGAGGAGAGAGACAGATCTACGCAGTTATCTGTTCCCAAAGTGTTCTCCGTAGCCCAGACACCCACAAAGATTCACAGAGTTGGATTGGGAAGAGAAGGGGAAAGGAGGAAATAGAGGTGTTCCGAGGTAGAAAACAGAGAGTCAAAAGTGGGAGAGTAATCACCACACTCCTGAATAGAAATGGGAACTGAATATTGGATTCTTAAATGACCAAAATTTATATCACATACTACTGAAAAACAAAGATTAAAAATCTAGTGTAGAGGTTAGATTCTTTGAAATACAATATTTTAAAACAAAAACACACAAAAAAATTTAGAAATGTATATGAAGTTTGATTTAAAAATAGGGTTTTTCTCTCTCTCTCTTTTTTTTTTTTTTTTGGCAAGGTTATAGTGAAATGAAAATGAAAATTAAGGACTAATAGAGGAGTATTAGAGGACTTTAAAATAGGAGAGAAAAACAAGAAAAAGAAAAAAAAGAAAAAAAAATTTTTTTTCCCTAATTAAAAAAATCGTAAAAATATATGAAAATGAAAGTTGAGGAGTAATGGGGGAGTAATAGGGAATTTTAAAAGAAAATAAAAGAGAAAAAATTTAAAAAAAAAAAAAAGGATAGAAAAAAAAATTTTTTTTTAAATTAAAAAAAAAAATATATATATATATAGGAATTTCTCTGGAGTTGTTGCAGTCAGCGTAGGTTCAGTTCAATTTCAGATAGCTCCTCTTTCCAGCTTACACTTCTCGATATCTGTAGGCCCCTTCTGATGTAGTCGGTGTTACCTTCAGGGATTTTAGTCTGTTGCACCAGTCCTTTCTGAAGCAGTTCCCTTTGTTTATTTGGCTTCTGTTTGCCGTCTCTTCGGTGCCTAGTTTCCGCCCTGACACAGGCGGGCAGAGGTGATCTCTAATTTAGGTTTGCTAGTTCAGTTCAGTACTGCTACGGGGAGGGCGTGGCGCTGCAGACAGATACCGCTCTGTGTGGATAGCACTCACCGTGTTCCGGCCACACTGGGTTTGCCCCGCTCACGGGTGTCAGTGCTTTCCCCGTCTACACTGCTCAGGGTCCCGGCTGCTCTATATGGAGCGGGCCCTGCGTTGAGTGCGGTTCCAGATTTCGGGTACTCCACAAAAGCGCAGATTCGGTTGCGCCTGCGTTTTGTGCCTTCCCCGGCCTGAGCGGTTCAGGCAGCCAGAGGCTTGGGCGCACTCTCCCCGGATGTGGCGCGCCTTTTCCCTCCGCGTCGGGCAGCTCAGGCAGCCAGAGGCTTGGGCGCAATCTCCCCGGGTACGGCGCGCTTTTTCCCTCCGCGGCGAGCGGCTCAGGCAGCCAGAGGCTTGGGCGCACTCTCCCCGGGTACGGCGCGCTTTTTCCCTCCGCGGCCCCAGCGCGCGCCGCCAGTCGGGTCTCAGGAAGTCTTTAGATAGGAACCGGGGGCCTGTTTGCAGTGTGGGAGGGGGTGGCTTCTCAGGAGCCGAGTTTGCCCTTTTCCCCTACCCCCTGCCTCCAACCTCCAGCGGGGATGGGCCGGCTCTTCTCTGGACTTTCTCAGTCCCTTTGTTTTGCGAACCGCTGGCAGTGTGTTCGGGCCTGTTAATTTTGTCCCTTGCTATCCCACAGTTTAAAAAAGCTCCCTCCGATTGCTCTCAGGGTCTTCGGGCCGGTCCTTACCCTAAGCAATGCCGCCCGCTCCTCTCCGTCCCGGCCCCGCTTGTTGCTGGCGGGTATGGGCGTCTGGGGTACTTTTCTGCTGGGAGTTGCTTTTAGGCACGTAATCTGTGGGCCTTGTTTAATTTTTCCTCCCAGTTAGATTGCCGAAAACTTCCCCCAGTCCCGCCAGTGCGAGGGTTTCCTGGTGATTGGAAACTTCCTCTATTAAGACTCCCTTCCCGGGACGGGTCTCCGTCCGTAGCTCTTTTGACTCCCTTTTCATCTTTTATATTTTGTCCTACCTCCCTTCGAAGACAATGGGCTGCTTTTCTGGGCGCCTGATGTCCTCTGCTAGCGATCAGAAGTTGTTTTGTGCAATTTGCTCAGCATTCAAATGGTGTTTCGATGAATTTGTAGGAGAGAAAGTGGTCTCCCCGTCCTATTCCTCCGCCATCTTGGCTCCTTCCTGATACTGTTGAATGCATTTTGAAAGCTGGGTGTCGGTGGAGGCAGAAGCGAGTCTGAATCCTTTGTAACGAATTGTTCCTCAGACTTCCCTGGTGGCTCATATGGTAGAAGCATCTGCCTTTAATGTGGGAGACCCGGTTCGATCCCTGGGCTGGGAAGATCCCCTGGAGTAGGAAATGGCGACCCACTCCAGTACTCTTGCCTTGAAAATCCCATGGACGGAGGAGCCTGGTAGGCTATAGTCCATGGGGTCACAAAGAATCAGACATGACTGAACAACTTCTCTTTCTTTTCCACTTTAAAAATTGTGAGGTATTTTATGCATATAAATATTGTGCAATATTTTATGCATGCTGTGTAAGTTTTGAGGAATAATACCCAAAAAAGCTTAGAAATAAGAATATTACACATATGGTACAGCTTCTGAAGTTTGAGTGGTGGTTGTTTGAGAAGCATCCCTATAACCATCTCCCGTATTCAGCTGTTAACTTTTTGTCATACTTGCTTTGTGTGTGTGCACGTGTGTGTGTGTGTTTGGCTGAAACCTTTGTGAGTTAGCTGCACATGTCCTGGAGCTTCACCCTTGGATGCTTCAGCAGTGCTCCTGAGCAGGAGGTGCCACGCTGATACCAGACGCAGGAAAGTTCACACTGCTCTCAGACCCTGTGTTCTGTCGTCTATGGTCACACTTCTCTTGATGTCCTGTTTGTCTGGCTGTTTCAAATTAGGATCTAATTAACAGTTGCTTCAAATTGTCATGTCCCTGGTGTCTTTACATCTGTCCCTTTTGTTTCTCTGTGATGTTGGGTTTTGGAAGAAAGCAGAGCATGTTCTTAGAGGCTGACCCCCTTTGTCTGATTGGTTCCTTGAGGTGCTTTTTTGTTTCCCTCCCCCTTTGCATTTTCTCTAAACTAGAATTCAGGCTGCAGGCGTGGCCATGATATTCAGGCTCACCTTTCTGACAACAGCCCCACCCCAGTAGGCCTTGTGAGTGACCTCACGTCTGCTGGCTGGTCACAGTGGTTGCCGCCTTGTTTCTCTGTTGCATGGTGTGTTCTTTCTGCAATTCAGAAGTCATCAGTGGGCAGCAGCACCATTACACCAGTACCAGCTGAGTTTCCTGCTCCCCCACGATCTGCCAGTGACTTGTTGAGTCCAACAAAAGTTCTGAGTAGATCTATAGTACCTTTCTCTTACTGTAAGTGCAAGCACAAATAATCATGGAACGTTTGAAGAAAGCTTCTGGTCTAAAAAAGACGTAAAACAACAGGAACTGAAGGGAACAGAGTCAACAAGTCAACATAAGAACATCAAAGAGACTGTTCAGAGTAACTTCAGAGACTAGAGACAGTGTCATGTTGAGAAAGAACAAGTTAGGGCTCTTGGAAATTAATTACATGAGGGCAGAATTAATAAACCTTCACCAAATGGCAGATAAGATTGCAGCTGTCTCCTGAAGCATAGAGCAGAGGGACATGGAGGTGGAAGGTGGGATGTGAGGTGAGAACGCTGGACCCACAGCCTGGAGCGTGTGCTGTGTGGTGAAGTTGGTATGAGGGGACACTCGCACCCTTTGGGCTGGAGCCCAGGAGTGGCCTCGTAGAGGGGAAGAGAGGACCCTAAACATGGTCAGAGCAAAACTTTCTGTGAAACTCTGAGGGAATCAAAACTCAAGTATTTTGTGAACATTATATGCCAAGCATTAACTGTAGCCACAAAAATGACATATATTGGCATTTGTTAATCTTTGTGAAACTGTTATAATTTTCTCTTTTTTATTTGAACTGTCAAAAATCAGTGCAACACAATTATCATCATCATCACCATTGGTGTGTGTTTCTTCCCTAGTTTCTGGATGCACTGGAGTTATCCCAGAGTCCTATGTTGATGGAGTTGATGACAGAAATTCTGTGTCGGGAACAGCAGCATGTTCTGGAAGAATTATTTCAGTCTACTTTCAGGAGGATTGCCAGAAAGTAAGTCACTCCTAGTTTGTGATCCCAGGAACCATAAATGTTTTATTTCTGTGGGAGATTATTGTCACTGTGCAGAAAACAGTGAGTGCCTTATTTCAGTAGATGCAGTTAAGTTTTTGAAAAAATCCAACACTCATTTACTCATTTATGATAAAAGTGGCAAAAGGTCATCTAAGAAAAACCAACAGCCAGCAAAATATAGTGAAGGGCTGAGTGTTTTCTTCCTGAGTTTGGGAACAAGGATGTCTATTCTTTTCTACTCAGTGTAGTACTGGAGGTTCCAGCCATTGCAATCAGGCAGGCAAAAGAAATAAGACAGTCAGCGTGGAAAGAAAGAGGAAGAACTGTATTTATTCACAGATGGCCCAAGGTAGAAAATTCTGAAGATCACAGAAACTATTAGAACAAATAGACAGTTACAGAAAATTTATCACATACAGGATCAGTATTCACAAACCAATAGTATTTCTATATATGAACAGAGAACATTTGACACTATAATTACAAATGTAATTCCATTGATAATAGCACAAAAAAGAATAAAACAGATGGGAATAAATCTAACAAAAGAAGTTCAAGACTAGTACACCAAAAATTACAATCTATTGGTTAAGGAAGTTAAAAAATGAAAGATCTGAATAAGTGGAGTGATATTCCATGTGCATGAATTGCTAGATACAATATTGTTAACATCATTATTTCTATCTGCTCCCCCACGATCTGCCAGCGACTTGTTGAGTCCAACAAAAGTTCTGAGTAGATCTATAGTACCTTTCTCTTACTGTAAGTGCAAGCACAAATAATCATGGAACGTTTGAAGAAAGCTTCATTGGTAGCTTTCATGCAGTCCATATCAGAATTCCAACAAATCTTATTTTTGTGTGTATAGGAATTGTCTAGGGGTTTCTAATATTTTATGGAAGTGCAAAATACCCCTTAACAGCCAAAATAATTTTGAAAAAGATAAAATTGGAGGATTTTTCACACCCCAATTTTAAAACATACTCCAATGTTACAATTGTCTCTGTAACTTTTTTCATTTTTAGAGCTTTTAAAGACAAAACAGAGGTAAATGTCAATCCATTGCCATCACTTTTCTTTCTGATGTTCATGTTCTGTGGCCAGTGGGTCCCTGGTAGCTAGTTCCGCAGTGCTTGGGCAGCTCTCCACTGGTCTCTGGTTGTCTTTCAGATGCTCTCTGGCTCCGCAGATTGTCTCAGGCTCACCTGCACCTGAATCACACCATTTCTCCAGAGAGTCCATGAAGCGGTGTTTAGAGACCACAGTCTGGGTCCTAGGTGAACTTGGTGCTGCTGGGTTGCAGTGTTACTTTCAGTTCATGCAACTAAGGAATAGTTTGTTTAAGGAAAGAACAACACTCTGATCTTTCTCTTTCAATCTTAACATTATGAGTTCTTTATTATTTAATTTCTTTTTATTATTTTTTCCCTTACATTGTAGATCTTTGTTTTTTCTGTTCAGGATCGATTTAAATAACATTCCATCATTACATAATTATTTTATCCAATAATACACAGAAAGTATTTTCAGAAATAATAAGAATAATCATAGCTGCATGAAGTTAACATTTTAAATTTTATTTATAATTTACTTAGAGTATATTCTCTGAAGATATAGTCACACTTTATGTTCACTTGAGTGTTTTTCAGTGTGTGGTTTTTATACTACTTCATTAGGTACACTTTAATTAATTTTCAGATCTTAGAAGTTATTTATTTTCTTTTGATTTAATTTTGTTTTTGAACACATAAAGTACATAGATGCTTTGAACACTGAAAGTAAGTAATGTGCTGTGTTCTGGAACCTCCTTCTGTCTCGGTCCCTCTTCTGTCATCTTATGTTCCTTCACCTTTTTTTCTACTTCCTATTTTCTGTAGACACTCTGAATCAGCTATAGAGATCTCTGCTTTCCTTTTTTTTTTTTAAAAGCAATTGTGTAATTATTCACGGTGTGAAAGTGTTGCAGTGTGTGGACGCAGCCCCTGCTGCTGGGCTCTGGGTCAGCCTTTTGCTGTTGAGAGTAATAGCTCAGTGACTAGAGTTAATAGCTCAGTGACTAGAGTAATACTTAAGTGACTAGAGTAATAGCTCAGTGACTGGAGTAATAGCACAGTGATTAAATAGCTCAGTGACTAGAGTAATAGCACAGTGACTAGAGCAATAGCTCAGCAACTAGAGTAATACTTAAGTGACTAGAATAATAGCTCAGTGACTAGAGTAATAGCACAGTGACTAAACAGCTCAGTGACTAGAGTAATAGCACAGTGACTAGAGTACTAGCTAAGCAACTAGAGCAATGCTTAAGTGACTAGAGTACTAGCTCAGTGACTAGAGTAATAGCTCAGCAACTAGAGTAATACTTAAGTGACTAGAGTACTAGCTCAGTGACTAGCATAATAGCACAGTGACTAGAGTACTAGCTCAGCAACTAGCGTAATAGCTCAGCAACTAGAGTACTAGCTCAGTGACTAGAGTAATAGCTCAGTGACTAGAGTAATAGCACAGTGACTAAATAGCTCAGTGACTAGAATAATAGCTCAGCAACTAGAGTAATACTTAAGTGACTAGAGTAATGGCTCAGTGACTAGAGTACTAGCTCAGCAACTAGAGTAATACTTAAGTGACTAGAGTACTAGCTCAGCGACTAGCGTAATAGCACAGTGACTAGAGTACTAGCTCAGCAACTAGCGTAATAGCTCAGCAACTAGAGTACTAGCTCAGTGACTAGAGTAATAGCTCAGCGACTAGAGTAATAGCACAGTGACTAAATAGCTCAGTGACTAGAATAATAGCTCAGCAACTAGAGTAATACTTAAGTGACTAGAGTAATGGCTCAGTGACTAGAGTAATAGCACAGTGACTAGAGTAATAGCTCGGCAACTAGAGTAATACTTAAGTGACTAGAGTAATAGCTCAGTGACGAGTAATAGCACAGTGACTAGAGTAATAGCACAGTGACTAGAGTAATATTTAAGTGACTAGAGTAATACTTAAGTGACTAGAGTACTAGCTCAGCATCTAGAGTAATAGCTCAGCAACTAGTGTATGAGCTCAGTGACTAGAGTAATAGCCCAGCGACTAGCCCTGGCCCTGCCATGTTGTGTGTTGCCAGTGCAGCTTCGCAGTGGATCCCTAAGTGTGAGAGCAAAGGTAAATGCACGTTTAATTGTGCTAGATATCATCACATCATCACATCCCGTTTTGAGGGATGTATTATTTGTATTCCTTTCGGCAGTGTATGTAAGTGTCTATTTCATCACAGTTTTGTCAGAGTATGTTGACAAACATTTGGATTTTTTCCAGTGATAACAGGTGAGAAAGAATCTCTCAGTGTCACTCTAATGTGTGTTTCTTCTGTTATGAGTGACATGGAACGTGTGTTCATAGTGAATGCTCATTTGCATTGACTTTTCAGTAAACCGTGTGGTGGCCATTCTTGCTCTTTTCCCTTTTCCTCCTCCTTCCTTTAGCAGGATGGTCATGGAGAGTTTAGGTCTGGAACAGAGTCTGGGCTCACATCACAGAGCTCTTGTAGGTCCAGTCGTGTCCTGCCACCTCAGATTTTTGTGACTGAATTACCTTCAAATCTAGTATTTTTTGTCCTGGCTCATATCTAACTTCATATCAAGATTTTAGAACTGGGTAAGATTTTAGTGGTCATTCAGTCGTAACCTCTTATTTTTATAGGCAGGGAAACAGTCTATCCTTAACTTAAAGATTTATAGACTGAATTGTGTAGGCAGTTATTCATAGACCATGTTTCCCTGCTGACTGAGTCTCTTCCTGGGAAGTACAATGATGGGTCCTTGGTTCATGAGTTTCAGGGTCCGGAACACGTGATGGTCTTCAGCATGGGGCTCTTTGAAGCCTTGCAGGTATCCTCTGAACTGGACCAAACTTGAAAATAAATGAAAATATCCTTTTTCCAAGGCCTAAATAGCCACGAAGGTTTCTGTGGAGATGAGTAAGATCACATGGCTTACGTACTTACGCTTTTTGTATTTCATGGTTTTATATACATAATCTTTATTTTTCTAATTCATAATCATTAGCATTTACTTGTAGCACAGTGGGCCCTTGCGGAGTATTTGTTTAAAGCCGGCATGTGCATGTAATTTTCCTTTGTTCTTAGGAGTTCATGTGCCACGCAGTTGGGCCTTCTGGAAAGCGTGTACCGGAAGTTCAGCAGGGACGCCCTGCTTCCCAGCGCCACCCGCCAGGCGGTCGTGGACCGGGCCCTCCTCACTCTGCTGCGGCACTGCCGCCTGGGTGCCCTGAGGGACTTCTTCAGCAGAACTGTGGTGGAGGCTATCGATGTGTTGAAGTCCAGGTTTACAAAGGTATCACAGCCTTTTACTAAGTTGAATGTTAGTAAGAGACGACAGCCCTCCTTGGTCAGTGTCACTAGAAACTGCCGTGTATTCAGCCAGGGTGTCTGCAACTCAAGAAGCGTCCCCTTCGTGCTCGGATCTCAGCCTTTGGGCACGTGGCATCTGTGTTAGTTTCCAGAGGCGTCTGTAAAAATGACTGGGAGTGTGGCTTAGACCCACAGGGGTTTCTGTCTCATGGTTCCGAGATCAGAAGTCAGAAATCCGCTTCCTAGGGCTGTACTTGCTTCAGAGGCTCCAAGGAGAACCCGTTCCTCTCCACCAGCCTCTGGATCCAGCATCCCTTGGCTCATAGCCATGGTGATCCTCCCTCCGAGTCTTGGTCACTTGACCCTCTCCTCTTCCCCTTCCTCTTCCTCTTTTTTAAAAAATCCACTATTTTTCTTTTTTTTAATTGATATATATATAGTTGATTTACAATGTTGTATTCATTTCAGGTATACAGCGAACTGTTTGTTATATTAAGTTGGTGCAAACTTAATTGCAGTTTCAGGCTGTGAATTTTAAAACATTGTAACTAGGCTCAAACACATCTTTATTAATCAAAGTAGGAACTATTATAGTCAGCACATTTTTGCCAATGAAAAATAAGTTTGTTTATTCTTGTAGCATGAAAATCCGTACTTTGGGACTCAGTGATTTCTTGGGAAGCATTTTCTGTCTCCTGCTGGTTGTGGAAGCATTTTCCTTGCAAAAAGTTGTTGAGATGCTCAGTAAAGTGGTAGTCAGTCGGCGAGAGGTCAGGTGAATCTGGCAGTTGAGGTAAAACTTCAAAGCCTAAAATCATTCACCTTTTGAAGCATTGGTTGTGTAATGTGCCATCAGGCATTGTTGTGGAGAAGAACTGAGCCCTTTCTGTTGACCAGTGCCGGCTGCAGGCATTGCAGTTTTTAGTTCATCTCATCGATTTGCTAAGCATACTTCTCAAGATGTAATGGTTTTGCTGGGATTCAGAAAGCTATAGTGGATCAGACGGGCAACAGACCGCCAAATGTTGACTGTGACCTTAAGTTTGGCTTTGGGAAGTGCTTTGGAGCTTCTCCATCCATCCCCTGAGCTGGTCATTGCTGGTTGTCGTATGCAGTCCACTTTTTGTTGCATGTCACAGTGTGATCAAGAAATCGTTCACTGTTGTTGCATAGAATAAGAGAAGATGACTCTTCAAAACAACCAAGCTTTTTCACCTTTCCAGTTTGCTTCACATACTGAACAATCATAGAATGGTCAACAATGAGTTCTTCAACAGCTTCTTGTGTAGTTGTAAGAGGATCAGCTTCAGTGATGGCTCTCAGTTGGTCGTTGTCATCATCCGATATCTGGGCACTTCACCCCTTATCTGCAAGGCTCTCATCTCCTTTGCAAAACTTCTTGAACCACCACCGCACTGTACATTCGTCAGTAGTTTCTGGGCCAAATGTGTTGTTGATGTTGTGAGTTGTCTCCTCTGCTTTATGACTCATTTGAGCTTGAATAAGAAAAATGGCTCAAATTTGTTATTTGTCTAGCACCATTTCCATAGTCTAAAATAAATATAAATTACACAGCTATAAGTCATTAGCAAAAATCTTAAAGTGAGAAATGTGCATTAAAATGATGTAATGATATATAACATAACCAAATTAAGAATGTATTCCAATATCAAACGGCAGAGTTCAACAGTACAAAACCCCAATTACTTTTGCACCAACCTGATACACATATGTGTGTCTATTCTTTATTTGATTCTTTCCCATTATAGGTTATTACAAGATACTGAGTATAGTTCCCTGTGCTATACAATGGGTCTTTGTTTGTCTGTTTTATGTATAGTTGTGTGTGTGTTAATCCCAAACTCCTAATTTATCCCCTTCCCCTCCTCCCCCTTTAGTAACCAGAAGTCTGTTCTCTATGTCTTTGAATTTATTTCTGTTTTGTAAGTTGACTGTCTCGTAGTTTAGATTCCACTTATAAATGATACCATATGATATTTGTCTTTGTGTGACTTACTTCCCTTAGTATGATAATCTGTAGGTCCATCCTTGTTGCTGCAAATGGCATTATTTCATTCTTTTTTATGGCCAAGTAATATTCTATCATATTGATGTATGTACCAACTCTTTATCCATTCCTCTGTCAGTGGACACTTGGGTTGCTTCTGGCCTCCTCAGTTCTGTGTAGTGTCTCTCTCTGCCTCTCTCCTGTAAACAAGAGTGCATTTAGGATCCTCTTGGATAATCTCAGAATTCTTTGTTTCATTTCACCTGTCTCATCCCTTCTCTCATACAAGGTGACAGACCCAGGTTCTAGGCATTGGAGTGTGGGTGTCTTTTTAGGTCTTTAATTCAGCCTCACATAGTCCACCTGTGCCAAGTGTTTCTACTTGCAAAATACATTTATCTCATTCCAGGTCTAAACCCATTACAACATCAACTTCTATGTCCAAAGAAAGTGAAAAGTGAAAGTGAAGTTGCTCAGTTGTTTCCGACTCTTTGCGATACCATGGACTGTAGCCCACCAGGCTCCTCTGTCCATGGGATTCTCCAGGCAAGAATACTGGAGTGAATTGCCATTTCCTTCTCCAGGAGATCTTCCTGACCCAGGGAACGAACCCAGCTCTCCCGCATTGCAGGCAGACGCTTTAACCTCTGAGCCACTAGGGAAGCTTCTGTGTCCAAAAGCTCACCTAAAGATCGTTAGCACCAAGTCCCACACCTCATCATATAAATCGTTATGGGTGGGGTTTTCAGAATGGTGCATTCTGAGGCCACACCCTCTCCATTTGTGGACCTGTGAAGCTAGAAAACACATTATTTGCTTCCAAAATACAGTGGTGGAACAGGCATAGGATGATCATTATAGACATTCCTGTTCCAAACAGGAGACAATGGAAGGAAGGAGTTTGTTTTCCAAAGCAGTTTGAAAATTCAGTCAGGCAAATCCATTAGGTTTCAAGACCTGAGAATAGTGGCCTGGTGTTCTGTGCTCTGGGCCAAAGACTCTGTACTTGTAGTCATGTCCTTTTTCCTTGAAGGTTAGCATTTGTTTTCAGCTGAGCAGTTTTATCTGTTTCTTACCTGTAGCATTTGGGGAATATAGCATCCTTTTTTTCATTTCATCTTTTCTTCTTCCCTTTCGGTTCAAACTGATCTGAGCTTCTCAGAAACCTTCTGTCTGTCTCCTGCCTGTCTTGGAGATTCCTGCCATGGCCCCTCCCTGATTCTGGGTCTTGCGGGGGTGGGGGGGCGGTACAGGCTGAGGGCAGCAGTGAGCACAGGCTTCTTTCCCTGGCTGCACCCGTGGTCTTCTTCAATCGACTTCCCTCACTGTGGATCTCCTTATGGCAGCGTCTTCTACAAGCTGGATGGGCTGAGGATTTCCCACATCATCAAGTTCTGTCTAATTTCTCACACATTTTATTATGAGCAGCAAGGAAGAAGCCAGGCTTATCTCCAACAAATTTACTTAGAAATCTTTCAGCTGCATATTCAAGGGCACAGCCTACATTCTCTGCTTTCTGCACAACCTCTGAATACTCTTCAGCTAAGTTTTCTTGCACCATATAGCACGGATCCTCTTTCCTCCAGTTGCTAAAAACTGTTACCTACTTCATTCTGAGACCTCACCACCAATTACTTTAACGTCTGAATTTCTACCAAGAATAGGTTTGTGACAATGGCCATTCCCTGAGATAGCATTCATCGCTTTTGCTGCCACTGGCTTGCCCTCCACTTCTGAGTGCTCACCATCAGTGCCTTCAATGTTGACATTTCTAACATTGGCAAGAAATATAGGCAATATAGACTTTTTCTGTCATGCATGGCCAAAGTTTTTTCCTCCTGTCTTCCCTGTTCAATTCCAAAGCCACTTATATATTTTTTTCATTTTGAAGTAGGCCCCCTACTCTTGGTACCCAAATATATATTAGTTTCCTTAACCTGCTGTAATAAATTACTATAAGCTTGCTGACCTAGAACAACAGAAATCTATGCTCTCACACCCTTGGAGGCCAGAAGTCCAAAATAAGTTTCACTGAGCTGAAGTCAGTATTTGCTACCACACATCAGTACTTATGTTCATGTTTTAGCCCCTGGGCTGTTTCTTACTGAAGTGGTTTAATATCTTTGTTAAAATTATTTTCAATTTAAAGGGCATTGAGTATTGACAGACATTCACTCAGTCGTGTCCTACTCTTTGTGACCCTATAGACTGTATAGCCTACCAGGCTCCTCTGTCCATGGAATTCTTCAGGCAAGAATACTGGAGTGGGTTGCTATTCCCTTCTGCAGGGAATATTCCCGACCCAGGGATTGAACCTGGGTCTCCTGCATCACAGGCAGATTCTTTACCATCTGGGCCACCAGGAAACATTGAGTATTAAAGATGATTTATTCAATAAAATATTTTCCATGTTTGATAGGACCAAAGATAATAATTTGTTATATACTTTTAGCTGAATGAATCTGCCTTTGACACTCAAATCACCAAGAAGATGGGATATTACAAGATGCTAGAGGTGATGTACTCTCGTCTTCCGAAAGATGATGTCCACTCTAAGGAATCTAAAATTAACCAGGTGTTCCACGGCTCGAGCGTCACAGAAGGAAATGAACTTACAAAGACACTAATTAAGTAAGGTTTTCCTTAAGTTTAGATCGTAGTTAATTTTTTTGATGCATGTGTTTTTATGTATGTGTATGATATGAATACATGCTTGAACACTGAATGTTAGTAGTTTTCCTGTGTACAGACTGTGTGGTGGTGGTGCCTCTGTCCATGGGATTCTGCGGGCAAGAATACTGCAGTGCATTGCTGTTTCCTTCGCCAGGGGATCTCCCCAGTCCAGGGGTCAAACTTAGGTCTCCTGCATGGCGTGGCAGGCAGATTCTTTCCCACTGAGCCACCAGGGACGCCCCTACAGAGTTCTTGGATGGAGTTAATTCAGCATGTTATTGGGCAGCATGTTTTATCCAATACACATCTTCTATAAAGAGTACAGCTTTTTCTCTTACTGTTTTTCTACCATTTCTTCTCCCTCAAGAGCTCAATATGTTTTCAGTGTATGATTTACAGTGAGGCGGGATTGAGTGTATTTTATTTTCTCTCTCATTTGAAACTGAAGGAGTGTTCAGCATTTCTAAGCAGTGGTTCTGTAAAGCATGGAAGAGTCACACATGTCATCTCTGAAGCCAGCTTTCTGTGCGGCTCCTGTCTTAGTGCTGAACACAGATGTGTAGGGTCTCGCTCTGCAGAGTCCCCTCCACCCCGGTCACCCCTCCTTATGTGTGTGCCTTGGGGGTGACATCACCCGCAGGTATTGGCATCAATGAAGGTCTTGAGGGCCACATTTTTCCTTCTGAATCTAACCTCTGAGCACAGCCCTCGGGGCTGGCAGGTTCATGCTGCTGGTCTCCTGGAGCCAGTGGTTGGGAAACATTGGGCTTGCTGGGTGGAGCCTCACAGGCCTCCTGGTGACAAGTCTTGCTGCCCTGTGGTCACAGCGACCATCCATGTATTACTGGAACCTGATCGTTTGCTCCTCGGTCTGCAGCCCTACAGAGGGTCCCTGTCCCGTAGCTGGGGGGTCCCATAGCTGGGGGTGTTCCTGTAACTGGAGGGGGCGTGGAAGTGCAGAGGCTGTGGTCCCCTGGCTGGGGCGTGTACACTTCTCCCGTCAAGGGCTGGCCAGTGGTCCCTTCTGACTCTGAAGGCTGTGCGGAGCAGTTGGGAGCAGTGTAGACAGAGGGGCAGCTGTGTTCTGATGGCAGTGTGCTCAGGGGGGCTGGCCACTGTGGGCAGGGCAAAGACCGGGCTCCTGGGTGTGCTCAGGACTCCTCTCACCTCTGCCACCCACCCTCCACACCCTCGCACAGACCTTGGACTCAGTCATTCAGACCCGGCCTCTCGGAGCCCCTCCTGCTCCTCAAGCTGGGCCCCCAACCCCAGCTTCCTGTACAATACAGCCCAGGTGTGGGCGAGGGTGTACAGGGCAGGTCCCACAGTGTGGACTGGAGCCGGTCTCCCATAGAGGGACTGACCCCCACCCGGCCGCCCACAGGCTATGCCACGATGCCTTCTCGGAGAACATGGCTGGGGAGGCCCAGCTGCTGGAGCGCCGGCGGCTGTACCACTGTGCCGCCTACACCTGCGCCATTGCCCTCGTCCGCTGCGTCTTCACAGAGCTCAGGTTTTACCAGGGCTTCCTGTTCAGCGAGAAGCCGGAGAAGGTAGGCCCCTCTTGACCCCTGGCTGTGCTGCCTGGGTCCCGCAGGGTGGGGATGGTGCTGCTGGGTCCCGTGGGGCGGGGTGGCGGGTCTCCTGGAGCCCAGCACAGATGCGGGCAGCAGGTGCTCTAGTGACATCAGCACCAGGCCTCTCCTCCACTGGGGCATCATCATTGGACTCTTTGCATTTACAGAACTTGCTCATTTTTGAAAATCTGATAGACCTGAAGCGCTGCTACACGTTTCCCATAGAAGTGGAGGTAAGTGAGGCTGGTCATGGTGTTTGCAAGGTGAAAACACTTACCAAGGCTTGTAGGGAAGAACGTACAGGGTGCTGAACACTAAATGCCCTCTACTCAAGTCCGCTGTGAGCTGTAAATACAGGTGGTTGCTTATAGTTCGAGCTCAGGTATAATCTCAGGCAGCTGTGAAAGGTTGGCCCTGACTCACGTTTTCCCTTAACTTGTAAAGGACAGAAAATGCCAGTAAAAGGAGCTGTTAGCACACATCCCCCGAGTGGTCTTCTGAGTAAGCTCCTATGGTCAGTGAGTTGAGGTTCACCCCATGCAAAGTTGGGCCCTGGTGGGGACTCAGCCAGTCCTGAGCACCGGAAGCAGGAATAGGTAGGGTGATGGGGAGGACGCTCAGTCTCTGCCGAGCTCAGCAGATGCTGGGGGTGCTGCAGCCTTTCACAGCCCAGAGCGGTGGACGGGCAGAGCAGGTGCTAGGGGAGACTGGCACTCTGTCCTGCACGACTGATCTCCGCCCCATCCTAGTGTGGCTCGGTGGCTCACAAGCTCAGGTGAGTGGTTGCTCCCTGCCCTGTGCCCTTTTGGAATAAAGCTAGGACTGTTTTCTAGTTCTGTGTTCAAAGAACTAAGACATCACATAGTCACACTAGTCTTTGGGGCGCTCAGACCCTGTGTGTTACCTGTGAGTGTCTGGGAGCTCTGTGGAGCTCTGTGGTCTGTCATAGCTGTGCAGTCGAGGGCCTGAGGCTCCTGGCCAGGCCTGAGGCTGGAGGAGCACCACCTGCTGAGTCCCAGAGCTGGAGGAGCACCACCCGCTGAGTCCCAGAGCTGGAGGAGCACAGGCTCTCGGGGTCTGTCTCTGTGGGTGTTTTAGTTAGTTTTGCTTAAAATGAGTAACAGTGGTTTTTGTCAGATTGCTGCAAAAATAGAAACTATGTGACCCCGAGTCTAAAAAGTTTTAAATTGTCTGTTTTTGCCTTATAGGTTCCTATGGAAAGAAAGAAAAAGTACATTGAAATTAGGAGAGAAGCCAGGGAGGCGGCAAATGAAGATGCAGGTAGGACATTTCCAAAATGATGAGGAAGATTCCAGTATATAGATAGTATTTTAAATACCCCAGCCTTGAATTAGATTTGGAAATTTTTTATTTTCAAGTGGTAAATAGAATTGTACTTTGAAAGAAATGCAGTTAGTTAAAGCAGCACGGAAGCATCTCAGCGTAGCCAGAGGAGTTCAGATCTGGTTCAGTTTCTTAACACATGCAAGATTGGTGTGCTGTTTGCTTTTGGATTCTGCTTGTGTGTTACTCAGACTCGTCTCCCTGGGTTTGCTGCAGTGTCCCAGAAGGGGGGTCTTGGCCCTCAAGGTCAGCATGGCCCGCGAGGCTTTGTGTAATGCCCCTCTCTGAAGAGAGCTCTCCTAGCCTCTGTATTTACTTACTTGCCTGCATCTAGTCTTACTTGTGACGCCCAGGCTTAGTTGCTCCGTGGCATGTGGAATCTTAGTTCCCTAACCAGGAATTGAACCCATGTCCCCTGCCTTGGAACGCAGATTCTTAACCACTGGACCCCCAGGGAAGTCCCTGGCCTCCCTATGTAGAATCAACCCTCTGTCCTTCTACGTGTTCCTGGTTTTAATTTCTGGCTTAATTTTTCTTCATGGCTTTTTCTTCCCCACCGATTCAAAGATAAAATGTGGACCCGTTTTCTAAATTCCTTACATATGTTGGATTAGTTACTTATCAGTAATACCTCTAGGGACATTTATGTTAGGCTTTATGGGCAGAATGTGCATCATCAAAATTTTAAATGCAAGAAGTTCTGTTAGCATCACGTCCAAAAACTGGATCTAGTGTGACTTAATGTCTTTGTTTTTGCTGACGAGTAACTGCTCAGGGATTCCAGAGCACCTGGATGGTGGGTGAGGAGTACAGATTTAATGAAAGTATCCTAAATGCAGGAGTCACTTGATCTTCCAGACACACGTGTCTTACTGACTTAAGTGACGGTGGCTCATCCTCTTTTTCCTTCAGGTGGCCCCCAATACATGTCTTCACTATCGTATCTGGCAGACAGCAGCCTGAGTGAGGAAATGAGTCAGTTCGATTTTTCAACTGGAGTCCAGAGCTATTCGTATGGGTCCCAAGACCCTCAGTCCAGCGCTGGTCATTTCCGGAGACGGGTGATTAAAGAGTGTTGTTGGTGTTGGGAAGGAAAGAGCATCCCAGGATAGTGGGGCCCCAGCCCCTAGCCCAGGCACAGTGTCTTAACGCCAGCAGCCCAGGGCGGGCAGTGGGGGGATGGGTCACATTCCCGGCTCCTCCCGGGGTCACAGTTGATGTCAGAACCGCGTGTCTGTCATCAGCATTCCTGGCCCAAGCAGAATCTCCTCCTTAGAGGCTGGGCCTCCAGGGAAGGAGTGTCTGGTGGTGGGGGCAGGCTGTGACCTTTACTTGTCCAGTATGTCTTCTTGGAGTTTCCTGTGCTGCTTTTTCTTGGAAGTGATCTATGCTGGGACACATCCAGATCAGTTGCTCTGCCCCATGTGTGTGACACCTCAGTTCAACATCCCATGTGTAAATGATTATCCCTACTCTTTTTTTCTTAAAAAGGATCAGGAATTTTTTAAATTCTATTTTTGATTAAAATTTTGAGGCATATTAAGTTCACAGAAGTCCTCAGTACTTTTTGAAGTACTGACAGCACAATAGGAAAACACATATCCTGTGATTATCCTTCAGTTGCTCTACTTTCTACAGAAAGTAGCAGCTGAGAATCGTGGAGACTGTTGCTCTCAAGACGTGGAGTGTTCTGGGGCCACCAGGACATGTCTGAAGAGATGTGTGTGTAGAGAGTAGCGGGTCTTCAGTGATGCCCTGACTTCGGTGTGACCCCAGACGAGAACCGGGCAGGCGGGGGCGGTGGGACACTTCCTGAGAACATGAGGAAGATGAGAGGTCCCGACTGTGTGCACTGTGTGATGGAGCAGACAGTCGGGTGCTCAACCCCCTCACGGCCTCTCTCTCCCCAGGAGCGTCAGGACCCTGAGCGCCCAGGCGACGTGCTGGACCTGGATGTGGACGAGCTCAGCCAGCATGAGTGCATGGCCCCCCTGGTGGCCCTGGTCCAGCACATGCAAAGACTTGAGGCCGCGCTGCCCACAGAGGAGGTCTCTCTGCTCTTTCTGGTCTCACTCACCACGGCTGACCGTGACTGACCATGTCCTGTTGAACGAACGTTTGACATTGAAGACTAAACTGAATTCCATCTCGTGATGTCTAGTCACTCGTGTCCTGCTTTGTCATTGTGTCATAATGCCACTTTCTCACTAAGTAATATTGAGTGTGTTGTTTCAGGGTTCAGTGCCAAGAAATCTTCCTCCTTGGATGAAATTTCTTCATGACAAACTGGGAAATCCATCAGTGTCATTAAATATCCGTCTTTTCTTAGCCAAGCTGGTTGTTAATACAGAAGAAGTAAGTTATTTATTTCTTTAAAAAAAAACTCTTTTCAATTATATGCATCTCCTTAGAGAAGGAAATGGCAGCCCACTCCAGTATTCCTGCCTGGGAAATCCCATGGACAGAGGAGCCTGGTGGGCTACAGTCCATGGGGCCTCAAAGAGTCATACATGACTTAGCGACCAAGCACAAAAGCACATGTGAATCTACTTTTAAAAAACCCATGATAAAGGAAGACGTTAAGGGTCACAGCATGGCTTTATTCTCTGAATAAATTTGCCGGACTGTATTATTTATTTAGCATCATTTTTCTTCTTTTTCTTGTAAAACGCATAAATTAACTTCTGCTGAGTTAGGAGTGGCCTTTGTTATGAAGTATGTGTGTCGGCAGGTTTCTTACAGCTGCCATCCTTCTTGGTTTAGAGTAACAGAGAACATGGTGAAGAGATTCCTGGTAACTGTGTGAAGAATAGCCGACGTGCTTGCATCATGGCTCTGTTTATCTGTCGGTCATGCGTGGCCCCGTCAGGAGGGGCACTTGGACAGGTTTATGAGCCATCCTAGGCTGACCTGGGAGGGGCAGGGGGTTCACATGCAGCTCAGGAGGAGCAAGTGCCAGGAGTGGGCCTCCCAGGCAGCAACTGGCGAGGCCTTAAGCCCGTCGAGTGGTGACGGGCCCTTCCTCAGAGTCATACTTGACTTCTGGCTCCTGTGGCTCAGACAGCAGAAATGACCGTTTTGGTTCTGGAGCGGGAAGCCCAAGGCCGGGGTGTCAGTCGGTTGGCCCCGATGATGCGTGACCAGCTGCCGTGCGCCTTGGCCATTTCTTGGCCTGTGGATGGTCTTCTCTCGGCACCTGTCTCACGTGTAAAAATTTCCCTTTTAATCCTTTTATCAAATGAAGACATTGTTACTGGTTAAGTCCCCCGCTAATGACTCTTAACCTAATAATCTTCCAAGACCCTGTTTCTGAATCAGGTCACATTACAGGTCCTGCAAGCTGGACCTCGGTGTCCTCTTGGGGCTCACAGTTCAGCCACAGTACTTGGGGTCATGTGACGTCCAGCTCATGTTCCTATAGTGCTGGCCTGATGGCTGGAGAGGAGCTGGCGTCTAGTTTGTTCGGCACGGGGGCTGCTGAGCTGTGCGCACACGTGCGGCGTGAGGGGCCTGTAGTATTGCACACGCCCTGAGCTCAGGAACCTTCAGGGCCCATTGTCTTAATGGACCAAAAGCATGGAACTTGTATTTACAATTCTTTTTAAAGTTTGAACTTTTATCCTTTTTTATAGTTTAATAATACAGTAAAGAAGTTTATATTTAAAATGTATAAACAAACCAGTAGACATACTTGGAGACTGTAAACATTATTTACCTCTGGGGTACTTGATCAAAAAGATTTGAGATCACACAGATTTAACTGGGAGCCTAGATTTGAAATCCCTGAGAAAACATTTGGAGAAAGAAGAGGGTGGCAGAGGGGAAGGAGGCCGAGAGTCTTGGGTTACACTCGGTCTGAGTTTCTAAAGTAAATTCAGTGGAATTTAGTGCGTGGAGATGCTCTGGATTTCAGAGACCTTGGGTGTGTGAAAAAAATTTGCAACCTGCACCTTGCTTTTATGTCCTTCTTTTCCACTTCCCTTGCTTCTGTATCCAGTAAGAGTAGGGTCCTACGGCTGTATACTGTGCGGAGGGTGGGATTGGTGTAGAATGTTGTTACTACTCCAAGCATAGTTGGAGCAGACCTACGCAAAGAGCAGATCAGTTGGAATCCGTCTCCTTTGAACTGTGGTTTCAGGGCCCACAAGGAAGACTTCAGCAGAGAACCTTAATTGAATCAAGCAGCATAGTTGTTGGCATTCACGTCTGTTTTGAATTTAGGTCGAGTCGTAATACAGAAGGATGTTCCTGAACTTCCCATCTTAGTTACTCAGCAGTTCTGATGTCTGACCTTTGAACTCTCGCCTAGGTCTTCCGGCCTCATGCGAGGCACTGGCTGGGCCCCTTGCTGCAGCTGGTGGTCTCTGACAACAACGGCGGGGACGGGATCCACTACCTAGTGGTTGAGATTGTGGCCACGGTCCTTTCATGGACAGGAATAGCCACCCCTGTGGTAAGAGCAGCTGCACCTCTGGTGCCGTCTCCCCGCGCGGCACCCAGGACCCAGCCCCCATGTGTCCTCAGCGTCTCTGGCCCCGATCCTGCACATCTGTGCTGTGCTGCTGCTGCAGAAGGCCTCGTTCTGCTCCTTCACTTCTGTCTTCTTTGCTTTGCTTTTGATAATTCCTCTGGCTTTGCTTTTATTTTTAAGATGTTGGATGTTTGTCCTGTTTTCTTACTGCTTTAGCTTGCTAGGAGCATGGACCCTAATAATTGGTTTATTAAAAGTACATGTGAAATATCCAGCCAGGCTTCTCTGTCTATAGGTTTCTCTAGGCAAGAATACTAGCAAAAATACATTTCTTTCTCCAGGGGATCTTCCTGACCCAGGGATCAAACCCAGGTCTCTCAGCATTGCAGGCAGATTCTTTACTGTCTGAGCTACCAGGGAAGAATATTTTATTAGAAATACATGTAATGTATATCTAGGGTGAAACAGATCACCAGCCCAGGTTGGATGCATGAGACAAGTGCTCGGGCCTGGTGCACTGGGAAGACCCAGAGGGATGGGGTGGAGAGGGAGGTGGGAGGGGGGACCGGGATGGGGAATACATGTAAATCCATGGCTAATTCATTTCAATGTATGACAAAAACCACTGCAATGTTGTAAAGTAATTAGCCTCCAACTAATAAAAATAAATGGAAAAAAAAAAAAAGAAATACATGTAAAATAGATGTTGGCAGACCCTAAACTTGAGGCCGAGGTCATGGTCTCCAGCATCCGTCTTGTCAGCCTCCCTGCTCATGGTGGCCTGGTGTGACTTGGTGACCTCTGGTGTGATGATGACCCTCAGTGCCTGCGCTGTCTTGATGCAGGCTGTGGCGTCCCCCAGCTCTCTGGTTCCACATGCTGGAGCTCTCTATTTGCTTACTTATGTCGGCCCCAGTGGTGTGCAGAGTTCTCCTGGAAGGATGGCCTGGCACGTGCTTACTGAACATAATATGCGCCCATGGAGCTGTTACACGTGTTTGTGTTGGAATGTGGCTATCCCATTTCACAGCAAGCCGAGTTTAACTGAGGAACCTCTGCAAGAGGTTGACTCCTGTGTCAGACATTCAGCTGGGCTCCAGGAGAGCTGCAACAGCCAGGTTGAAAGTCACAATAAAGTTTCACCACTTGTTGCAATAGTCTGAGCAAGAGGCTAAAAGCAGAGGGAGGGTGTCCTCCGCCCCGTTCTGTGTACCTCATGGAGCAGCATCCTGGCAGTGGGTCAGGTGACCAGCACAGATCTGGGATCACCTTGCCATTGAGGGAGTCCTAGTGGGAAGGCCCCAGCAGTTGCTGGGATCCTGGGGTTGGGAGAAGGTGGGGGCAAGGCTGGGTGCCCAGTCAGAGCAGGGAAGATGTCTTCAGGGACCCCATGGGGAGGTCTCAGCAGAGGCTTCGAGAGGCTGAAGAACACTGTACAGACCTGCAGGAGCGCAGCCACCCTCGTGTCAGGGCTGCCTTGGGGGTTCTGGGGAAGGCCCTCCAGGGGAGGCCTTTGTGTTGTAGTCACATGTCGTCTGAAGCATCATGGGAGCCAGACTCCTCAGTACAGTGCCAGCTTTCTTTTATAAACAGACTTCTGGGTTAAGAGATGCTTTCCCAGATGGAAATGCTACATATTTACATGAAATTTCTCTGCATTTTTCAGGGAGTCCCTAAAGATGAAGTGTTAGCGAATCGATTGCTTCATTTCCTAATGAAACATGTTTTTCATCAAAAAAGAGCTGTGTTTCGACATAACCTTGAAATCATAAAAACCCTTGTTGAGTGCTGGAAGGATTGTCTGTCCATCCCTTACAGGTATGGGTTTACTGGGGTTTGCAGTATCCTTTAACTTGTCACACATTGTGCAGGGTTAATTACCATGAGACTTACTGACTTCAGGACTTCCCAGGTGGCTCAGATGGTAAAGAATCTGCCTGCAATGCGTGAGACCTGGGTTCAGTCCCTCGGTCAGGAAGATTCCCTAGAGAAGGGAATGGTTACCCACTCTAGTCTTCTTGCCTGGAGAATCCCATGGACAGAGGAGCCTGATGGGCTACAGTTCATGGGGTTGCAAAGAGTCAGGCACAACTGAGCAACTAACACACTAATGGACTTGAAGTGCTGGAAGGAAGGATGGTTCCTGGAGTGGAATCTACTGGTAGGGTGTGATGTCACTCATGATCCGCCCTTCACAATCTGCCTGCAATGCGTGAGACCTGGGTTCAATCCCTGGGTCGGGAAGATCCCCTGGAGAAGGGAATGGCAACCCACTCCAGTACTCTTGCCTAGAAAATTCCATGGACAGAGGAACCTGGTAGGCTAGTCCATCGGGTCGCAAAGAGTCAGACATGACTGAGCAGCTTCACTTTTCTTCCTTTTCTCACCATCAGTCGAGGGAGAATTAGGGCAAATAACTAGACTGTGGGAGATGCAGGGCTCCCCCCTCCCAGAGGCAGAGTAACCAGGTGTGAACAAAGTAATGGGAAGGAAGGGATTTCTTGCCCCGACAGTCAGCTGTGGGAGATCTTACCTCTGTCTTCCTGCTCCGTACGCGCGACAACTTACACTGTTTCTTCACACTCACATTTCAGGTTAATATTTGACAAGTTTTCAAGTAAAGATCCTAATTCTAAAGACAATTCTGTAGGAATTCAGTTGTTGGGCATTGTAATGGCCAACAGCTTGCCCCCCTATGACCCAAAGTGTGGCGTGGAAAGTGTCCGGTAAGTGTCATGTTTTTCGCTTTGTTTCTTTTTTGGGTAAAGCATACCTGATTCTGATTGGAGACTGGAATATGGTTTAATTTTGATAAATTTAAGGACTAGGACCCATATTAGTATTTCCACCTGAATTAAGTAGTTGGGTTTAGAAATCATTTGGGAGAAGAAATATGTTAGTGGAGTGAATGAGAAAAGTGAGTTTTTAAAAACCGTATGGTTTTTTCCATGCAATTTTGGTAGACAGGGTGTTAGCTATTTCTATTATTTTCTAAGCTGCCCTTTTCAGCATCCGCTCCTGAAAGCAGCCTGAGGTCCGGAGACCGTCCACCACAGGGTGTGGCCACGAGGGGGCGCTGCAGCTCTGCCGCAGGTGCAGCCTCCTGGCTCCTCATCACCTGGGGCGGGGAAGGGTCCACGTGGCGGGACCTTAGCAGGACAGCCCGAAACTTCACAGAGAGGGGCTGGATCCCTGCAGAGCCGGTCACTTGGTCAAGTTCACTGTCTCTCTGGAAGTGTTCACTGTCCAGTTTGTCCTCCTGGATCAGCCTCCGGGGCTCCAGGGGCTTTGGCCGCCTGGTGTCATGGACGGTCGTGCAGCTCAGCACAGCATCAGCAGGAAGTGGCTAACTTTCGGACAAGTGGCTTTGCTGATCCCCGGTCCTGCTGTCATGAGGCCAGGTTGCACCGCCCCCCACCCCCACCCCCACCCCACCCCTGTGTCACTGTGTGTCCGCCTCCTGTCACATAGACAGCTTTAGAGGGGTCAGAAGTCAGGCTACTGCTGATTTCATTGCTGCCAGTGTCTGTATCTGGAGCTGTGCGGGTGGGCAGGGCCTGCCCAGGTGTCATTTGTCTGGGTGGGCAGGGAGGACAGTTGTGATACATTTCTGTCCGACAGCGGCTTCCCTGGTGGCTCAGCTGGTAAAGAATCTGCCTGCAATGCAGATGACCTGGGTTCGATCCCTGGGTTGGAAAGATCCCCTGGAGAAAGGAAAGGCTACCCACTCCGCTGTTCTGGCCTAGAGAATTCTATGGAATGTATAGTCCATGGGGTCGCATACGACTGAGTGACTTTCACTTTCTGTCAGACAGCAGGATGGGTTGCCCTGTGCTTACTGGCTCTCTGTGATTCTTGCAGGTACTTTGAAGCTCTGGTCAGTAACATGTCCTTTGTCAGATACAAAGAGGTGTACGCAGCATCCGCGGAGGTCCTGGGGCTTGTTCTCCGGTATCTCAGCGGGAGAGAGAAGGTGAGTGTGTGCACGTGGCATGAACGCCTCTTCTTCACTGTTGACTCAGCCTCGGTACTGTGTCCTCTGTACCTGAAGCCAGAGTGGGCAGTTTTTTTAAAGAGATAATTTTTTTTTTAATGCCTGGAAACTTGCCAAGCCTTAAGGTTGTTAACCTGCTTCTTATTGTAAAGTCAGGACGTAAGCATTGGAGCAGCTTTCATTCCTCTGACCTTGGCATCAGGGGCCACTTTGGAGAAACTGCCCTGGTGGAGCCTTGCTGTGGTTTGGGGGAGGGTAAACGGGAGAGGTGCCCCCCTTCCAGTTTCTGGCATAGTGCAGCTGAAGAGCGGGGGTGGCCTCTGACTTGGGCACCTGGTCTGTGCCCTGCACCTCTAATCACACAGTCCCCTCCCCGACCCGTGTCTGGAAGTCACAGGTTATAACTCTCTGCTACTTGGCTGACCCCCATGAGTTAATGCAGGGGGCTCCCTGCTAGCGTCTGCAGAGCCTGTCACCCACGGTGACCGGACGCGGGGTGCAGACTGTCTAGAACGCCACACTGGACCAGTCTTCGGCCCTCTGTCATGCTCCGAGACACTCTCCCTCCCTCGCTGGGGTGTCACCCCACCGGACTTTCCTACAACTCGGAGTGTGGGCCCCTAGCTGGTCACCCAGCCTCATGGCTTGAGAACTCCTCAGGCTCCTGATACCCAATTTTGTGTCTCCAGTCCCCTCCCCTTCTGCAACGAGACAGGTCGAGGAGAGGCTGGGGAAGCCAGGGGATCCTGAGGGCAGAACGGTCCCTCCGTAGCATGTTGGAGCCCGGCCTATTTCACCAATTAGGCATTTATTTAAATTTAGAGGAAAAATTAAACTGAAAGGAAATAGGAACCCCCTCCCTGAGAAAATCAAACTTATAATTTATTTTAGGGATTGCCAGCTATTTTTATAAAATAAAAACATGTTTCAAATTCAGGATAACATTGTGATGACATGATTCTAATGCCCCTAAATGGTGGGTTTCAATTCATATAATATGCTTAGTTATCACTACTGGTGGAGCACATAATAGCAGATCGAAAGGTTAAACTCATGACTTAAGTCTCAACTTAATACGAATGGTACACCCTTTGGTTTGACATAGCTCTTTTCTGAGTGTAGAATGGTTGATTTAGTGTAAGATGGGGGAGCAGCGTGGGACACAGAAGTGGGAGTCACTTGTGTTCTGACCACTGACCAGCGCGGTTCCAGACCACGGGCTCCAGTCCCAAGCGCCCGTTGTGCTCCTCATTTCTCCCGTGGGGTCAGGGCCCCCTGTTCTGTGTGTGGGTGCTCCCTGGGGGTGCAGTTCTCGGGGAGCAGTCAGGAAAGGCCGGGCCTGGAAGGCGGGCATAGGGAGACAGGCAGGCTGCCTGCAGATGGAGCTCCCTGAAATCCTGGTTTGTGAGAGTCTTTGACCAGAGACATGCACACTGACATAATAAAATATGTCTTTTTTTTTCTTAAGATCTTTTTGATGTGGACCATTTTTAAAGTCTGTTAAATTTGTTACAATATTGCTTCTGTGGCTTGGGAGTTCTTAGCTCCCAGACCAGAGATTAAACCTGCACCCCCTGCATTGGAAGGCATCCCGACCCCTGGATTTCGTGTGTCCTAAACAGCATTCAGTCCCTGGTCTTTGTTCAGCTGCTCAGATGACTCGCTGGCAGAGTCTTGGCGTCAGAAGGAAATACAATCTTGATGGTTCTTTCACCTGATATGTAGCCGAGGCCTGGGTCACCTGCATCCACGGCTGCTGAGCCTCTGGTGGTGCCCAGTGGTCAGAGCCCCCAGGGCCTCCTTGAGATGGTGCTGTGGGTGGTCACCTCACTCTTCTCAGTTCCTCCAAGTTCTCACTTGTGTGTATTTGAAAGGAAACTTGGTCTTCCAGATGCTGGAGGAGTCTGTGTATGAACTGGTGGCGAAGCAACTGAGGCAGCATCAGAACACGATGGAGGACAAGTTCATCGTGTGCCTGAGCAGAGCCACGAAGAACTTCGCTCCTCTGGCCGACAGGTGGGGGGCCATGTCCGCCTGCCTGCCGGGAGCGGGTCGTGGGCGGGGATGGGTGGTTGTGTCCGTCTGCCTGCCCCTGCCTGTGGAGAGGGTCGTGGGGCGTTGTCACCACCTGCCTGCCGGGGACGGTCCTGGTGGGGGTCAGTGCCCCTCCGCTCACCGGCCCTGCCCGCTGCCCAGGTTCATGAACAGCGTGCTCTTTCTGCTGCCGAGGTTCCATGGCGTGATGAAGACGCTGTGTCTGGAGGTGGTGCTGTGTCGTGCGGAGGAGACCCCTGACCTGTACCTGCAGCTGAAGAGCAAGGATTTTGTTCAGGTCATGAGACACAGGTGAGTGGCCGCCACCTGTGCCCTTGGATGCAGCTGTTTGTTCAGCTGTCCCCTCAACTCAAGGGGACTTGTGAGTTATTGTGACAGGAGTGTTTGTTCACTTTGACACCAGACACTTGAGGGACTCCGTCTTGGGATGTCCAGAGCTGTTTTCAGGTTCAAAATGTGTGGTTTTGTGTTCTGTACCTGTTTTGTCAGCTAAGAGGCTTCCATTATTTGTTAAATTTATTTGCAAAATGGTAACATGCTGTTAAGGTAAATGTTAACAGAGTGCTGCTGATGGCATCCCATGTTTTCCTCCCTCAGTGCTGTTTTCCTCTCAACTGTGTGCACACTTTTACATGATGATAAACTGTCTTTGTGTTGATTTCCTCCAGTCAGCCTAGCTGAATGTCTACTGTATGTGGAGCATTCAGCTGGTGCTTAAGAAGGAAGTGGGGGTGCCCCACATTGGGCCCCGACTGCACTTAACCCCTGGTGCCTGACCAGCCCTGGAAACCATTTTTTAAAGTCGTGAAATCCTTTCTAGGTAGCTTATTTTGTTTGACTTTGTCAGGTTTTTAAAAAATGAACTTTTTATTTTGAATTAATTTAATTTTTACAGAAAAGTTGGAAGTACACAGAATTCCCACACACCTTTCACCTAGCTTCCCGATCTCACATCATCACGGTGTTTGTCTAAACCAAGAAGTTAACATTAGTGCACTTCTGTCTATTTGAAGTCACCAGTTTCCTCATCCTCTTCCTAGGATCCAGGCGGGACACTACATTGTTAATTTCCTTTTCATAATCTAGCCCACGATCATTATTTTCAAGAGTTTAATTTTTATGTAAATATAGTGTTAGCTATAATAATAAAATTTGAAATACAGAACAGCACAGAGAAGAAAATGTCACCTGTCATATCTAAAGGCATGGTAATAACAGTTAAGTCTGTGTTTTTGAAAATTCCTCTTTTTATAGAGATGACGAGAGACAGAAAGTGTGTTTGGACATAATTTCCAAGATGATGGCACGGCTGAGACCTGCAGAGCTCCGGGAGCTCCTGAGCGCTGTGGTGGAGTTCCTGTCTCACCCGGCAGTGCTGTGCCGCGAGCGGATGTACGCCATCCTCATGTGGGTCCATGACAACTACAGGTGAGCTCCTCCCTGACGCACGTGTCCCATCTCTTAGGGAGCATCTGGGTGCCTCCAGCAGTCTGGAACGACTGTAATAAATGATAAGACATTTAAATTGTGTGGTTAATAACTGAAACAGGTTTGGTATGTTGAAATATATCTTCGTCCTCATTCATTTTGTGAACCTGTGGGAAGTATTCAGAGCGTGTTATTATTGGTTGAGCTGAAAGTGTACTTCGTTTTCCTTGTTTTCCCTCACAGTCTGACAAGGTTAAGGAAAGAACTCCTGGGATGTTTCCTCCTTGGGGACTGTGGTCCTGCTCCCCGGCTGGCCACCATGGCCCGGGACAGGGTGCAGGCCCTAAGGAGTGGGTGAAAGTTGGGGAAGAGGGCGGGTTTCGTTACTTTCATCCTAGACAGCATTGTTGGGTTGACGCAGAGCAGCAGAAGGAGCAGTAACAGTTTTGTTGTCTTGTGACTTCTCTCAGAGACCCAGAGAGTCAGGCAGATGAAGACTCGCGTGAAGTATTCAAGCTGGCCAAAGATGTGTTGATTCAAGGGCTGACCGACGAGAACCCAGGACTTCAGTAAGTGCCTGTCCCGGAGCAGCTGGGTGGGCGGGTAGGCACATTCAGGACTCTTTCTGGGCCAGTGTGGGGCCTCTCTGAGGTGTCAAAGGGCCTTTGCTGTATTAGCCTTTTCTCTGCCTCTTGCTGGCATAAGAAAATGTGTTTTAAATCACATTAGAACCCAAAAGTCCTGGCATGTTACTTTAATATATAAGTCTTGAAAAATTGGTGTGAGTAACGCTCTCTTGACTATGCTGTGAGTTACAGCATCTCAGGATGAGAAACCTGTAATGAAAAGTGGTTTTGTCATTCCTCATTTAGCTCCAAGTGAGTTCCCACTCTGCACATTAGTGTCAGAGGGCGTGCTGGAGGCCTTGGAAACAGAGGATGCTGCAGTGTCATCATAGATGCCCACGAGCTCGCCACGAGCTCATTATGTTACAGCAGACATGGAAGAAACCCTGACGATTCTGTGTGTCAGCTAACTTTCAGTGTACTGCAATTTTTAATTCATTGAGCTTTTAAAAACTGGATTTCTCAGACATTCACAAATTATAAAGCCTGATCTTGTTTTTAACTTGTTTAATAGTTTGACTATTTTATGTTCACATTATGTTTTGAATATTTTGTGGCACTAATGTTTAGAGTGAATTGTCTTAGCAAGGCAATGAAGGACTATATATATAATTTCTCTTGGTGTTTTCTCAGTTTCAGAGTATGTAATGTAAAATTCCCATCTTTGCAAACTTCTGGGTAATAGAAATGAGAATAGAATGACCCAGCTTCTCACCTCCTATTAAAGTATGCCAACATTCTGGAATATTTCCCCTTCAGCATGTACCTCATCTTTAGGCAGCTTACTTGTGGATGGAGGTCTGCATGTGGATGGAGTCCCAGGGCTGATCTCTGGTGGAAGAAGAGGATCTTCCCCGTGTGGCACACGTAGAGACCTCCTTCTCTTCCTTCTTCTCTGCCTTCCAGATTAACTGTTCGGAACTTCTGGAGCCATGAAACTAGGTTGCCTTCAAATACCTTGGACCGATTGCTGGCCCTAAATTCCTTATATTCTCCTAAGATAGAAATGCACTTCTTGAGTTTAGCGACAGATTTCCTGCTTGAAATGACCAGCCTGAGCCCTGACTTCCGGACTCCCCTGTTTGAGCACCCTCTGTCAGAGTGTGAGTTTCAGGTGAGCTCTGGCCTGGTGAGCTGACTTTCCCGCCTGTTGGTCAGCAGATTTTGTCCACTGGTGTTAAATCCCTGCTTTTTTCTTTAATTAAGGTGTAATTAGGATTGTATTTGTTTTCAGTGCACAAGGTAGTGATTCTATATTTGTATGTATTACAGAATTATGACCGCAATAAATCTAGTTATCACTGCCCATAGTTAGAGGTTTTTAATCTTGTGATGAGAACTTTCAAGATATACTCTCTTAGAAACTTCACATATACAAATGGTGTTACTGACTGTAGTCACCATGTGTACATCGCCCCCCAGATCTTACTTTACAACTGTAAGTTTGTGCCCTTTGACCCCCTTCACCCATCTCTACCACCCCTCACCCCTTGCCTCTGGCAACCACCAGTCTGTTCTCTGTTTCTATGAGCTTTTTTGGTTTTGTTTTGTTATGTTTTTTGTTTTAGATTTTACATATGAATAAGATCATGCAGTATTTGTGTTTCTCTCTGACTTATTTCATGTAGCATAATACCTTCAGGGTCCATCCATGTTGTTGCAGGTGGCAGGATTTCATTCTTTTTCAAAGCTGAGTAGTAGTCCATCACTGTGTGTGTGTGTGTGTGTGCGCGCGCGCGCACCACACGTCTTCTTTCTCCTTTCATCTGCTGATAGAGGCTTAGGTTTTCTCCATATCCTGGCTGTTGTAAACAGTGCTGTTGTGAACACTGGGGTGCTTGTGTCTTTTCCCATTAGTGTTTTTGTCCTCTTCTGATAAATACCCAGCTGTGGTTGCTGGATCCTACGGTGGTTCTATGTATAATTTCCTGAGGAACCTGCACTCTGCTGTCCACAGTGGCCGCAGCAGGTTTCATGCCCACCCACAGTGCACAGGTGCCCTTCCCCTCCTCAGCTGCAGGTGACGCCTCACTGCGGTTTGATTGGTATTTCCCTGATGACTTGTGTGCTGGCTTCCTGATTTTACTTGGAATCCACACACATTCTTCCCGAGACGCCCATCTGCACCTCAGCCCGCTTGCCCCCTGCCCTACACACAGCTCACCCTTGTCCTCTCAACCTCCATGGAGGCGTTTCCCTCTACCGTTCCCACAACACACCCTGGAGGTGCTCATTTGCCCCTTGGCCTGGCAGCACTGCTGATGGCCGCATGATGACTCGGGCCCTGGAGCAGAGCGCCCCCACCCCATCCCCCCATGTCCCCCGCATCTCCTAATCTGGACACTTGGCGGGGGGAGTGTGGGGAGGGGGTCAGAGGAGCCCAGTCATCCCCTGAGTGTGGCAGTGAGCCTCTGAATGCAGGATGTTAGGAGGAGAAAAGCAGTTTTTCTCCCCAGTACTGATTGGTTTTATTTGTTGACAGATAATTGTTCTGTTAAAAATTTTAAATTTGAGAAAGTTGTTCTTCAGCTATTCCTTGCAGAGCTACATGGAGTATAGCAATGTTTGTGGAAAGGACCATGAAGTTTTAAATAAAGCATTTGCATGTTCTGAGAAGGGCGTGACCTCACCTGACCCTCTCTCCTGGCAGGAATATGCCATTGACCCCGACTGGCGCTTCCGGAGTACTGTCCTCACACCAATGTTTGTTGAGACTCAGGCCTCCCAGAGCACGCTCCAGGCCCGGACCCAGGACGGGTCCATCTCGGCTCGCAGGGCGATGGCTGGGCAGGTCCGGGCCACCCAGCAGCAGCTCGACTTCACGCCCACGCAGAGTGCAGGTGCTGCCTCCGCTGTATGCGTGCACTGCATGCATGCCGGGGAGCCGTGAAGGCCTCAGTGGTAGGAGAGAGGAGGGGCTGAGTCCCTGGGTTGTAGATTCAGGGGTGGAGTGGCCACAAGCGACCCTGGGGACAGAGGTGGGGACTGTTGTGCAACCCGCGAACATGGTGGGCTCTTCAGAGTGCGTGACGTTGTCCATTGGACTTTCCGTGTTTCTACCACAATTAAAACAAAGGGAGGAAAGGATTATTTCTGACTGGAGAAAACAAGAAAGGTTTCAGTACATGTAAGTATTGGTTTGATTTTTGTCCAGAAAAATCTGTCCAGTGCATCCCATTTAAAACCACTTGTCTCAGAAGCAAAGCAGAGCTGACCCAGGTTCACTGACTGTGTTTGTAGTTCATTAAACTCCTCTTCCTCGAATGGTTCAGCCGTTTCCTTTGACCAGCAGACTATCAGTTGTAGAGTAAAATCCCCAAGTCGTTTTTATGGAAATACTTCAGTATTCTTTCCTTTGTGTAATTTTTTCACACTGTTCTGGAAATAGGACTAACTTGTCCAATTACTGTGGGGCTTTTAGACTCTGACGTTATCGATCACAGACCTTAGTGCCGCGTAGACGCAGTGTCATCCTGACGAGCATGTGGTGGCCTCCCTCGTGCCCACAAGGACAGGCGGTCCGGCTGCCGGGCCTTCCTGGGGACGTGGTGGCCCACCCTGGTGACTGCGGGCAGCCCTGCTCTCGAGCAGCGGGTCCTGGCCGAGGCGCTGGCTGAGCGGCACTGCTGTGACCCGCGCGTCGTGTGTGTTTGCAGGGGGAAGAGTGCTCTCCCACTGGCTGACGGCGGGCAGCACAGACCCTCTGGGCGATAGCCTGGCCCCCACCACCGAGGCCTCATCTGCGTCCCTACTGTTTGCCCACAAGAGGCCCGAGAGGCCCCGGGGGACACCCCTGAAGTCCGTGGGGCCTGAATTTGGGAAGAAGAGGCTGGGCCTCCTTGAGGATGAGGTGGACGACGGAGCACAAGGTAAAAGATCACTGAGCTGTGTTGAAATGCCTGCCTCTGCAAACTCATGACTGTTCCTGAGTCCGGGTGACCTGCATGGAGCCCAGCACCGCGTGGAAGCCTGGTTTGGGGTCCAGAAAGCAGTTGCCTGAACTGCGCTCGGGCCCTCACTCAGGGCTCCCAGGTGTCTAGGGGCCATGGTACGCGCAGGATGGGGAAGCTGAGTCAGAGAGAGTTCAGGTCCGGGGGCTGGGGAGGGTCAGGCAGACCTGAGGGCTGGAGTGAGGATGCAGACATTCAGCTCACCGGGGGTGGGGGGTGCGCTCTGGGAGGAGCCCCAGCCAGATGCCCCCCAGACTCACGAGAAGCCCCGGCAGCCCAATCCCCCGGGGCCACTTCCCCGGCCAGCCTCATCCGCTCAGCCAGGCCCTCAGTGTTGCTTCCACAGCTCCAGTTGGCGTTACTGTGGCCCCCTTTCCTTGGGGTCTTGGTCACTTTCTCTCTTGCCTGCCCCCTCCCCCCACACTGTCACCAACGTCCTGAACAGGTCTTACTGCGGCTTATGTCACGTGGGGCTTCTCTCCTTTCTTGTACAGTCACTGTTCATAGGTGTTAATGACCTCAGTTTCTTTTTTTGTTGAAGTAGAGTTGTGTTGATTTCTCCTGTATGGCATAGTGATTCACCTGCATGTATGTATATACATACATGTTCTTTCTCATTAGGAAACGGGCTCCCTTTTCTCCCGTGGGTGATTTTGCCGATAATCTCCAAATGTCAGTTTTCTCTTGTAGGAATTCCATCTTGACTGTCAGACCTAAGGGATTTTCCCTTCTTACCACCTCTGCTCGGCTCTGGGCCCAGCGTTACCTTCTGACTGTGCTTGTGCATGACGACGTCCAGTCTCTAGTTCCCATGAGCTTCTGTGCTCTCAGAAAGTCCCTTCTGTGACCTGTTATAGGACCTACTCTGCTCCTGTGATAAAGGGTCATTGAAAAATTTTTTTTCTAGATGGTGTGCTTTCAACATTTTCTCCCCCCCGTTGCTTTGGTTCCTATTTTTCTTATTTGCAGCTTTGCTCAAACGTCTGCTGATTTTTGGCTTTTGCTGTGTCCAGGTAGGCGATAACCAGGTTTGGGAGTGGTAGCTGCACTCTGGGTGTGCTGACTGGCCTCACCAGACGTGGAGACCCCCGTTTTGTGCTGGGTGGTCCCCCTCCAAGGCCAGGTCTTGCCCCTCCCGCCTGCATGTACAGGCCTGGTGCTGCGGCAGCCCTGGGTTCCTCAGTGGTCCCGGCTGCGGGGGCTCTGCTCCAGTCGTGTGACCCTGCACCCCCGGCCTCAGTCTCGCATTCCTGAGCCCCCTCTTTCCCAGAGACGTCTGAGCCCTGCCTGCTTTCTCCGTGCAGCCTCAGTTCTCCAGCTTCCAAAACTGTGCTTCACAGGCTTAGGTTGTTCTGGAAATAGAGCTGCGGGGAGTAGGGGATGGAGACGAGCAGATACCTCACTTCATGTCAGCAATTCTGGGGAGGAGGGGACAGACGTCAGCCGCCCATAACCAACCTGCTGTCTGTTCTTCAGGTCCAGATAATCATGCAGAAATACTGAGATTACGCAGACGATTTCTAAAGGACCAAGAAAAGCTGAGTTTGATTTATGCCAGGAAAGGTGTTGTTGAGCAAAAGCGAGAAAAGGTTTGTACCCATTTCTGGAATTTGGTCAGAAATAGCTGTTTTTGTCACAGGATATGTGCCCAAGAGATGTCTTCCTGGCTGGCCTAGGCCGGGTTGCAGAGGTCGCCCATGCGACCCCGCCTCCAGGTGTCCGCTGAGCCCCACTGCTCTGCAGTGGGGTGGGGGGCGCTATCCTCTCTGGACAGATGGGCTTTCTACACGAGGTGGAGACCAGACCCCCTCGCCCCCCGGTGCCCTGGGGTCTGTCTCCCAGGTGCAGTCCCTGCAGCCTCGAGGCCACAGCCCTAACACCATGACTCAGGACGAACAAACTGTGGGGGCTGTGCTCCTGGAGGCTGGTGGGGGGCAGGATGAGGAGCGTGGCCAGTCCTGAGCTGCCCACTACAGACACACATGTGGCATAAATGGATGGTTGAATGTTTCTCCCAATGTGGAAGTAACAGCAGAAGTTGTTCAGCCCTAGAGTCAGTGTGAGATATAGATCAGTGATGTTGACAGGCTGTTCTAGGACTGGCCTGTGAGTGAGAGCCCTGTCTCCATTGTGGCTTAGTTTAAATCCTCAGCGGCTTCACTTCCAAGTCTGGGTGTGAAACAGTCAGAAGATTGCTATGTCTTCTATGGAAAGACTGGACTTTCCTGTATCTCTGTAACCACAGCACTGCAGGCCGAGGGCCGGTCCCAACCAGCCTAGAGGCCTTTGCTCCAGCCTCCTCATTAAGCCTGAGTCCTGCCTGGGCTTCTTGAGGGGACAGGGCAGGAGTGGGATAGAGGCACTGGGCTGATCCCTGAGGGTCTCAGGGAATGGATGGGTTGTGGCCTGGGGCCGGGGGTGGCCTTGCTGGGTGTTGTCACCGCTCTCAGCAGAGGCGTTTGAGGGTCCCCTCTGCTCTTGGAGCTGCAGAGCAGTGTGCAGCAGACGGAGAAGCGGGGCAGCCTCAGGGGTTAGCCGGGACGTACGCATGTGAGGGAGTGCTCTGCAGGGGGAACCGGGCCACGCAGGGGGAGCAGGGCCTTGCCAGAGGAACAGGTCCCCGCGTGGGGAATGGGGCCCGAAGGGGGAACGGGGCCCTGCAGGAGGAATGGGGCCTGAAGGAGGAAATGGCTGAAGAAGGGACCATGCCCCACAAGGGGAACAGGGCCTTGTCAGGGGAACAGGTACCCGCCAGGGGAACGGGGCCCGAAGGGGGAAGGGCTGCAGAGAGCAGGGCCAGCAGGGGCCAATGGGCCCTATAGCCAAGGTTTGTCTCGAGAGTGACAAAGAAATACAGTCCTCTCATTTGTGGGTTGAAAAAGTTTTAAATCAAGTTCTCTGATTTCAGAGAAACTCAGATTTCTTTGGAATAGATCTTTAAATAATCTTCCCATTGCACATCTGACACTGGTTTTGGGCTTATCGTCTGCCACATTGATCAAGTGTAGTGACTCAAGCATCTTGGATAGAATTGATTGATTCACTTCTGTTAGTGGTGGGCGAGGATGGTTTCATCACCCAAGCTCTACTGGTTAGAGAGAGTTGTAACCTTCCTGTATTGCTGATGATTGTAGGAGATCAAGAGTGAGTTGAAAATGAAGCACGAGGCCCAGGTTGTCTTGTACAGAAGTTATCGCCGTGGAGACCTTCCTGACATCCAGATTCCACACAGCAGCCTGATCACCCCGCTGCAGGCTGTGGCCCAGGTCAGTGTGGGCCGTCACATGCTCTGGGGCCGTTGCCTCGTGCAGGAAGCAGGGGTGACCTGTCCCCAACATGGGCCTCAGTGCTGAGCCTCGTCCCAAGTCCTGGCTCCCGGGGACCCCGCCGTGGGGTCCCATCTAGCACTTTGCCTTGGGTCCAGTGTCTCTGTGTGCCAGTCATACCGCACTCTTTTTCTCACCAGTGATGTTGGTGGGAATGAGACAGTATGTAAGTAGCTGCACTGCTTAAATCATTGATTACACAAAACCCTCTTGTGGGAGTGATCAGGGAGGTCAGTGGCATCAGCATCCTCCTCCGAAATTCCCAGGAGCCGAGGACTGAAATGCTCCTCTGTGTCATTAGGGTCACCACGTGCTTCTGGAGTGAGTGAGGTTCTGTAGCTGAGTGCCCTGAGATAAATGGGATATTTATCCCTTGAAAGTCTGGTTAAGATTCCTTTGACTTTAGTGAAGTAATTTAAAAAGTCTTTTAAATTTATACTGTCATATACTGAAATTACATACTGAAACTTGTTGCCTCATATTTTTACTATACTTAAGTTTACAGTACTAATATTGATCATAAGTGATAAGTGAAAGTCACTCAGTTGTGTCTGACTACTTGGGATTCTCTAGGCCAGAACACTGGAGTGCGTAGCCATTTCCTTCTCTAGGGGATCTTCCCAACCCAGGTCTCCCGCATTGCAGGTGGTTTCTTTACCAGCTGAACCATTGGGAAAGCCCAATATTGATCATAATAATAGGTTATGTCTGTGTTTACATTACTGCTTTATAAGCTTTTTTATTTATCTAGCTATTTACAAAGTGACAGGAATTTGCAAAATAGCATACAGCCCCATGTCCCTTCCCCGCTTTCCTCGGTGGGCACAGCCCTCCAGTGACGTTGCCCAGCATGGTGACGGCGGCAGCACTTGATGTTTCAGGCCAGGCTCTGATGCGTGGGTGAGTCACACTTCTGTCCTGCTCGGGAATGTCTTACAGAGAGACCCACTCGTCGCCAGGCAGCTCTTCAGCAGCCTGTGCTCGGGGATCCTGAGGGAGTCAGGCGAGCGCAGGACCGCGGCTGAGGGGCGGGGCGCCGCCCAGAGGCTCCTGCAGCACTTCACGCGCCTTCTGGACACCAGCTTCTCCTCCTTCCCGCCCTTCGTGTCCTGCATCCAGGTGAGGCTGCGGCACGCCCACGTCTCAGTGGCTCTGCCAGTTCCTGGTTGCAACATCGGTTTAACACAGCAGCTGGACTCTGGTGGGGCCACCTCCTCCCAGGGGCTCGGTGCAGCTTGTTTATTCTTTTTGGCTGTGCTGGGTCTTCCTTGCTGTGTGGGCTCTTCTCTAGTTGTGTTGGCAGGGGGTTCGGGGGGCACAGGGGGCTCCTCTTTGTTGTGGTGCAGGGGCTTCCCATTGCCATGGCTTCTCTTGTGTAGCTCAGGCTCTAGGACACACGGGCTTCAGTAGTCGTGGGTCCTGGGCTTTAGAGCACAGGCTTGGTAGTTTGGCACACAGGCCTAGTTTCTCCACAGGATGTGGGATCTTTCCAGACCAGGGATTGAACCGGTGTCTTCTGCCTTAATAGGCAGATTCTTTACCACTAAGCCACCAGGGAAGCGTCAGTTTATTTGTATTTTTTAAAATTTATATATGACAGAATAACCTGAGATCCAACTTAATACAAAGTTGCTCTGACTGTGTGTCAGTTCGTCCCTGCAGTTCACACCTGCGTGTAACGTGGCACCCAGCCCTTACGGGGACGTTAGGGAGTACGTGCCTACCTGTGCACTGGGTGGGGACCAGGCAATGGGGACACACAACTATACTCATTGGGGGCAGGTGGAGAGCAGGCAGTGGTGGAAGGTCACAAGGGCATGGCACGTGGTGCAGGAGTGGGTGGGGTACAGGGCCTGGTGGGCAGATCAGCGGGCCACCCCTTTCTCGGGGGCGGGGGGATGGTGCTATGCACCATTGCAGACACAGGTGGGACACAGGTGTCAGAGAAGGTTTCCAGGCAATGCAGTTTGAACAGAGGACTAGTGTAGATGTACTTTTGTAACCACTAAGCATACTTATAAGGGGATTAAGAAATATTTTCTTTATACTCAAAACTTGGATAATTACAAAGCCCCTAATAGAAAATCGTCTGGATTCATGTCAGTATTTTTGTAATTAGTTAACATTCTTGGAGTAATTTAAAAATTATGTTCTTTAATGCTATTTATCAGTAGCTGTGGTTTGCAAACTGACTGGGTAATAATTCCTTGATATGAAGTATTTATTATGCATACTTTGTTCTTTTCCATGCAGCATGAAACTGTTAATACAGTTTCTTTTTATGTATTCTATTTTTATTGGTTTATAATTTACATGTAGAATTCTTTCATTGATTTTTCTCCTGGCAACACCAAAGACAAGGCTTGAGAAATTATATTGCATCAACCAGTGTTTCAGAGTAAGTTTCTCTTCACGTTGTATTCTGCAGTGATTTTTTTATATCTGAATTTCTAGTTTTGCAGTTTTGTCCACTGCTGTTTAGGGGAGTCACTATAGGTAACGTCTCACCCTGCAGCTTGCCTTCGGGCCTGGAACTCGTGGAGCAACGTGGGGGTCATGCAGGTGCAGACTTGGACTGAGACTGTGTGAAGCGCTCTGTGTCTCTCTCCTGTGACTGCTCACGCCAGAACTGAGTGTTTGGTAAAACGAGTTACTCCTGCTTGGAGACCCTCTCACTGAAGGACTGCATGTCTGTGTCTTGCCAGGAGATCAGCTGCCAAAATGCCGACCTGCTGAGCCTCGACCCGGCTCTGGTCAGTGGGGCCGGCCTGGCGGGCCTGCAGCAGCCTGGGGCCATCTGCCTGTTGGAGGAGGCGCTGTTGAGACTGGCTCCCCAGGAGCCTCCCGCCAAGCGTGCGCGGGGGAAGCCGGGCCTGCCCCCCGACGTTGGCAGGTGGATGGAACTTGCCAAGTAAGCTCTGGCCCCGACCCTGCTGTGGCCAAAGCGATGCGTCTAACACAGTCACTTTATTTGGGCGACACACATCCTGTCTGAGTCTTCTCTTACCTGAGGTTTATCGTGAGAAACCCAGTGCCTAATTCTCAGGCACTGGGTTCTGAGGGCGCTGGATTAGGGTGAAATGGATTTGCACTTCTTTCCTGTAGCGCTGGTTTTCAGATATTCCAGGTTCTGGGAAAAGCGTAAAAGAGTCTCACTGTCGTGAAGTTGCTCCTGTCTCTGTACTGGCCTGAGGTGAGCAGTAGGCGCGGTGTTGCTGCCGAGGAGCATCACAGCCCAGGCCTGACCCAGTCCCCTGGGGGACGACGTCCTGGGGCTGCTGCTCTGCCCACAGGCTGTTTCTACCCCGTTGTGTCCTCTGTGGGTATGGGCAGTCGTGACACCTTGTGTGGAGACTCTGAAGACAGCGAAAAGTCTCCAGGGAAGAGGGAATGGACTTTTAGACACCCGAGCCTGTCTTCAAGTGGGAGGTTTGGCTGACGGGCCAGCAGATTTGTGTTGACATCAGGTCAAAACTCTAGCACGTGTTTAGGCTCTCAGCAACATTGAGACAGCCACAGAACGTGGATTACATGGCATCTGTAGGACCAGGACTAGTTTACCTGCTTCTAGTTTACCTGCTTTACTAGTTTTCCTGGGTTCTGGACCACATTCCACATTTCAGGGCTAGGTAAGGATTCCAGAAAGGTCACCACAGATAAGAGCAGTGTTTCAGTGATAGAGTGACATAGAACAGTCTCATTTAATGAGTCAACTTGTGCATTGTAAACCTTTATTTTCAGATTTTACATTAAATGCACTTTAGAATGGGCTTCCCAAGGTGATGTTAGTGGTAAAGAACCTGCCTACCAATGCAGGAGACATAAGAGACTCGAGTTTGATTCCTATATCAGGAAGATCCCCTGGAAGGGAGGGCATGACAACCCACTCCAGTCTTGCCTGGAGAATCCCATGGACAGAGAAGCCTGGCGGGCTACAGTCCATGGGGTCACAAGAAGTCAGACACAACTGAAATGATTGAGCACACATGCATGCACTTTGTAATAATTTCTGCTTTCCGCATGGCTCAAGTAATAAAACTTAATGATAACTTCAAAATTTTTAAGATTTTATGTTTTAACAAAACAAGAATGACATCTTTTTTAGTTAATATAATTATGGCATCTTGATTTAATATCATTTCAAGAAAGACTTTTTTTTTTTTTTTCGAGAAAAACATTTATTATTCTTATGTTTTGACTTGTTCTGTAGATTTTTTGGATTTTTTTCCTCCTTTTTTCCCCTTCTGTTGTAGGGGCACTAAGAAATCCAATTAAGCTTTTAATTTTTTTTCTTTCTAAGTCACATTTTTTATTGCTGTTATAAACCTCTGCCTCTATGTTGGGCTTTTGCAGTTCTGTGCAGTTTTCCCTATTTTTACTTTTCAATTTTTTTAATTTTAATTTTTAATACTTTAAAGCTATTGTTATTTTTTCTACATTTATTCCTTTATTTGCTTTTCCTACTGTTCTTTTCCCCTTACAGTTAATCTTTAATGTGTATAAATCGTTTTCATCTACCTCTATTTAACTTTGCATATCTATCCTTTCTTTACTTTCTCCCCTTTCCTCTCAACATATTTGTTAGTTTTCTTTTCATTGCTTTATTCTCCAATTGCTTTAGTTTTGTTATCATTTGTGCTTTAGTTAGTTTTGTTCTGGTAGATATAATTTTTGGTTTCCTTTGTTTGCTAGGTCAATCTATTTTACTTTATTTTTGTTGGACTGTTTTGATTTTCCTTATGGGTGTATATGTATGTGTGTATAAATACATTTAAAATATTTTTAAAATACTTTTAAAATATTGGGGCATTCACTGATTTGTCCTGTTTTTGTTTTTTTTTTGGATCTGTTTCATAGACTGTACAGGTCGATTGGGGAGTATGACATCCTCCGTGGTATTTTCAGCAGTGAGATTGGAACAAAGCAGATCACGCAGGACGCGCTGTTAGCAGAAGCAAGAAGTGACTATTCTGAAGCTGCCAGGCTGTACAACGAGGTAGAGTTGATCTCCAGCAAGTGTGTCAGTTGCTTTACCACTTTTGTTCCCTGGATGGAAACACTGTCAGCTTTAGAACTTAGACCTTCCAATATTCAGCTGTATTCCTTAACTTTTACACAGAGATTACTGCCAAAAATGGTTTCATAATAACTGAACATGAACTAGTTATTGTTCTAGCTCTTACTCTTTTTAAGAAAATAATCAAAGAGAAAGTGTTTTTTACCAGGTTAGTATGAAATTATAAGATGTCATTTCCATATCTGGTATTATCATATAGTTTCTGTTTGAGTAGATTGTTTCCACTCTGGAAGTAAAACTTATGAAAAGGTAGGTGAGAGCTGGTTTGGGGAAGGTGTCTCTGAAGTCCAGTTTTGTACATTTTGTGTTGGAGTTGTCCGTGGCCAAGTGTGGATTTGTGGCAGGTACACACTTGCAGTTGAGGGCCTGTGGCCTGTGCGGGACGTCTGAATGGTGAAGCCCTCTGCAGTTTTCTATAAATGTCCTGTTTCTAATTTTCATTCTAAGAACTTTTCAAGTAGTGAAGAATCTACAGTATTTACATCAAATTAAGGGGCATTTTCAGTTTTCAGCTTATTAATTGACTTTATAGGTAAGTTCCCCAAAGAAGTGGTTCTGTCCTAGCTATTATTTTTAATATTCATTTGACTGTTAAGTTCCCTCAAGTTAACTCTCTTTTCCCTTTTTTCTCCACTTGTCATAAATCTGACAGTGATTATTCTTAGTGTGAATGTTACATGTATCCAATTTGGTAAAATAATCTTTGCAGGCCCTCAACACACAAGAATGGTCAGACGGCGAGCCCACGGAAGCCGAGAAGGATTTCTGGGAACTTGCATCCCTTGACTGCTACAACCAGCTGTCCGAGTGGAAGTCGCTGGAGTACTGCTCCACAGCTAGTGCTGATGGCGAGGGCACCCCGGACCTGAGCAAGATGTGGAGTGAGCCCTTCTATCAGGTGCGGGGCAATCTGTGAGGTCACCCAAGTAGATGTCCTTGATGGTCAAGTGCTCTCTCATTAATGAAGGTGTTTAAAACTTTTCAGAAACAGGAAAGTAGTTGTAAAGCATTAGAGTGTTTATATAACTTGACTCCCCCAAACTCCGTAATATTGTTAAACCACTGTGCTTCCCTCATAGCTCAGTTGATAAAGAATCTGCCTGCAATGCAGGAGACCTTGGTTAAATTCCTGGGTCAAGAAGATCCACTGGAGAAGGGATAGGCTACCCACTCCAGTATTCTTAGGCTTACTTTGTGGCTCAGCTAGTAAAGAATCCACCTGCAGTGCGGGAGACCTGGGTTGGGTCCCTGGGTTGGGAAGATCCCCTGGAGAAGGGAAAGGCTACCCACTCCAGTATTCTGGCCTGGAGAATTCCATGGACTGTATAGACCATGGGGTCTCAAAGAGTCGGACATGACTGAGTGATTTTCACTCACTCACTCACTGTGCTCTTAGCTAATGCTTTCAAAATAAGCAGATGCCTTTACAAAGGAACGTCAGCCTCCCTGGCGTGACCACAGGGAGAGTGTTTCCTGCTGTGTCTGCACCGCACAGAGGCCTCACCAGGCCTGCAGGTCCTCGCTTGGTACTGAACGTCCAGTTCTCTTCCAGCTACAAGTAGTTCCTGTTTTCTATAGAATGTGTTCCTGTATCTTTTGTGGTTATAAAATAAGCAATTGTAGATGAACTTGCTTAGAAGATTGTAGCCTTAGGTTTAAACCATTAAACGCCATCATTTGGACCTGTGAAGTGACACCATAGATGCATGGCAACGCCGTCTCGGGATGTCACATCCATTCTCGCTCTGCAGGAGACCTGCCTGCCGTACATGGTGCGCAGTAAGCTGAAGTTGCTACTCCGCGGGGAGGGTGACCAGGCGCTGCTGACCTTTGTGGACGAGGCGCTGACCTCAGAGCTGCGGAAGGCCCTGCTCGAGCTCCGCTATAGCCAGGAGCTGAGTCTCCTTTATCTCCTGCAGGACGACATTGACAGGGCCAAGTATTACATCCAGAACTGCATCCAGATGTTCATGCAGGTAACATGGGCGCGCCCACCCGGGATGTGCTCTTCCTGTGAGCTTGGGTTGACATGGGCAGCTCACTGGCCACTTCCCTCTGATTCCCTGCACACTAGCTAACGGCCTGGGGCCTTTTAGCGCCTGTTTCTGATTTAGAAAGTTCCTTTTGTTTTCCCTTGAGTTTTTCTTTCTCTCCCTGGACGAGTACCTGAGAGCAGATCCCGCACCCAGGCATCTGGGTGGGAGGTGGTCGTGCAGGAGGGTCATGCGACCCTGCCGGCCAGTGTCTGTCCTGCCTCTGAGGTTGGCCGTTATGTTGTTAAAGCCACATCTTGTGTAGAGTCCCTGAATGTTTGTTTTTGCCGAACATAGACACTCACTGTCTTTATGCTAGTTTTTAAACATGTTTGAGGTTGAGTAGCAGTCCACTTGAGGAGGTTTATGGAAGGAGAAAGGTTGGCTTCTGTAGTTGGCCGTTCTGTATTATAGGATATTGTGGTTTTTAAGAATTGGTGGGGAATGGAGGCAGCGGCACCTGATTGTATCACTCTTATTGATTTTGTTGAACCAAAATGTGATTGAAAACCAAAATTAAAAAAAAATTAGACCGTTTAATTGCTCCTGTGACCACTCAGAGACATCCTGTGTAACTGATCTGTTTATAGGATGGTTGCTGTTTCATGTTTAGATTGTGTTAAAATCTGAAGCAGTACATTGACTTGTGACCAATGCTAAATAACTTTTCCAGAACTATTCCAGTATTGATGTCCTCTTACACAGAAGTAGACTCACCAAATTGCAGTCTGTACAGACTTTCATAGAAATTCAGGAGTTCATCAGCTTTATTAGCAAACAAGGTAATTTTTTATTTATATGTATCTTTTTTCCTTTCATAATTAGGAAGAGTTTTGGCATCTGACTTTTTTTTTTTGCTTGGTGATAGTACATGTTTCTTAATGTATGGGTTAGAAACTGTCTTGAGTTTACTCCATGAATGTATGTTTTGGGATTGTTGAAAAAAGTGTTTAAAATAGTCCAGCACTCTTTCAGGGAGCAGACGCTGTGGTCCCCACAGAGCAGAGTGGTCCAGGACCCCTGTGAAAAACTGGGGTGATAGAATCTGCCAGTAGGGCTCAAGTTGGGTATGGTTGGGAGAGAGGGTCTCACCGAAGGCCAGCCTGACCCTGGGACACTGGCGTGACTGCCCTGGGTGCCAGGTGGTAAGTTGAGGCCCGGGTGGCTGTGCCCAGACCGAAGGCCTTTCTGCTGCTGCTGAGGGGGCTTAATCCTGATGCTGATGGAAGGTGCCCCGGAGCCAGAAGTAACCAAATTTCATTTCTGTTCATAAAAATAACTATGAAAGACTTAGTACTGATAAAAGTTGGTGTTCAGAACTACCTCCTTGACTGTTTTCTCTTTTAAATTTGGAGAATGGTTTTTCAAGTATGTATTACTAGTGGCGTATCATTTTAGGAGCTGTGTTAGTTTCTTTTCTCTGTATTTTACCCAGTTTTATAACAGCCTATGAGATGTAGGCTCAAAAACTAATATCATGGCATCTGATGACTGATGCTGAGGCTGGAATACTTGGCTAGGTGATGTGAAGAACTTACTCATTAGAAAAGACCCTGATGCTGGGAAAGACTGAAGGCAGGAGAAGAAGGGGACGACAGAGGATGAGATGGTTGGATGGCATTACCGACTTTATGCACATGAGTTTGAGCAAACTCTGGGAGTTGGTGATGGACAGGGAAGCCTGGCGTGCTGCAGTCTGTGGGGTTGCAAAGTGTCAGACATGACTGAACAACTAAACTGAACTAAACTGGTCAGGTTTTGCATTTATTATATCAGCAAATCTGGAAGACCCAGCAGTGGCCACAGGACTGGAAAAGGTCAATTCTCATCCCAATTCCCAAGAAGGGTAGTACTAAAGAATGCTCTAACTATCACTCATCTCCCATGCTAGTAAGGTCATGCTTATAATCTTCAGCATTATTCAAACCAAGAACTTCCAGGTGTCTAAGCTGGGTTTAGAGAAGGAAGAGGAACTAGAGATCAAATTGCCAACATTTACTGGATTATAGAGAGAAACATCTATCTCTGTCTCATTGACAACGCTGAAGTCTTTGACTTTGTGGATTGTGACAAACTATGGAAAGCTCTTAGGTGGGAATACCAGACCATCTTCCCTGTCTCCTGAGAAACCTGTATGCGGGTCAAGAAGAAACAGAACCCTGCTTGGAGCGACTGATTCGTTCGGGATCGAGAAAGGGGTACAACAGGGCTGTCTGCTGTCACCCTGTTTGTTTAACCTATATGCTGAGCACATCATCAGAAATGCCAGCTTCGATGAGTTACAAGCTGGAATCAAGATAGGCGGGAAAAACAACCACCACCTCAGATATGCAGATGATACCACTCTAATGGCAGAAAGCGAAGGGGGAACTAAAGAACCTCTTGATGAGGGTGAAGGAGGAAAGTGAAAGAGCTGGCTTAAGACTATTAAAAAAAAACTAAAATCATGGCATCTGGCCCCATTACTGCATGGCAAATAGAAGGGGAAAAGGTGGAAGTAGTGACAGATTTCCTCTTCTTGGGCTCCAAAATCACTGTGGACGGTGACTGCAGTCATGAAATCAGAAGACGCTTGCTTCTTGGCAGGACAGTGGTGACAAACGTAGATGGTGTGTTGAAAAGCAGAGACAAAGGTCCATATAGTCAACGCTATGGTTTTCCCAGTGGTCACATACGGTTGTGAGAGCTGGACTGTTAAAGAAGGCAGAACGTCAGAGAATTCATGCGTTTGAACTGTGGTGCTGGAGAAGACTTCTGAAAGTCCCTTGGACAGCAAGGAGATCAAACCAGTTAATTTTAATGGAGATCCACCCTGAATTGGAAGAACTTATGCTCACACTGAAGCTCCAGTATTTTGGTCATCTGATATGCACAGACGACTCATTGGAGAAGTCCCTGATGCTGGGAAAGATTGAAGGTAGAAGGAGAAGAGGGTGTCAGAGGATGAAATGGCTGGACAGAATCACTAAAGCAATGAACATGAACCTAGGTAAACTCAGAGAGATACTGAGGGACTGAACAACAACAAATGAGACGTAGGTTCTTTTTCCTTATTTTATAGGGCATCAGAGATTAAGTAACTTGCCTGAACAAGGAAGCGCTGCTTTCTCACTAGAGAAAGAAAACCAAAGCTTTAAATGTTATTGTTATTGTTCAGTCACCCAGGTGTGTCCGACTCTTTGTGACCCCATGGACTGCACCACACCAGGACTACCTGTCCTTCACCATTTCCTGGAGCTTGCTCAAACTCATGACCATTAAGTTGGTGATGTTATCCAACCGTCTCATCTCTGTCATCTCCTCCTCCTGCCTTCAGTCTTTCCTGGCATCAGGGTCTTTTCTTAAAGGTAGCTCTTCTGATCAGGTGGCCAAAGTATTGAAGCTTCAGCTTCAGTCCTTCCAATGAATATTCAGGACTGATTTCCTTTAGGATCAAATGGTTTGATCTCCTTGCAGTCCAAGGGACTCTCAAGAGTCTTCTCTAACACCACAGTTCAAAAGCATCAATTCTTCGACACTCAGCCTTATTTATGGTCCAACTCTCATATCCATACATGACTACTAGAAAAATCATAGCTTTGACTAGAAGGACCTTTGTCAGTAAAGTAATATCTCTGCTTTTTAATATGCTATCTAGGTTTGTCATAGCTTTTCTTCCAAGGAGCAGGTCTCTCTTAATTTCATGACTGCAGTCACCATCTGCAGTGATTTTGGAACCCGAGAAAATAAGGTCTGTCACTGTTTCCCCACCTATTTGCAATGAAGTGATGGGACCAGATGCCATCATCTTTATTTTTTGAATGTTGAATTTTCAAACCTTGATGGCATCATCCTTTAGAGATTTGAATGGTTCTGCTGGAATTTCATTAACAGCAGCTTTATTATCAGCAGTGCTTCTTAAGGCCGACTTGACTTTGCACTCCAGAATGTATGGCTCTGGATGACTAACCACACCATCATAGTAATCTGGTTCATTAAGATCTTTTTTATACAGTTATTCCCTGTATTTGTTCCATCTTTTCTTGATCTCTTCAGCATCTACTAGGTCTCTACCATTTTTATCCTTTATTGTGCCCATTTTTGGGCGGAATATTCCCTTGATGTTTCCAGTTTTCCTGAAGAGATCGCTGGTCTTTCCTCTTTTTTGTTTTCTTCTATTATTAAACACTGTTCATTGAAGAAAGCTTTCTTGACTGGTATAGCTGTATTTTGGAACTCTGCTTTAATCAGATGTACCTTTCCATCTCTCCCTTGCTTTTCACTTCTCTTCGTTCTTCCGCTATTTGTAAAGCCCCCTCAGATAACCACTTTGCCTTCTTGCTTTTCTTTTTCTTTGCAATGATTTTGTCACCTCCTGTACTGTGTTATGGCCTCTGTCCCTAGTTCTTTAGGCACACTGTTAACTTGATCTACCCTTGAATCTGTTCATTACCTCTATTGTGAATTCATATAGTATTTGATTTAAATCTTACCTGGTTGTCCTATTGTTTTTCCAGGTTTTTTTTTTTCTTTTTTTAGTTTAAGCCTGAATTTTGCTATGAGAGGTTGATGATCTGAGCCACAGTCAGCTGCTGGTCTTGTTTCTGCTGACTGTATACAGCTTCTCCATCTTTGACTATAAAGAATGTAATCAATTTGATTTTGGTATTGACCATTTGGTGATGTCCATGTGTAAAGTCGTCTCTTATATTGTTGAAAAAGGTTATTTGCTATGACTAGTGCATTCTCTTTAAATATTAGTGATGTGAAATGTAGAAGCCCTTCAGCTAGGTCGTTTGGGGGCTTTTGTCACGGCAACCTCATGTGCACACCAGGTCTGGGTGGCCCATCCTCCAGCGACAAACGAGTCTCCCTGTGGGCACTCCCATGAGTGAACAGATTCAGTTGCCCTGCGACAATTCATATTAGATTTCGTAAACAAGAAAATTATTTGCAACCCTGGGAATAACTTGTCAGTTTTCAGTGCCTTTTAGATTTTGGAATCGTGAGTGGAGCATTGTGATTGTGGACCTGTGGTGAATGTAAAAATTGTGCGTGTTTATTTCTTTCTCTTTCCTTGATGGCCTGAAGACATTAACTTTTCATGCCAGAATATATTAAACATGGTAACTTTGTGCTCCTGTTGTGAACAATAGGGCCAAGTGTTGTACTTTGGACCAGGAATCTGAACTAAGTTTCTGTTTACTGATGGCAGCTCACTTTGTAAGGTGGTCTGATCATTGGGCTGTGGCCACACTCATACCATAATGTCATTTTTAGGTAATTTATCATCTCAAGTTCCCCTGAAGAGACTTGTGAAAACCTGGACAAATCGATACCCCGATGCTAAAATGGACCCGATGAACGTCTGGGATGACATCATCACGAATCGGTGAGATGTGATCCCCCCAAGTTGATGTGGTCTCTTTTCTGAAGTTTCCAGAATCATTTTTCTCCCAAACTGTGTTTGAGCGGTGTGGGGTCTGAGCCCTGTGCGCGCCTGTTTCCACTGAGGTTGTCCCATCAGCAGTCTCCCTGCCTGTGTGCGGTCATGTTCCGTCTGTCCTGTGCTGGGCGGTGAGCTGTGGATGTGCTGAGAGAAGGCGGGGCGGCCCCTCTGCTCCTGTCTCAGGGCTGCCTGATGGGGAGCGACACCCCGACTTCTCAGCCCTGTTATGCACCATATGCCTCACTTCACCGGGTCTGAGGCTCTGCCTCCCTTGTAACAGCCCTGGGTGGTCCACAGGCAGATACTCGCCACACATACGGGTGGGAGGAGCAGGGCCAGAAAGGCTGTGAGTTGTTTTATGCTGAAACACACAGTCGGGGGACCGAAGGAGTGACCCCCACAGGTCCTCTTCCTGCCATTGGACCCTGTTTCCTCTGGTACTACAGCTTTTCAAAGATTCACTTTTAATACTTTTTATTTTTCAAACTTTTTAATGTTTTATTTTGAGACAGTTCTTTTCTGTAAAAAAAATAACAAGAAAAGTGGCACTCTTCTGTGTGCCTTTTTCTCAGATTCATGGTTTTTTAAGCATTTTTAATAAATTGCTGTATTGGCCTTTTTTTTTTTTCTTTCCACATACATATACTTATTTTTTGAACCATTTGAGGATAAGCTGCACACATCTATCTTTACCTCTTTGTTTATCAGTGTACCTTTCCTAAGAAAAAGAGTATTTTCTTAGAACCATGGTACAATAGTAACTTCTGTTTTCACTTTAATGTACAGCCTCAATTTCAGTTTTGTCATTTCTCCCTTTAATGTCCTGTAAAGCATTCCAGCCTTTAATACAGCATGCAGCAGAATCGTATATGCATTTATTTAGCTGATATGTCTTCTTGGTCTCCTTGAACCTGGGACAGTTCTCAGCCATCTTTCAGGACACTGATGCTCTGGAGGTGTTTTCCATAGTTTGGGTTTAGCTGTATGTCATCACTACTGTCTTCAGGTGAAATGCCCCTGGTGGGAATGCCACTGAAGCAGAGTGTACGTCCTATGGCATCCCTCCTAGAAGCACAGAGTGTCCCCTGCATTTCCTTTTCTGGGGGCAGTGGTGTTGGCTGTCTGGTTAAAGCAGTGTCCAGCCTTTCCGGGTATCAGGCCTGTTTTCTCCTCTGCACCTAACGGATGACAGGGGAGGTGCTCTGCAACACGCCAGTCCTGCTGGATGAGGCCACCTCCTCCACGCTATGTCTGGATGAGGCCGCCTTCTCCTCACTGGGTCTTAATGACTCTGGACAAAGCAGCCTTGCCAGTGCTGTCTGGTGACCATCTTCTCCCACCGCCAATGTGCCCATGTTTGTCTGCATCTCGAAGGAAGCCCTCCTTCTCCCCCATCTTTTACTTAAATTCATTTACTTAAATTTTAATTATTAGTATATAATCATGGAATCAAATTTTAGTTATGGAATATAATCCATTACTGTTCTTATTTATTTCATGTTCAGAATGTCTCAGGTTTGGTTAGTGGGAGACCTTTCGATCTGGTATTCCAGGCTCATCTTGCAAAATTAATCACCTGTATTTTCTTCTAGAAATGTTATGGTTCCATTTTTTATGTCTTGGCCTGTGATCCAGCAGAGAATGATCCTGTAGATGATGTGAGGCAGGGGTACAAGTGTACTTTTTTCATGTGGATATCTGGTTGTGTAATCCCATTTGTTCAAAAGTCTTAACTTTTTTTTCTTTGAATTGCCTTGATACCTTTTTTGAGAATCAGTGGCCATTATATCTGTGGGTCTTTTTTTGAATTCTGTGTTCTGTTTCTTGATTTTTATGCTTATCTTTTCACAATATCAAACTGTATTCATTACTGATGCTTTATAGTAAGTCTTGAATCAGATAGGGTGAGTCCTCCAACTTTGTTTTCCTTAATGAAAGTTGCTTTGTTTCTGTTAGGATACTTATATTTATATATGCATTTTAGAATCTGTTTACCAATTTCTACCAAAAAAAAAAAAAAAGGAAAAGAAAAACAGAGCTTGGTTGGACTTTTGTTGACTACAGATCAGTTTTGGGAATTGCTGTCTTAACAGTGTAGAGTTCTCTAGTTCAGGAATGTGATATGTCTCTCTGTTTACTTGGGTCTTCTTTAATTTCAAAGATTTGTATTTTTTCAGTATGGAAATCTTAGATGTCTTTTGTTAGATTTGTTTCTAAGTATGTGTTGTTTTTTCAGCACTGTTGTAAATGGATTTTTTTTTTTATTGTATTGGTATTTTCCAGTTATTTGCTGCTCATATACTGATTTTCTGAAAGTTTTTTTTTTTTTTTATCATGAAGAGATGTTGAATTTTGTCAAAGGCCTTTTCTTTGCATCTATTTTCTTTGCCTCTATTTAATTGATCGTGTTTTTCTCTTTTTTTCATGTATGTGTCTGTTAGGTCCGTTTTGTCTTTAGTACTGTTGAACTATGCTATTTCTTTATTGATTTTCTGTCAAGATGATCTATCCATTGTTGGTGGTAGAGTATTAAAGTTAGTTGGATTGCTGTTTATTTCTCCTTTTAGTTCTATTTCTGTTTGCTCTATAGGTTTAAGTGTTTCCATGTTGGGTGCATAAATATTTGTAATCATTGTATTTTCTTGCAGATTGGCGGTTGGCCCCTTTATCCTCATGTAATGACCTTGCTTGTATCTTCTTTTTACTGTTGTTAGCTTAGACTCTGTTTGCTCTGATAGCATAGAGCTAGTCCTGCTCTTTGGGGTTACCAGTTACTTGAAATATCTTTCTCTCCCTTTACTCTGTCAGTGTGTCTCAGAGCAAAGGTGAGTCTGGAGTAGACATCATATCATTGGATCTTTTTTGTCTTCTGACTGTGTCATGTGGCTTGTGGTATCCTAGTTCCCTGTCTAGAGATGGACCTCGGGCCAGGACAGTGCAGGTGCCGAGTTCTAATCACTAGACCTCGAGGGAATTCCCTGGATCTTGTTTTTATCCATTCAGACATTCTGTGTCTTTTGCTTGAAGAATCTAACCTGTTTACATTTGAAACAGTTATTGATAGGTAAGGACTTACTGTTCCCATTTTGTTAATTGCTCTCTGACAGTTTTGCGGGTTCATCACCCCTTTTTGCTTTCCCTGTTCTTTCTTGTGTGATTTGATGACTTTTTGTCTACTGTGTTTTGACTTCTTTATCACATCTTTTGTGTGGCTACTGCAGGCTTTCCTTTGTGTTTAGCATACGGCTTACATAAACCATCTTGTAAAAGGGTTCTCTGTGCTGCCTGGATTCTCTGATCAGGCTTCCTGGGTGGTCGGAACAGGGTCCTGTGCTTAGCAATAAGGTGGGGTACTGTTGAGGGGTGGGGAAACAGCAAGACTGGCCCAAAGGCCAGCACAGCTCATCACTTGGGGCCCCAGATCAGGTGGGACTGCACGCCAATTCCCTGGCCAGACAGGGCCACCAGTCGACTCTGAAGACGAGACAGGAGAGACACTGGCCGAGCTGGCTGCTGCAGCACTGTGGGTGGGCACCACAGCCCACATGTTCTGGTGAGGCTCCCTGCATGGCTGAGCTGCAGGCTCTTCCACAGGGCAGTTTCCCGGCCCATGCGGGGACACCACGTAGGCCTCTCAGCTGGCAGGCCTCTTGTTTGGGAACCAGATGCAGCAGAACCATGAGCCAAGCTACATGGCTCTGTGGCCCAGCCACTGTCCTGGCTCTCTCCACAGGCAGGGCCTCCCGCTGGGCCGTCCTGTGCTGCTGTGAGCAGGGTCACAGGGTGGGCTGTGCAGGTCCCCAAGCTCCATTGAGAGTGGCTGGGGCTGTGAATTAGCTTCTCTGTCCAAGCAGAGGACAGAACATGCTCCAGGACTGGTGACACTTGTTGTTTGGGTCCTGAATCAGGCAAACCTGCACTCTGCCCACCTGCCTGGTCAGACTGGGCCAGCATCTCAGCTCAGATGTACGAAGCCGCTGGTTAGGATTTCTGTTCAGTCACCACTGGGAGCAGGGCCCTGCCTTCCCAGATCCATTGCTGGTTGCTGTAATCCCCCAGCTTTTCTGTTATAGTCTGAGCCTGAGACCCCTAGGAGGTGAGACCCACAGCCCTGGGAGAGGGCATCCCCCCAGTCTCTGGGGTACAGGGCTATTTACAACTCACCATTGTGTTGGGGGATTTTCCCAGAGGTGTCTTGTCTGTGAACGTTGTTGGTTGTTGGTGTTGGTTGGTGTTCCTGTGAGGGGACCAAGGTCAAGAATAACCCGTGTCACCATCTGGATAATGTTGCTCATCTTTTTTGCTGTGTTTGTGGTGTAATACATTGCTTTTGATTCTGAAGTAGATGTTGCATTTGAAGGTAAACCTGTGTGGTTATGGTGACCTCTTTTCCAATGTCTTTTCCATATTCTTGGTTTGCTAACATTTTGTTAAGAATTTTTTTTGTCTGTATTTTAGTGGGAACTGGTCTGTGATGTCTCCCTTTTTTGTAATGTCTTTGTTAGGTTTTGATGTTAGGGTTATGCAGGCCTCATAAAATGAGTTAGAACATGTATCCTTCTCTCTTTTTTAAAAAGTTTGTGTAAGATACTTCTTATTTCTTAAATATTTGATACAGTTCATCAGTGAAACTATATATACCTGGAGGTTTTGTGTGGGGCAGATTTTTGATAATATATGTAATTACTTAAGTAGACATACGGCTGGGACCTCCCTGGGGGTCCAGCAGCGAGGGCTCCGTGCTCCCAGTGCAGGGGCCCAGGTTCACTCCCTATTGGGTAGCTAGGTACCACATGGTGCAGCTAAGACCCAGTACAGCCAAATAAATAAAACGGGTGGAAAAACCTTTCTGAAAAAAGACATATAGGACTATTTAAATTTTCTCTTTCTTTCCATATCAATTTTATTAAATTGTATTTTTCCATTTCATGTCAAATTGTTGGCATAAAGTTGCTCATATTATACTCTAATGTTACTATTTGTGGTGTCTGTAGTGGGAGATCCTTATTCAGTCCTGATATTGATGATTTGTGTTTCCTTTTTTTTCTTCATCAGTTTGTCAATTTTAGATGTCTATCAATTTTGCTGATTTTCTCAAAGGATCTGCTTTGCTGGTTTTATCATCGATCTGTTTTCTATTTAATTTATTTCTGGTTTCATCTTAGTATTTTCTTTCTGCATATTTTAGACTTAGCTTTTCCTTTTTCAGTTTCTTAAGGTATAAACTTTGATCATTGATTTTATGCTTTTTTGTTCAGTACATTTAAAGTTATAATGTTCCTCTAAGCACTGCTTCAGCTGCACATTGCAGATTTTAGTACGTTGCATTTATATTTTTATATTTTACATTATCTTGTGGTTCAAAATATTTTCTCATTCTTCTGTGATTTCTTTTTGACCCATAAAATAGTTATAAGTGAGTTTCTGTGTCTTACTGATTTCTGAATTAATTCCTTATGGTTATAAACATAATGTATGGTTTCAGTCTCTTTAAATTTATCAAGACTTGATCTATGGCCAAGCATGTGGTCTATTTTAGTAAATATACCATGTGTACTTGAAAACCCAGTATATTCTGCAGTTCTTGGACATAATGTGTATAATTTTCAATTAGATCAAGGTGGTTAATTGTGTTTTTCATATCTTCCATGTCTTTAGTGGGTTTTTTGTGTGTCAGTGTTACTGAAAATTAAAACACTGAAATACAGTCATAGGAACCAAATCAGATGGCCATATATGGAACACAGCCAGTGTTCTCAGTGGTTATAATCTGCCTACCACTTGATACTGTCTGACTTTGGGAGGAAGACCTTAGATTTGGAGACAGAAGAGAAAAATGGTTTCGACCCAACACCAGATGTGCTGTCCCTTCATTAAGAAGGCAGGTTGTGAGTGTAAATATTGTACTTTGTGGAGGTGGAGGCAATAGATGATATCTGGAAAGTTAAAATATCTAAAGTGATCTTCAGAGGATCCTCAGAGTTGGTTAATAAAAATGGAGATTAAGTCCAGTACTGAGAGTGTAACACTAACAGTCTAAAAAATGAGCAAAATTTCAGTAAGTGTAGAATATCTGTCTGAATGCTATCCAGTAGCTTCCTGTATGTCAGAGATTTCTTTCACAAGTCCGGCATTAACTCTTTTCTTTGTTTCATGTAGATGTTTCTTTCTCAGCAAAATAGAGGAGAAGCTCAGTCTCCTTCAAGACAGTGAAGGTGCAAGTGAGGACGGGGCCGAGATGGATGCACAGACTCAGGAAGAGGACGCACGGGCCCTGATCACGAGCTGCAGCTTCTCCATGAGGATGCAGATGGCTGAGAGTGCGAGGAAGCAGGTGGGCGCCAGGGCCACAGACTCTGAACTGGCGGTCTCTAAGTCGAGCTTCTCTTAAAAAACTGATGCTTAGAGGTGATGGAGTTGTTAGTATTTCTTTTCTTTATAAGAAAGTAACCTTGAAGAAAAATTAAAGTTTCCCAGAAAGCCTTTAAAGTTTATTATTCACTTGTCAGCCATTTCAAAATGTTTATTTTCTGTTACTTATAAAAAAAATAGACCTAATATCAGGTTTTCTCTTGTTTAACAAAATGAATGCTTGCCAATTTGTTACAAATTGTATTTAGGTTTCAAATTGTATTTTGTGAAAAATCTATCATTTGATAATAAGATCCTTAATCTATACAAAGTGTGCTTTGTTTAAAAGTGGCATATTAACATTTTAAGTATCAAATTTTTCATATAACCATATTTAAATGTACTAGGGGAGCTTTCTGTCTTAATGACCCTATGTAGATTACTGTTATAAAGCAAAGAATATTATGCCAGTAGAGATGATTAGTATTTCTGTTTTGTGGGTTTTAATACTCATATATAATGTTTTTCTTTGAGATAGGTATTGTATCAGGAATTTTTATATTTTCAATAACAAAAAGCCCAGCCTGGAGCAGCCTAAGTGAATAAAGGAGCTGTATCAGTCCCTAAATTATACTCTAGAGGAGCAGGCTTTCAGATGCTCTCGAATCCCTCACCGAGGAGGGTCTGTCTCCTGTCCCAGTCTCCCCCGCCACACACACACACACGAATCTTGTTCTTCGTGACTCTGGTAACTCCAGGCTTCCCTTGTAGTTGGAAATGCTCTTGATGTTTCGTGTCTTGCTTTCCCACTGCATCTTTCTGGAATCAGGTAGTCTCTCCCTATTTCCTGCAGAAAAGAAAGATTCTTCTTTTCCAGAAGGCCCTGGCCATTTCTTCTTCTGTCTTCTTAGCTCTGGGTGCAGCAGTAGTGGCTGTGGTCCAGGGCATGTAGCTGAGGGGGTGCATGTGGCTTCTCAGCAGGAAGTGGGGCACAGTGGGTATTTTCTACTGCTGGGGGGGGCATGAGGTAGGAGGGAAGGAAGGCTCCATGGAGGGGAGGCACTTGGGAGAGAAAGGTGCTGAGATACATTTTTAAATAAAATCCCAAAGGTGAGAAACTGGGAACTGCAGAGTCTGCTGTGAGGGGAAGGCTATTTAGTGATGCTGATTTGAGGTGGATCGTGAAGCTTGTGGCCCAGAATCAGGGACTGGAGACTCCAGGAGGTCCTGGAAGGTCTTGTACATGCTCGTGGGAATGAAAACTGTGTGAAACAGGACCAGAGACGGCAGGAGTGACGAGAGCAACCTGGACTTCTGGTCCGAGTGATTGGTAGGGTTGTAACACAGTCCAATGTCAGTATCTTTGAAGCTTAGCAGAGAATTAGATTTAAGAGATGTCCATAAAACAACCAAATAAAAAGTAGAGAAATTGTATATTAAAACTAAAAACTTCCGTGCCTCAAGTGACACACTAAAGGAAGTGAGGAGACAACCCATATAATGGGAGAAAATATTTGGAAATTGTGTACCTGACAAGCGTCCCCTTATCCAGAATATATAAATAACTCTTTACGACTGAATAACAGGAAGTCAAACAATCCAGTGACAGAACGGGCAAAGGATCTGAATGGATGCTTCTCCCAGGAAGACACTCAAGTAGCTAGTGCACACGTGAAGAACACAGCACCACAAGTCTTGGGGGGGGAGGCAGGTCAGACCACAGCAAGGGTCCACCCGCCACCACCCTCAGGACGGCTGGAATAGAGGTGTGCTGTGCAGTCACTGGCCTGGCAGCTCCTGCAAACGCTAAGGGTCACCATGTCACTGTAGTTCCCCTCCTCCAAACATACCCATGAGAAAGCAGAGCTTAGGTCCAAACGGAAATTTTGTATCCAGGGGCTTTCAGTTCAGTTGCTCAGTCATGTCCAGCTCTTTGTGACCCCATGAACTGCAGCACACCAGGCTTCCCTGTCCATCACCCACTCCCAGAGCTTACTCAGATTTATGTGCATCAAGTTGGTGATGTCATCCAACCATCTCATCCTCTGTTGTCCTCTTCTCCTCCTGCCTTCAATCTTTCCCAGCATCAAGGTCTTTACAAATGAGTCAGTTCTTCACAAAAGGTGGCCAAAGTATTGGAGCTTCAGCCTCAGTCCTTCCAGTGAATATTCAGTACTGATTTCCTTTAGGATGGACTGGTTGGATCTCCTGCAGTCCAAGGGACTCTCAAGAGTCTTCTCCAACACCACAGTTCAAAAGCATCAATTCTTTGGCGCTCAACTTTCTTTATAGTCCGACTCTCACATCCACACATGACTACTGGAAAAACCATAGCTTTGACTAGACGGACCTTTGTTGGCAAAGTAATGTCTCTGCTTTTTAATATGCTGTCTAGGTGAGTGACTTCACTTTCAGTTTTCACTTTCATGCATTGGAGAAGGAAATGGCAGCCCACTCCAGTGTTCTTGCCTGGAGAATCCCAGGGATGGGGAAGCCTGGTGGGCTGCCATCTATGGGGTCGCACAGAGTCAGTCACTGAAGTGACTTAGCAGCAGCAGCAGCAGATTGGTTATAGTTTTTCTTCCAAAGAGCAAGCATCTTTTAATTTCATGGTTGCAGTTACCATCTGCAGTGATTTCGGAGCCCCCAAAAATAAAGTCTGTCACTGTTTCCATTGTTTTCCCATCTATTTGCATGAAGTGATGGGACCAGATGCCATGATCTTAGTTTTCTGAATGTTGAGTTTTAAACTAAGTTTTTCATTCTCCTCTTTCACTTTCATCAAGAGGCTCTTTGGTTCTTCTTTGCTTTCTGCCATAAGGGTGGTGTCATCTGCATATCTGAGGTTATTGATATTTCGCCTGGCAATCTTGATTCCAGCTTGTACTTCATCCAGCCTGACATTTTGCATGATGTACTCTGCATATAAGTTAAATAAGCAGGGTGACAATATACAGCCTTGACATACTCCTTTCCCGATTTGGAACCAGTCTGTAGTTCCATGTCCAGTTCTAACTGTTGCTTCATGACCTGCATACAGATTTCTCAGGAGACAGGTCAGGTGTCTGGTATTCCCATCTTTTTAAGAATTTTCCGCAATTTGTTGTGATCCACACAGTCAAAGGCTTTGGCATAGTCAATAAAGCAGAAGCAGATGTTTTTCTGGACCTCTCTTGCTTTTTCAATGACCCAACAGATGTTGGCAATTTGATCTCTGGTTCCTCTGCCTTTTCTAAATCCAGCTTGAACATCTGGAAATTCTCAGTTCATATACTGTTGAAGCCTCGCTTGGAGAATTTTGAGCATTACTTTACTAGCATGTCAGATGAGTGCAATTGTGTGGTAGTTTGAACATTCTTTGGCATTGCCTTTCTTTGGGATTGGAATGAAAACTGACCTTTTCCAGTCCTGTGGCCACTGCTGAGTTTTCCAAATTTGCTGGCATATTGAGTGTAGCACTTTCACAGCATCATCTTTTAGGAATTGAAATAGCTCAACTGGAATTCCATCGCCTCCACTAACTTTATTCGTAGTGATGCTTCCTAAGGCCCACTTGGCTTCGCATTCTAGGATGTCTGGCTCTAGGTGAGTGATCACACTATCGTGATTATCTGGGTCATGAAGATTTTTTTTTGTGCAGTTCTTCTGTGTATTCTTGCCACCTCTTCTTAATATCTTCTGTTTCTGTTAGGTCCATACCATTTCTGTCCTTTATTGAGCCCATTTTTGCATGACATGTTCCCTTGGTATCTCTAATTTTCTTAAAGAGATCTTTAGTCTTTTCCGTTCTATTGTTATCCTCTATTTCTTTGTGTTGATCACTGAGGAAGGCTTTCTTGTTCTCCTAGCTATGCTTTCAAATGGGTATATCTTTCATTTTCTCCTTTGCCTTTAGCTTCTCCAGGGCCTTTATTTGCATTCAAATTAGCAAAGAACATTATTTGAAATAGCCGAAACGTAACTGGAACGTGTGTCAGGAGGAGGTGGATGATAAACTTTGGTTCACCCTGCAGGAGAGCATTGCTCAGCTGTATGGAAGGGTGGGGTTCTGACTCAAGTCCAAGGTCATCTGCTGACTCGATGATACCAAGGGTCCGGCACAGGCAGATCCAGGGGCAGAAGGCCATGGTTGTGTGGCTGGGGAGGGGAAACCCCAGTGGATAGGGGTCTCGTGGTTGAGGAATGTGTTGTGAACTTGGTGGCAGTGACACTCTCCCAGCCTCCCTGGAGTGCATGTTGTGGCTGCGACTGTCCCTGTGGTAAACACAGGGACACCCCATGGTTTCAGCTGAGGTGACGGGTCCCTGCTCCCTGCTGGATTGTGTGCTGTGGGCCCTGTTTCATCTCTCTGCTTCCTCTCTCTCTCCTGCAGAACAATTTCTCACTCGCCTTGAAGTTGCTGAAGGAGCTGCACAGAGAGTCGAAAGCCCGGGAGGACTGGCTGGTGACGTGGGTGCAGGCCTACTGCCGGCTCAGCCATAGCCGGGCGCGGGCCCAGTGCCGGCCCGAGCAGCTACGCACGGCTCTCAAGACCGCGTCCCTGCTGGGTACGAGCTGCTTTCCGTGCGGCCCACACGGTGGAGCCTGTCTTCTCACCTCTTCTGTGTGCTGCTCTATCTGACATTTGGGAACTCAATTTTATAAACATGTTTTAAAAGATAATTTTATTTATTTTTGGCTGTGCTGGGTCTTCATTACCACATGAGCTTTTTTCTAGTTGCCGAGGATGGGCTTTGGAGCCCTCGGGCTTCAGTCATTGCAACACTGTGGGCTCCCTGTCTCTGGAGCACACATTCAGTAGTTGTGGCCGTGGGTAAGCTTAGCTTCTTCTTGGCATGTGGAATCTTCTTGGCTCAGGGATGGGACCTGTGTCTCCTACATTGGCAGGCAAATCCTTTACCACTGAGCCACCAGGGAAGCCCTGTAAAATTTTTATTAAATGTTTATTAAGTATTTGGAGCCAGGGTACTTTGTATCCTAATAATACTATTAAATATGACTTTTGGAGCTTTTATTTCTTTAAAGTTGAAGTTTAAAATGTTCTTTTTTAACACTTAGCTAAATTTTGGGTGTAATAGTTTAATTATGACTATATTCTTTTTAATTTGTGTTTTTACTCACTTCTAAAAAAATTGTATGTGTGTGTGTGTGTGTGATCCAATAGCTGAGAACACATCGAGCACAAGCGCCCTGGCTTCCCGTGACCATCATGTCCTGCTGGGCACGACCTACCGGATCCTGGCCGACGCGCTCTGTGACGAGCCCACCTGCCTTGCTGGGATCGGGGAGAGCAAGGCCAGGAGTGTCGTGGAGCTGTCTGGGTCCAGCTCAGAGGATGTGGACAAGGTAGTGACCCTGGGGACCTGAGCTACTTGCATTGTGTGTTTGTCCTGACCATGACAGTTCTCCATGAGAGCAGCATCAGGTCTTGCTGTGTGCCTTTAACGTGTAGCTTGCAGTTATATGCAGCTGAGTTTGCCACTGGGCTAGTGACACCTTCCGTGTGCTTCCTGTTCATTCGGATAATACCTTTCCTTTAGTGTCAAAAATGAGGAGTCTGTGTTGATCCCTGTGGACAGTTTTTCCATGCACTTTGTTGTAATCTTGCCATCTGTCATCATCCAGACGCCCCACTAGCTTGTGGGGAAAACCAGCTTTTCTGCTTTTTTGTGTAGCGGCTGCTCTGTTGGCTTTTCTCAGATGATTCTATATTATCAGTAATTCCCATGTGCTCCTCATGTCACTTGTGTCCCAGCTCTTCCTCAGTCCCACATTGGGGCCTGGGGATTCCACCTTGTGTTGGTTTTCAGATCCTGAGGTTATGTGAGGCTCGTGTCTCTCTCCCGATGTGGCACTAACAGCTTTGTGTTCACTGGTGGCCCATGGGGCCCAGGTAGGGAGGAGGGTCCTCAGGAAGCTCCGGGCCCACTCACAGCTGTCAGGGTCTCTGAATTCCAGGTCATGGCAGGTTTGTACCAGAGAGCGTTCCACCACCTTTCTGAGGCCGTGCGGGCGGCAGAGGAGGAGGCTGGGCCCTCGGCGCGGGGGCAGGGGCCTACAGCTGGCGTGACCATGGCTTACCTGACACTCGCCGAGTTCTGTGACCAGCAGCTCCGCAGGGAGGAGGAGGGCCCGTCCGGTGAGCCTCACATTGTGTCAGCACACAGTTTGTCTGTTTGAGAGGCAATGACACGGGTGCACCCTGTGGCCTGCCTGTGACGGTGGCAGGCTGTCTCTGTCCCTCCGTCTGCTCACCTGATGTGAGTATGACTGGCTCCTCTTGCCGCCCTCCTGTTGCAGCCCAGGACTCAGACGGCTTCACTCAGGAGCAGGCATCAGCCCCCGAGAGAAGCCCTCACACGCGGCCCCGGACTGGCGGCTCTGCTGCCGTCGTTGCTGCAGAGGGAACATGATGATTACAACATGCAAGCCCCGGGGAGTGAGCATCAGGGTTGGTCACAGTGTCTGTGTGGGGGTGGTGACCGCATCTCCCCTCTTCTGTCCCACTAGTCCTTGGATCCACAGAGCTGCTCACATATCCAGCCCTTGTGGTGGACAAGATGCTGAAGGCCTTGAAGTTTCACTCAAGCGAGGCCCGGCTGAAGTTCCCCCGGCTCCTGCAAATCATCGCACAGTATCCGGAGGAGACGCTGGGCCTGATGACCAGAGAGGTCAGTGTGTTCCTTCCAGCAACTGGAACTTGATGGAACTTATGTCCAGATACGCAACATGTGTGGGGCATGGGTGATGGCTTTTCCTAACCACCGCTTTCTGCTCCATCCCAGAACGTGTGTCAGTGAAACGCTGAGAGTGAGCTCCCTGTCCCCCCTTTCCTCTGGTGGTGTTGCTGTGAAGACTCCATCTGCAGGGGGGCCCGAGGGTCAGAGAAGGGGCGAGGCCAATACACAGCCTCCTCTCCTTTCAGGGCTGAGCCTCGTCTGTAGCATCCGGGGCCTTGTGCTCAGCTCACTGTTTGACAGCACCACATTTTGACAGGGGACGTATTGGGTGCTGGCCCACCACAGCCTGCATCTTGGGGACCCTGAGGGCTCCCACCAAAACCCCACTCCCCTGCTCATGTCCCATGCCGGCCTCTCTGCTGGGGCTGTGCTGGGGCAAAAGGGAGGCAGGGCCCTCAGAGAGGATCCTTAGTGACTTTTATGGAGCTCTAACTGGAAAAACCGGGCCAGGCTTTGAGTTGACATGGTAATAGTTCAGAAAGGGTGACACGCGCTGTTAGCTGGGCACAGCGGGCTTGTAGACGGTGCTCTCACCAAGCTCAGAGTCAGTTCTTTGCGCACTTGGGCGGGTGAGCATTTCAGTAGGTCCAACACAGGAAATTAAGGTCAATTTAGTAGCAACACACAAGCGTTTTTCTTAAAGATAAGTAAAGAAATTTCAATAAGTTATGATTTTATTTTTCCCCAAATCATATTTATATATAATAACATCTTAAGTTGGCACAGAAACAAACGGAGCGGTGGGTCTATATCAAGACCCTTGAGAGGGGCAGCTGGCCTCGTGCTGAGGGTTCTCTAAGCTGCCTGCCCTCCCTCACTTTGCATCAGTGTTCCAGGTGCATCAGATTTTATCCTGAAACAAACAGCTGGAAAAGCATTGGAGGAAAACCTGAGCGAAATATAAAAATGATCTTGGAGTTGAGAGACAAAAACCAGGAGCTATAAAGGAAAATAATTTGACACGTCTATCATTTAAAAAAAATTATCATATACAAAGTTTAAAAGAAAACTGAGACAAAAATATTTGCAACACATACTGGAAATGGAGAGCAGTTATCTCCGATCTCCAAAATAACAGACTAATAGAAAACAGGAGATGCTCGCATGATTAAAGTATGTGAGGCCAAGAAGTGCAGGCTTCTAAAAGGGAAACATGCAAATTACAGTTAGATACTTTTTCATTCCTCAGACTAATACATTTTAAAATTTGATTGTCCTCAGTGTTGGAAAGGATTTTGGAAAAGACTTTTAGAGGTGAAAACTTGAAAAATCTTCTTGGAGGAAAATCAGTGATTTTTACTGTTGTTAATATTAAAAGTAAGAAGGGATTTAGGAATCTCTCCTGCTTTGATGGGCGTATAGCACAGGTACAAAGAGATAAACATGCAGGGATGAGCCCCGTAGTATTGTCTGGAAAGCAAGAACTGCAGGCACCCTAAAAGCTGATCATGGAGCACAAGTGAGATGACATGGGATACAGTGCAGCTGGCAGAAGGAATGACGTAAATCTAAGGAGAATCAGCAACAGCAGTTCTGTCTGCTCCCATTCTTGTAAAGAAAGGGGCTGTTTGAGTGCCCAGAGAAGGCTGTTGGCGGGTCAAAACAAAAAGGGCAGGAGAGGGCCAACCTCTATCGGTGCGTCTGTCTGCTTTTATGCTGACGATCACAAATGTAGCTGTACTTTGATGTTGGACACACAGCCCCTGTGTAGGGAAAGAACATTAAATGTCTCACTCAGCACTGAGTCCCTGCTTTCTGTTGCAGATCTCTTCTGTCCCTTGCTGGGAGTTCATCGGCTGGATCGGCCACATGCTGCCCTTGCTGGACAAGGAGGAGGCGGTTGCCATCCAGCACACCGTGGAGGACATTGCCGACCACTACCCACAGGCCATTGTCTACCCGTTCATGATAAGTAGCGAAAGCTACTGCTTCAAAGACACTTCTGCTGGTCATAAAAACAAGGAGTTTGTGGCCAGGTGACACAGAAAAATTAGGTTGCTCAAACACTGAAAGGTTGTAAAAATGACTGTGGGCCAAGCAGACACACGGATGCTTATGTTTGTCCTCAGATGAGTTAGCGCTGCCCTGGGGCGGGAGGCCTGGGCTTCTACAGGCTGGGTGCATCCACCTGGTGTGTTATTTGCTGTCGAATTTCTTTCCTTTTGTAAGCACAGTTCATCTTACAGTGTTAGTCAGGAGAGGGATGTGCTAAATGCTAGTGATCTCTTGGTTGAGACAGACTCGATGAGATGCATTCTGAAATCAGTCCCTGAAGTTGTTCTGAGATTGAAAGTCTCTGGGAAGCCCCTCTTAATTAGGACTCAGAAAATGGCCCAGGTGTCATCCTTTTGGCTTCTTCAGTTGATTCGGGAGTGAGCACACAGGCAGTGGTGTTTCGCTTTAGAAAGAGGACTTTGGTAGACACCAGTATGGTAGCTGCCCTTCTGTGTCAGGAGCTGATGTGCCTAGTTATTTAGAGTCTTGAGCTTCTGAGTGACAGTGTTGGGGAGCACAGTGCCCCGATGGGCTGGCCATGCACCCACCGCCCTGTGGCACCCACCTCTGTCTCAGCAGAGGCAGCTGTAGCATGATCAGTTCCTTAGAAAGAGAACAGTTGCAAGTTTGTTGAGAAAGGGACCTTTTAACTACAGAAACTGTATGTGTCAGCTTGTGTGCATCAGAATGTCAAGGTTTGCTTTCACCTCATCTTTCTTTTTTTTAATAAGTATCTGTCTTTTTTTTTTTTTAATGTTTATTTACTTATTTGGCTGCACCGAGTCTTAGTTACGGTATGTGGGATCTTTAGTTTTAGTTGCAGCATGTGAGATCATGTTTCCTGACCAGGGATTGAACCCTGGACCCTCACATTGGGAGCACAGCATCTTAGCCTCTTGTACCACCAAGGAATTCCCTGTTTTAATTTTTAAATTGCTCCTTCCCTGGACTAGGTAGCTGATTATATATTTTCTTATATATAAATATAGTTATATACATATAAAAATTGTTGGCCAAGATGTTTGAGCACCTAAACTTTAATTTTTGTTACAGGATTAAAGCTAAGCTGGATCGAGAAGGCGTGGTTCAGGATTTCATTAATGCCCTGGAGCAGCTCTCCAACCCTGAGATGCTTTTTAAGGTGAGGTGACAGCTCCTGGCGTAACACACGGAACTCAGTGAGACTTGCCTGTGGTCCCGCTTGACATGTCTTTTTCTGCACAGGACTGGATGGAGGACGTCAAGGTTGAACTAGGGAAAACACCTGTGGATAAAAAGAACATTAAGAGAATGTATGAGAGGATGCACGCAGCCCTGGGAGACCCACAGGCTCCTGGCCTTGGGAGTTTTCGAAGGAGGTTTATCCAGGTACATGGATGGCAGGCTCCTCTAGATTACAGACTCCTGTGGAGACCAGGGCTTATACTTGCTGGTTCATTGATAATTCTGGTTTTAAAATGTCTGTTGAACTTGTAAACTTTCGTTAGATCTGTGACTTTCTGCTAGATGTTGATGGCATGTTTTTAGGTCTGTTAGTGGCACATTTATAGTGTTCTTCGTGGCTAGATTCTTAGATGTAAAGGTTAAGTGTGATTTAGTATTCTTGGTTCTCAGAGTGACCCTGCATACCACACACGCCTGTACCATTGCTACTCGGAATCCCAGATGGCAGGTGGACGAACCGCAAGGCTAGCAGGGTTCAGCAGAATTTGGGTGTGAGGTCAGGCAGGGGCTTGCTCAGGGTCGACCAGAGAGGGCAGCAGAGAGGGTGCTACAAGCGGTCACAGAGCAGCCTTCCAAGGAGAGGAGGGACCTGCCCACTCCTCCTGTGGAGGGTTCCTGTGGGGTCACACCCGGGTCATGCGCGCTGTCACTCTGCACATTGGGTGTCCTTTTTCTCCTGCTGAGCCCGTCAGCTCTGACTGGGTCGAGCACAGCCCACTGCCCACCTGGGCGGAGCCTGTACGGAAAGAAACCTCACTGCAGCTCCAGCTGTGGCTTGTCCTGAGGTTGGTTTCTGTTACCTGGGACCATACATCTAGAACTTTCTACTTCATCACAAATCAACACATAATTTGCATCAATTAAAAGGTTAATCCACCAAAACAGGGTTGAAACATTCAAGGAAACTATTGATTAAAAGCACAGAAAAAAGCAATGTAATTGAGTACCTATTTATTTTAAAGATTTATAAACCTAGAACCTTTCCAGGAGTTCAACTTCACATTAATATTAAAGATAAATTAGATGGACATGTATATACAACTGTGTGTACTATAGGTAACTGACAAGAACCAACTGTATTGCACAGGGAACTCTTTCCCAATGCTCTGTGGTGACAGCAGAAATGAACACTGTGAAGCAACTGTACTCCAATTAAAAAAATTTTTTTTTAATTTAAGGTAAGTTTATTATTATTTTCAGGCTTTTGGAAAGGAATTTGATAAGCACTTTGGGAGAGGAGGTTCTAAACTCCCAGACATGAAGCCCCAGGACTTCTGCGCCATCGCTGGCTCGCTACTGGGGAGGATGTCTAGGACTTCAGATGCACCAGGGAACCTGAGGGAATGTTCTCCCTGGATGAGCAACTTCAGGGTGGAATTCCTGAGAGCAGAGCTGGAGGTCCCTGGTGAGTTCACCTGCAGGCGGACAGCACAGCGCTGGGGAGAGTCGTGCCAGAGCAAGAGCCTCTGTTTCTAAGAGGGTGAAATCAGAATCATGACAGTTTTCTTTCTTTTTTTGAAAAAATTTTAAATTCCACATGTTTTTCATCATCAGGAAAATCTGTAGTTTCTTTGATCAGTACACTTAACCACATTACAAGTCCCGTCCCATTCCTGAGGACGAGTGCTCAGCTGGCCCCCTGCTGTTATGGTAGCTAGTAATGTCCTCTGAACCTGCCACACATTGCCCTGCAGAAGTTTTCTTCAGAAATAAAATTCAGGCAACCCCCTGAGATGCTCAGCTGACCCCCTGCTGTCATGGTAGCTAGTAATGTCCTCTGAACCTGCCCAGGCATTGCCCTGCAGAACTTCTCTTCAGAAGTAAAATTCAGGCAACCCCCCGAGTGTGTTTTATTCCAGCCCCTGCAGCAGAGCACATCAAAGCGGTTGACTGCCCAGTGACACATTGTAAGTGCTACGTTTATACCGCACTGTGCAGTGACGTCCTGTCTAAGAAACAGCACATACAAAAGTTAAAACACTGTTTCTGAAAAATGCTGCCTCCTGACAACTCAGGGCCATCACCAAGCCTCCATTTGTAGAAGCGGCAGTGTCTGCAGAGCAGTAAGATGCAGTGTGCCTGCACCTCACTTCTTGGGAGACGCACTGGTCCCACCTGAAGTGAGGCGGTGATGGCACGTGACATGCCTTCAGGAGGGGCTGGTGACACTGTAAGCAGGTGGCAGCATGCTGGCCAGATGTGGGCACTGTGTGATCCTCACATCCCTCCTTCCCCCTGGAATTTGCCAGACAAAAAATGTTTCAGTACAGTGATTTGTATCCTTACTCCAGTGGGGGATAAAAAAGGTTTGGAGAAACATTCTTCTTTGTTATTACTAACATCTGTGCATCCCAGACCGTGAGTTTCAGGAAGAACATTGAGGCATAGCCTCCTGTTATACAACCTGACTGGAAGCGGGGCTGAGGTGGGGATGTGGGGCTCGCCCAAGGCCCTGTCTTCCCATTTGCTTCTGCTCCACAGAATAGGAAGCAACATCCATTAGTCGAACGAGAAATAACAGCATTTAAAAAAAATACACCCACTGAAAATTTTGAGTAAAATGTTGTCTCCTGTTAGACCGAGGGCGGGGGATGAAGGGGGATGTGAAGTGCATGCGCTGTCCCTGCAGCGTCTGAGGTGGCTCTGTGTCCATCCCAGGTCAGTATGATGGCAGAGGCAAACCAATGCCCGAGCACCATGCACGGATCGCAGGCTTCGACGAGCGGGTAGGTGCTGGTTCCACAAGCTCCACGGCCGGGGTCAGCCCCTCAGTTCACTCCCCACGTTGGTCTCAGGCGTGTGGAGTTCCCTGAGAGTTGTGTTACGAGTTTTCTGATGGAATTTACTGACCTTAATATAATGTTTCACTTTCAGTAACAGTCATGTGTAAGGGTTTAGCAGACTTGAGGCATCAACTCTGTGTGTTCCATTATAGACATAACGCAAATGGACATGGCATGTGGTTTGTTCGCGAGCATGCGTGTTTGTCAGTGTAACTCGTAATCAGGGCAACCAGGGGCCCCACAACCTGTCACTCGCCTGCATCCCTCTGGGGTCAAGACCCGGGCCACCTGGTTTCTCAGCTGCACCTGAAGATGCTGTTTGATCTCTAAAGGTGAAAGTGATGGCCTCGATCAGGAAACCCAAGCGCATCGTGATCCGCGGCCACGATGAACGGGAGTATCCCTTCCTGGTGAAGGGCGGTGAGGATCTGCGGCAAGACCACCGTATCCAGCAGCTGCTCCAGGTCATGAACAGCGTCCTGGCCCACGATGCCGCCTGCAGCCAGAGGGGCCTGCAAGTGACCACCTACCACGTGGTGCCCATGACCTCCAGGTGCGGCTGCCCCTCTGCGGGGGTGGGAGGATTCCCCTCTGTGGGCGGGAGCACGGGACAGTTCGGGTTTTAGGTGTCCCAAGACAGAGACCATGTGCTGCTATGAGGCTCCTCCTCATGGAGGAAGCGAGGGCAGAGCTGTTTTATAGAGAAGGCTGGGCAGCAGGGGTTCATGACTGTCCCTTCCTTTCAGGCTGGGGCTAATCGAATGGATTGAAAACACCTGCACATTGAAGGACCTTCTTCTGAGCAGCATGTCACAGGAGGAGAAGAAAGCCTACACCAGGTGACCTGAGGCCCAAGGGCCCATCTCCCACTCCACCTGGCCACCCCAGCCCACTGCCCCCCTCCCTGGGTGGGACTCTTCCACCCCCTGCCTGCATGGACGTTTTCAGGCCCTTTTCATTGCTGCCCTGCCCAGCCTGTGTTTCAGTCTGCCTCTAGGTAGGTGAAAATGACCTGGAGTCAAGGTTTCTAAGTAATTATTCAGTCTCTTAGTCAAGTCCAGTTGTTCAGTCATATCCAACTATTTGCAACCCCATGGACTGCAGCACTCCGGGCTTCCTTGTCCATCACTATCTCCTGGAGTTTGCTCAAACTCATGTCCATTGAGTCAGTGGTACCATCTAACCATCTCATCCTCTGCCTCCCGCTTCTCCTCCTAAGCAATAGCTGCATATATTTTATCACAATTTTTAAAAAAGAATTAACCTTGAACGAAAAGAAAAATGATTGAAGAAATTAAAGCAAATAATAAGATTTCAGCTAACATTTAGTTATATGTTTTCTATGGCACCATTCTCAGTTTTTAATGTGTATGAAGTTTATTTTTTACCAAAACTTACATGGTGAGTACTGCTCTCCCCTCTGTGCGGACAAAGCAGCTGAGGCTGGAGAGGTGAGGTGTCCCTGGTGTGTAAGGGGTGCAGGTCAGGGACTGTTGGGCACAGGTGGGTGACTGGTGGGTGTAGGTTAGTGCATAGTGCATGTGAGTGACTCATGGGTGTAGGTCAGTGGAGGGTGTAGGTTAGTGTATGTGAGTGGCTGGTGGGTGTAGGTGGGTGACCAGTGGGTGTAGGTCAGTGCAGGAGGATGTAGGTTAGTGTACGTGAGTGGCTGGTGGGTGTAGGTTAGTGCAGGAGAGTGTAGGTTAGTGTATGTGAGTGACTCATGGGTGTAGGTCAGTGCAGGAGAGTGTAGGTTAATGTATGTGAGTGGCTGGTGGGTGTAGGTCAGTGCAGGAGAGTGTAGGTTAGTGTATGTGAGTGACTCATGGGTGTAGGTCAGTGCAGGAGGGTGTAGGTTAGTGTATGTGAGTGGCTGGTGGGTGTAGGTGGGTGACCAGTGGGTATAGGTCAGTGCAGGAGGGTGTAGGTTAGTGTATGTGTCTGGTGGGTGTAGGTGGGTGACCGGTGGATGTAGGTCAGTGCAGGAGGGTGACTGGTGGGTGTAGGTTAGTGCACGTGGGTGACTGGTGGGTGTAGGTTACTGTGTGACTGGCTAATGCAGGTGGGTACAGGTAGCGCAGGTAGGGGACTGGTGCTGAGTTCCAGGTCGTGATACAACAATTTTATACTTTCCTTCATCCTTATTTTCCAAGTTTTCTACCATAAATATGTATTTTTGTAATCAGTAAGTTTTTTTTTTAATTGTTCCTTGTTTATGTAAAGAAAGGAAAGAACAGTGTGGCTTACAGCCATTTTGAAGCGGGAATCAGCATGTTTGGGGACCAGCGGGAGGATGGTGGGGAGACGATCATGAAAGGCCTCAGGCCTGTCCCCCTCCTCAGAGCATTTGCGTAGGAGCAGCGCTCTCACTGCGTCTTACTTACCATAGGAGCACTGTTCTTGTCAGCCTCTCATTCCTGGGTAGTAGTTGCTGCATAGTGTTTACCCACTTTAAATTCCAGTCACTGGAGTCCTTTGCCTGAAATGACTCCTGCTGTCCCTGGAGGACTGCGCCCCAGGGCCAGGAATCTGCTCTAGGATCTACTGACACACAGTGAGCCCAGCTGGCCCCACGGCCCCACTGTAAGGTGAGAAAGTGTGAAAAGCACACGGTACACAGATGTCCATGGAGTGTAAAGTGCTTTTCAAATTGGGCTTCCCTTGTGGCTCAGCTGGTAAAGAATCCGCCTGCAATGTGGGAGACCTGGGTTCAATCCCTGGGTTGGGAAGATCCCCTGGAGAAGGGAAAGGCTACCCACTCCAGTGCTCTGACCTGGAGAATTTATGGACTGTATAGTCCATGGGGTCACAAAGAGTCAGACATGACTGAATGACTTTCACTTTCAAATAGGAATCATATAAATTAGTTCCCACTACCTTTTTAAAACAGCCTCCTCGTCCTAAAATTCTTGGTTTTTTTTCCCTTAATTTGTACATTGCAATTTTCCTGCCTACACATTTTTGTCCAGTTGTAACTGGGAGAGAATTTAGATTGAAATCTTCTCTTCCTGAAATTAACCTAGTAGCAGCTCAGAAAAGCTTCACCTGAAGTGATTTAATTACTAAGTAGCACATGTAACCCTACTTTGTCTTCAGCTTTTCATACAAACCCCAAAGTGGCTCTATAAGCACCAAGGGTGTTTCTACCTGTCCAGGCACTGCTGTTGGTCTGAAGCATCACTAAAAGCAGTTTTTCAGATTGAGCTCAACTCCATCATCATTTAAGAAAATGCTTTTTTGTACTTACTATGGATTTTGCCTGTAGTTCCTTATTGGAAATATTTTAAAAAATGTGTGGGGAAAAAAAAAACAAATGTGTGGCAATGTTTAAATAATGACAGAAGCAGACAGTCTGCCATCAACAAGTAATTTGTGGCTGTTTAGTTTGTTAGTGACTGGCCTGCTGTGAACAGGTTGTGTGTGTGGTGCTGCCGTCCTGCTGGGAGGGGTCCCCGCCTACCTGGGGCCTTCAGAACTGTATGCCTGCATCATCAGCTCATCTTCCTCCTCTCTGTGAAGCGGGATGTCACTTGTATCTGGTGGTCTATCCCTGCATTTTTGCACAGGAAGTAGCCATGGGTTTTGAAGAGTGATTCAGAATGAATAGTGGTATGTTGAGGTTCTTGGCCCAGGGTGTCAGGAGTGCAGTGTTAATATTAAATATGATTTAAGTCATATTTGTTTTTCCTGCCTCTTCACTACTTTGCAGTGAGTCCCTGGTGATGGGGCCTCTGAAGTCAGCTGCCTTCGATACCTTTCTAACACTGGTTCTCTTTCTCCTGCGTGCTAGTGACTCCCGGGCGCCCGCATCTGAGTACAGAGAATGGCTGATCACGATGGTGGGAAAGTGTGACCCTGGGGCCTATCCCCTCATGTTCAAGTACGTGGTGTTCTCATCCCTTTGTTCCAACTAGTTCATTCTTCTCAGAGTTGTACATTCACTTTGTGTCTGAGAAAATTTTGCCTTGTAGTGTCAATTTAACAAAAAATTTAAATTTTAAGTCATGGGAAGTTTGTTCTAATCAGACATTTCTTATGATTAAATCATAGAGTAGCTAATCGCACTGAAGCAGTCACATCTTTTAGGAAAAGAGAAAGTAAAGTGCCTGCAGATCTCTTAAAGTAAGTGCCTTTCTGACTTTAGACCTGTGGGGGAGGAGCAGGGGTGGAGCAGAGGCCACATTACCATCCCCTGTAGGCGGGCCTTCCTGAAGATGAGTACTGGCCCCGAGGCCTTCTTGGCCCTTCGCAACCACTTCACCACCTCCCACGCACTCCTGTGCGTCGGCCACTGGGTTCTGGGCATCGGAGACCGGCATCTGAACAACTTCATGGTGAGCCTGGAGACGGGCGGCGTGATCGGGATTGACTTCGGACATGCGTTCGGCTCTGCCACCCAGGTGAGCTCGCCCTGCTCTGTGCTGGGATGGACGTGTCGTCAGCTTTGTGACTCCTCTATGGACAGTTGGCCTGCTGTGATCATTAAAGTGGTCATTCTTGCAAAATGGGAGAGTCTCAGCTTTGTTTCAGCCTCCTTCAGGTGGTTGTAGACAGTGTGCTGATAGATTAATTACATCACTTGCTCCTGTAAAAAGGTCGGAGGCTCATCAGAATGTCTTGCGTGGATGAGATGCACACCTTTCTTGATGTCAGACTCCAGCTCTCCATTTCTGGGCCGTGTGGTTGCACGCACAGACCTTGTGGTTGCTCCTGGGCATGGTGACTTCACACACATGTGGCCAGTTCCAAGAAAAGGGGAGCAGGTGTGCTCTGCATGCATGAGCAACAGCTGCAGGAGGCCTCGCTCATCCACCGTGCATCTCATTTGTTCTTCAGGTTCTGCGGGTCCCTGAACTGATGCCTTTCCGGCTGACTCGCCAGTTCATCAACCTGATGTCACCACTGAAGGAGACAGGGCTCGTGAGCAGCGTCATGGTGTGCGCGCTAAGGGCCTTCCGCTCACGCGCCGACCTGCTCACCACCACCATGGATGTGTTCGTGAAGGAGCCATCCTTTGACTGGAAGGTGGGTGGTTCTCCCCACTTTGCAGCTTTGTTCCAGCGTGCTCATGACTGACCACCTCTTCTGTCTCCTGGTGGTTATGTGTTTACCAAAGTACTTAGCTGGTTCTGTACAGCTCTCAAAGTTAACATTTAGGATCATCTAGCTTGAAAATCAGACAAGAGACCTGCCTTTTATTTGGAGGACACTGTTAGACTTGAGAGTATTTGTAACCCTTTGGTGATAGGGTTTGGTTTCTTTTAGACAAGTTTTAGTTTTGAGTCTGTTCCACACAAGGTTAGCGTGCTTCTCAGCTCAGCCCCCCGGAGGAAGCGCAGCAGTGACACCTCCACAGGGAGGCCGCGGTAAGCCCAAGTGTAGACCCTCACGGTCACCATCACTGTCACATGTGCTGCAGGGAGAGTGTGTAAAAAGCTGCAGAGCCCTTCCCGGCCAGAGACTCGGTTTGTTTTGAGATCACTACCTGTTGGGTCTGTTTGAATGTGACCGTATGTACCATTAAGCAGAGAAAATCATGTTCCTTTCCCTCAGAATTTTGAACAGACAATGCTGAGAAAAGGAGGATCGTGGATTCAAGAAATAAATGTAACTGAACAAAACTGGTATCCACGGCAGAAGATTCATTATGCTAAGAGAAAGCTAGCAGGTGCCAATCCAGCAGTTATTACCTGGTAAGCATTTATTTGTGGAAAGACACACACACCAACATGCCGCTGTTCCCAGAAGAATCACTAAACATATCTGTGTGTATGTGTATGTACTCAGCCTGTGCCATCAGCCCATCACCCCCACTGACAATGGAGGGGTGCAGCATGCAGCGGCCAGCTCTCACTGCCCGGCTGGGTCCTGACTCTAAAACACGTACACACACGCCCCACACCCCGGTCAGCCCAGCAGCTCCCAACTCTGAAACCCACACTCACATCACACTATACAGGCACACACCGGTCAGCCCAGCAAGGTCCTGACTTAAACACACACAACACATACCACACACCCCTCCAACACACACACCACCCCCATCAGCCCAGTGAGGTTCTCACTCTGAAACCCACACTCACAGCACATGTACACACGCACACCCCACACCGCAGTCAACCCTGAAACACACACACAGACACATAGACACAGACAAAGACGCACACACACCAATCAGCCCGGGCCCCTCACCACACCCCCGGGCCACAGACACACACACACACACACACACACACCCCAATCAGCCCGGGCCCCCTCACCACACCTCCGGGCCACAGACACACACACACACACACACACCCCAATCAGCCTGGGCCCCCTCACCACACCCCTGGGCCACAGACACACACACACACACACACACACCCCAATCAGCCTGGGCCCCTCACCACACCCCCGGGCCACAGACACACACACACACACACACATACACACACACACACACCCCAATCAGCCCGGGCCCCTCACCACACCCCCGGGCCACAGACACACACACACACGCACGCACACACACACCAATCAGCCCGGGCCCCTCACCACACCCCCGGGCCACAGACACACACACACACACACACACACACACACACCCCAATCAGCCCGGGCCCCCCAGGCCACAGACACACACACACACCCCCCAATCAGCCCGGGCCCCCTCACCACACCCCCAGGCCACAGACACACACACACACACACCAATCAGCCCAGGCCCCCTCACCACAGTCCTGGACTATTCTATGAACATCTCTACCTGCATGAGGAGATGTTTTTAAATTTGCTTCTGTCTTTTCTCAGGACAAATGTGACCCTGGTGGCAGAGCCCTTGGGTGCACAGAGCATAGTGGCGGCTCATTAATATGTATGCAGATCAGGTTACCTTTAACCTAGCTTTCTTGTTTTTCTGGTTGAGGTCTACAAGAAATACAGATTTGCGGAAATGATTCACAAGAAAGAAAAAAGTTGGACTTTCCCGTTAATTGATAGTAAATGGTGACCGTGACAAAGATGCCAAGACCATTCAGTGGTCTTTCCAGCAAAGATCACTGAAAGGAATGAAGGTGGAACTCCCACCCCAAATGATATACAGAGTTAATTCAAAGAGGATCAAAGACCTACCTGTGAGAGCTAAAACTATAAAATCCTTAGAAGCAAACATAGGGGTAAATCTTTTGGACCTTGGATTTGGCAATGACATTTGACATTCTTAAGTCTAAAACCAAAAGCACAAACAAGAGAAGGAGAAAGAAAAGCATAAATTCATCAAAATTAAAAACTTTTGTGCCTCAAAGGATACCATCAGGAAAGTAAAAATACAGTCCACAGAATGGGGTAAGACATTTGAAAGGCATATAGCTAATAAGGAACTTGTGTATAGAACCTATTAAAAAATTCTTATAGCTGAATAATAAAAAGACCACCCAATGAAAAAAATGACCAAAGGACTTGAACAGACATTTCTATAAAAGAATATAAACAAATGGCCAATAAACAAATGGAAAGAATGCTTAAAATCATTAGTCATCAGATAAATGCAAGTGAGACTCCACACCCACTAGGATTGCTATTAATATAATCAGAAACTATAATATAACAAGTTGTTGGTGAGGGTGTGGAGACACCAAATCCCTCAGCTGTTGCTGCTGGGGATGTGAAATGGTGCAGCCCCTGTGGAAGACAGTCTGACAGTTCCTCAAAAAGCTAAACATGGGGTCACCGTCTGACCCTGTGTTCCATCCTAGGTAGGAACCCGAGGCAGTGAGAGTCCACACACCCACACTTGCAGACAGATATTCCCAGCAGTGTTCTGTTTTCCTTCAGATAGAATCTTGACTTCGAGGTCATGAGCAGCAGAGAGTATGCTGTGTGACCAATGGAGCGTCTGGTTTGGACTGGAGAAATAACGTGCAGTTTGTGTCTTTGTGTTGCTTGATCTTTTTTCCAGTGATGAGCTTCGGCTGGGCCACGAGAAGGAGCCTGCCTTCAGACACTACGTCGCTGTGGCACGAGGAAGCCAAGAGCACAGTGTTCGTGCCCAGGAGCCCGAGAGTGGACTTTCAGAGGAGGCCCAAGTGAGGTGCCTTGTTGACCAGGCAACTGACCCCAACATCCTTGGCAGAACTTGGGCAGGGTGGGAGCCCTGGATGTGAGATTCCCCTGGAGGCAGCAGACAGGACCCCTGTGTGTGTTTAGAGACCATCCTGAACTCTGATCCAAGCCACCAGTGACTTCATCTTCCCAAAGCCCCAGAGAGCAGGCGTCTGTGTGTGACTTCCTCTCATATCACAGTTTAATCCAGCTCGTGATGAAGTGAATGCCGACCCGGGAGAGGGACTAGGCCGTGGTCAAGGATGAGCTTAGGATCACAGTGGACGTAGAAGGGCGGGTGTATCCAGGCTCTTGTGAGCACCGGATCATGGCACAGCAAACAGGCGCTATGGCCGGATGAACATTAGTGATGTGTGTGAGCATCCCATGTGCCTTGGAAATTACACCCAGAAGACTTTGTCCCGCAGACTTTGTGAGAGTAACTGATGGGATGTTAGGTTGTATCAGCAGCGCAAGAATATGAACAGGTCAGGGTGCGGTTATGGCTTGTTATATTTACACATGATTGTGTAATGTGTGAACAGAAAGGATCTCTTTATTGTTGTCTGGAATTGTGGCACCATCTGTTACCCAGTGGCTTTCAGAAAATTGATAAATAAACACAAGGGAGTCAGAAATGATGTTCCCTCAATGCTATGAGAACTTTATAGATGTTTATCCACAGATTTTCTCCTTGATTGTGATTTGACATGATTGTGTTTGACATTTTAGAATATTTTTGTAGGTTTTCTCTTTCACATTTTTCTCCTCTAGCTTTGACATTTTATGATAGAATTGTCCTCTGGAAGGAAAAGTATTGAGGAGAGAGAAAGCCTTGGTCTTAGTTTTGCTACCTTCGCTACTCTGATCATAGCTGGAAGGTGGATACAAGAGCTTTGCATCCCAGACTCAGGAAGTCTAAAAGTAGGCCTGGCATTTGACATTCCCATTCAGAAGGAACATGAAGAAAACCCCTGCTTGAAGTGAGTCTTCCTTGGAGATAAAGCATGATTCTGGGGCAGCCGGGTCAGGTTATGAAATGCAGGATGGGAACAGCTTCCGGTCCACTCACCAAGCCTCGGTCCCCACGCCTCCCCAGCTGGAGCCTGTTTCAGGCTGACTTGAGCTTTGTGTTACAGCTTTCCAAACATTTCTAATCAGATACTCTTGGATGATTTGGGGAAATAATGAATCTTAGTGGCCCGACCAGGGATCAGATCCACATCCCCTGCATTGCAAGGTGGATTCTTTTTTGGGGGGAGAGTTTGGAAAACCATTTGTCCTTCAGTTTTATTTTCACTTTAATTATTGTGAAATAAGATTTAAGTGTGGACCATATTCTCCAATTCTAGCTAAAGAGATAAGCATGTTTGTATATGTGTGGACAAGCTTGTAGATTTCTAATTGTTGTCTCAGCACTTTAAATCACAACACTTTAAAGTCACAGGTCCCTCCTTGGAGAGATTAAGGGTTGTTCCCATTGCTGTTGGCCAGGATAATCATGGACTGACAGTGTAGATGAACAGAAAGGATCTCTTTATTGTTGTCTAGAGTTGTGGCACCATCTGTTACCCAATGGCTTTCAGAAAATTGATAAATAAACAAACACAAGGGAGTCAGAAATGATGTTCCCTCAATGCTATGAGAACTTCCTTACAGATGTTTATCTCCAAATTTTCTCCTTGCAAAATATTAGTTATAGAAAAACACACATGTATACCACATTCAGTTGTGAGGTTTTTGAGCTCTACCCTGTATACTTCAGAATCAGTCAATCTTTGGTTGTAAAAAAAAATGTAGGCAAATTGCCCTTAAACTTTGTTTGGCATCGTGAATTTGAAAATGGACTGCTGTTGTCCACCTGGACCTCTTGAAATGGAGTTCAGATCAGTGGTGTGCCAGAGCCCTCTTATTCCCACCCACAGGAGCAACATTCAGAACATCAGGAATTTTGCCAGCTAATTGTTAAGCTCACTCAGAAAGTCAGCAAGCACTACAGATCAGGGCTTCTGTTTATCAGAGAGTCTGTGCTCCAGTGAACAGCTGGCATCCACGGTTACGGTGCAGTCAGTCCACGCTTGTGTCCATCCAGCATGACGCCCGCAAGCTCCTGGATGCCAGTGTGTGGAGGTACGTCCTAGGTGTCTCCCGCTGTGTCTCCTCTCATCCTGCACCTCTCCCTGGTTCCTATCTTTATGGTCTTTGTCCACGATCACTGCCACTGCCTCCCAGCAGACTCTCTACCACTGGGGGGACTTCCCTGGTGTTCCAGGAGCCAAGACTCCATGTGCCCACTGCAGGGGGGACAGGTTCAAGCCCTGGTTCAGGGAACTAAGATTCCCACAGGCTGCACGGTGTAACCAAATAAATAAATAAGTAAATCTAGTACTAGAATATAGTTTAGGAAAGAACCCTGCTATCCTGGAATTGCAGAAAAGATAGTTATCTCGGACTATTGGGAAAAATTGCTATATAAACAGGGCACTTTTGATTGACTGTAAAGTAGGTGTGGTTTTTATAAAGTAGTACCCCCCAAAATTGTTCTACAGACTGAATCTATGACTGTAGAATTTATTTTCAAAACAGTTGGCCAGCGCTAGGTTACAGCCTGTGACTATGTGACAGTGACAGAAATACAACCACAGTGCTGCTGACCCTGTGAGTTTTGACCTCATGATTTTCCTGTTCTAGCCAGCTGATCAGGAGCAGTTTGTCGATGAAAATATCCCCCAGGGGGACTGCTCCCCTGGGGCATGGTTACACCCATCTCTTATCTTACTCTGCCCGAGCCTGTGCTGGGGGAGACCCTCCAAGCTGCCTCAGCACCAGTGTGCTATCACCCAGCCTGGTGTAAGTGTGTCCATAATTAACACTGGTTGTTGTCATTTTAACTTCTAAGTCATGTCCAATCCTTTTGTGACCCATGAACTGCAGCTCTTTGGGCTCCTCTGTCCATGGGATTTTCTAGGCAAGAATACTGGAGTAGGTTGCCATTTCCTTCTCTAGGGGATCTTCCCCACCCAGGGATCAAACCTGCCTCTCTTGTGTCTTCTGCATTGCCAGGCAGATTCCTTTCTACTGAGCTAATTAACAGTGTTAGATGTGCAGAAATACAAGAATGCTGCATTTTCTTCTTTATTTTTTTCCATTTTCACCATTTTTAAAAGTTTTTTATTTTTATTTTTTTAGGAAGTCCCAAAACAAGTCTTTTATTTTTTTTACTATTTTTTTTCATTTATTTTTATTAGTTGGAGGCTAATTACTTTACAATATTGTAGTGGGTTTTGTCATACATTGACATGAATCAGCCATGGATTTACATGTATTCCCCATCCCGATCCTCCCTCCCACCTCCCTCTCCACCCAATTCCTCTGGGTCTTCCCAGTGCACCAGGCCTGAGCACATGTCTCATGCATCCAGCCTGGGCTGGTGATCTGTTTCACCCTAGATAATATACATGTTTCAATGCTGTTCTCTCAAAACATCCCACCCTCGCCTTCTCCCACAGAGTCCAAAAGTCTGTTCTGTACATCTGTGTCTCTTTTTCTGTTTTGCATATAGGGTTATCGTGACCATCTTTCTAAATTCCATATATATGTGTTAGTATACTGTATTGGTCTTTATCTTTCTGGCTTACTTCACTCTATATAATGGGCTCCAGTTTCATCCATCTCATTAGAACTGATTCAGATGAATTCTTTTTAATGGTTGAGTAATATTCCATGGTGTATACGTACCACAGCTTCCTTATCCATTCATCTGCTGATGGGCATCTAGCTTGCTTCCATGTCCTGGCTATCATAAACAGTGCTGCGATGAACACTGGGGTGCACTAAAGTTTTTTTATTTTTTAAGTGAAGGATAACTGCTTTACAGAATTGTATTGGTTTCTGCCAAACATCAACATGAAAGCCACACAGCCTCATTAAGAACGTAAAATGTTTCTGAGTCTCCTGCAGGTTTTCTTCTCCGGATTGTAGAAGCTCGCTGTCAGCACAGCACTCTGGGCCTGGAGAGTTCAGAGAATCACTTCAGTAATGTGACAGCCTCGTCCAGTTAAAATGGAATTCGATGCCAGCTTCCCTTAGAGACATTCACTGAAACTCTGTGCATGAGCCATTCCTATTGTCACTTAATGTCTCTCATGTTTGCCAGCCAGTGACAGCATTGCTCAAGTTCATTAGGCTGGACTGGACTTCCCTGGGATGTGTGAAGCCTCCCACAGCTCATTCTGCATCTTGTTCTGAGCAGGGAGCAGCAGCCCGTGCCACACTGTTGGGGGCAAGAGCAGAGGTGGGTGGGGTCCGGGGCTGACCCCTGCAAGGTGGATTCTTAGCAAAGTGGTTTGATATTTAACAATAGTAAATCTCCCAATCCATGAACACAGTGTTTTCCCTTTTATTTAACTTCTTTCAGCAGCGTTTTGTAATTTTTACTAGTTTTTGTTGTTTCTACTCTTCAATTCTGTTTTTGAGACAAAGAATGGTATATGAAAATGACATACCGATATTTTCTGTAAAGTTCACGAAGGATATGTAGCCCAGGTAAGCCTGTACAAAGGAGAGCATGTCACCATGACCCCTTACAGAGCTGGGAAAGAACAAAGTTGTTTTAAGAAGTTACACTGCTAGCATCAGAAGGAAAAGAAACACTGATCTTGATGGCTAAGCAGGCACTCCACCTTGGAGGAGCTGTAGTTAATGTGTGATCAGACACACCCTACATCCCTCTATACACTAAAGGGACCAGAGGGAAGGAGGAGGCCTGAACAAAGAAATTTTTGTTTAATTTTTCTTGTCCTGCCTTCAAATAGAAATTTTTATTTCGTCACACTTTAGCGCCTGTATTAGAAAAGAAAGATTGCAAATCGGTAACCTAATGCTACATGTTTAGGAGACTAAGAAAGGAAGAGCAAACTAAACTTGGTGCCAGTAAAAAGAGCACAAAAGGAAGCAGCAAGCAAAACATTGATTCTTTGAACAGCTCATTGATAAACCTAGACTGATTCAGGAGAAAAAAACCCGCAAATATCTAATAGCAGAAATGAAAGTGGAGCGCAGAGCGGTTTGGTCGTTCGTTGGAAGGAGTTCTTCCGTTCGTTGGAAGTTTTTCCCGTAGCTGAGCTATTGGCTCTTTGCGCAGCAGCGGCGGTGCGGCAGTTGGAGAAGCGGCCTAAAACTTCGGCGCTGGGTAAAAGAAAATGGCTCGAACCAAGCAAACAGCTCGTAAGTCAACCGGTGGGAAAGCGCCCCGCAAGCAGCTGGTCACAAAAGCAGCCAGGAAAAGCGCCCCCTCTACCGGCGGGATGAAGAAACCTCATCGCTACCGGCCCGGGACTGTTGCGCTTCGAGAAATCCGTCGTCACCAGAAATCCACCCAGCTTCTGATCCGGAAACTGCCTTTCCAGCGGTTGGTGAGGGAGATCGCCCAGGATTTCAAGACCGACTTGCGGTTCCAGGGTGCCGCCATCGGTGCGCTGCAGGAGGCTAGCGAAGCCTACCTGGTGGGTTTGTTTGAAGATACTAACCTGTGTGCCATCCACGCTAAGAGAGTAACCGTCATGCCCAGAGACATCCAGTTGGCTCGCCGGATACGGGGAGAGAGAGCTTAAGTGAAGGAGGTTTTTATGGTGTTTAGTAGTAAATTCTGTAAAATACTTTGGTTTAATTTGTGACTTTTTTCTTTGTAAGAAATTGTTTATAATATGTTGCATTTATACTTAAGTCGTTCCATTTTTCACTCAAGAAGAAGGCGAAAAGTGACTGTTCACAGACCTCAGTGATGTGAGCACTGTTGCTGAGGAGTAACAAGTTGCTAATATGCAGAAGGGATGGGTGATATTTCTTGCTTCTCATGATGCATGTTTCTATATGTTAATGATTTGTTGTGTAGCTATTAAGGTACTAGAATTGATAAATGTGTGCAGGGTCCTTTTGCAATAAAACTGGTTATGACTTGATCCAAGTGTTTAACAGTTGGGACTGTTAAGTCTGACCATACATCACTGTGATAGAATGTGGGCTTTTTCAGGAGTGAAGATACAAGTCTTAACCACAGTGTAACTTAACAGTTTCCTTTAAAAAAAAATGTAAACCTGGCAGCTATAGAATACACTATGTGCATTTACAGTAGCTATTTTGTATATTGTAGTGTCAACATTTTAAAATTAAATGTTTTACATTGACATGTGCTGTGGAGTGTTGTCTTTAAGGTGTGTGTAATTGAGAGACCGATAGGCTTTCTCCTGAGTAGACTGCACTTGTTTATGTAATAAAATGCTTTGCACATTATGCCTTGTATAAGTCCTTGTTCTACACGTTAAACTAACCGTCTATCTGATAATGCAAACTCTAACAGGGAGGGGGATTTATTTATAAGGGCTCTAGACTATAATACAAGTTATTCATACCAGCATCATCTGTTACTAATATAGTAGTTAGTGCAGCTTTTCTTTTCGTTGTGATTGGTCTCATAACTAGGTTGAACTTTTCTCTACCAAGGAGGAACAATACCAAACTTTTTTTCCTTGTGGGGTTTGTATTATAATAACTATTAGGGTAAACTTGCTTTGGGGGAGGGACACAGCTTCAACTTATGGAACCTCTGCCAGTTAAAATGGTGTTCATGTGGCATAGGTTCTAGGAAAATCACTTCATAGAGATGGCTTTCCAAGTGGTTTTAAAATTTATCCTTCTATTGAAGTTTTTAGCTCAATTATGTATGTTGACTAAATTTACAAATAAACTTGCTTATTCAAAAAAAGAAATGAAAGTGGAGACATCAACCTTACAGAAATAAAAATTCCTAGAAATATAAATTGCCAAAACTGACTCAAGAAATAGAAAATCTGAACAGATCTGCAATGAGAATTAGTAATTAAAAATGAACCCCAACCCCCCACCCCCGCCAAAAGAAATGGACAGTATACTGGTGGATTCTACCAAACACTGAAAAAGGAGTTAACACCAATCCTCAAATGCTTCCCAAAAATGTCAGAAACGGAAAAACTCCCTAACCGATTCCAGGAACCTAGCATTACCCAGATATCAAAGCCAGAGACTCTATAAGAAAACAGTAGACCAATATCCCTTACGGACACTAATGCAGAAATCCTCGATAAAACACTCGGAAATGGAGTCCAGTAACACTAAGGATTACTCACTGGCACATGGTAGCATCCCAGCACTGCAGGGTTGCTTCAGCATCTAATGCCCATTGTTGCAATGCACAACATTAATACACAAAGGAAAAAAAGTTTCATCTCAATGCAAAAAGTATTTGACAGATTCAATACAGTTTCACCAGTTTCACGATAAAAATCACACAGCAAACTGAGACTAGAAGGGAACTTACTCTCCCTGACAAAGGACATTTATGAAAATCCACAGGTAACATTCTACTCATTGGCGAAAGAGAAAACGTTCCCCTGAGGTCAGGATCAAGAGAAGGATGCCCACTTTCACTACTGCTGTTCAACACTGCTGATGTTCTAGTCAGAGCAGTCAGATGAGAAAAAGATTCAAATTAGGAAAGAAGAAAAAAAAATCAGACGACTAACAGACAACATGTCCTATATACAAAAAAATCCCAAAGATTCACAAAGTACTGGAGATTGTAAATTAATCCAATGGTAATTAACTGTTCTTATCCTCTTCAATGCATCTGTTCTCAGATTGTTTGCTCCAGAGAAGTGATGGAACTTCTGCTGGAATCAGGACTCCAAAAGAGGTACCCTTATCAGTGGGTGATTGTCCAAATATTTACTCTTTGGGAGGATAACAGTAGAAAACTCTTATTCTACCATCTTGCTGACATCACTCTCCTACATAGCTCTCTTGAAAAGGTTTCAGCATATAACTCAGCAATGTAGTACATGCAAGGTACACTTCTGTACACAGTTTCATAGGTATATAAGCATAACCAGTAACATGTACCTTATAGTGTTTCAGCATATTTCAATTATAAAACTTGTACATGTATAGATACAGTAAAAGGATGAATGTGCAAACATATAGCTAAAAACAATTTTTAATTCCAAAAAATAGTATACACCTAGGTTGTTTAAACACAGAGGTTTAGTACACATCAGTAAAATAGGAAGTAAGTAACTCACCCTATTGAATACATTATGTGCAGTTTTTCATATACCTATATCTCAATAAAGCTGGGGGAAACAAAGTATGTTTCACACATATACTTCTTTCCATAGTAGCGCACCCACCAGTTTTACGTACACTGAATTATGATACACCATTTAATAAAGGGGCAGCCATGCCATGCATATGTAAACACAATGTTTCTAACATCTTAATACTGATGAACACATGCCTAACACTGTTAAACACACTGTTTCACCAAACACCATTCAAAGGTCAGAGTAAGACTTAGGCGCAGAGTCCGATTTAGAGTCAGACTAAATGTCAAGGTCAAAATTGGATTTGGGGTGCTTGCAGTGTGTGGCCCAAGGTCAGCTTCAGGGTCATTATGAGGGTAAAGGTCAGGGACAATCGGGAGGAATCAAGCAGCAGATGAGATTCAAGCTCATACGGTCAGGACAGGTTCAGAGTCTGGGTGAGGACAAGGGTCAGAGGTGACAAGATGTTCATTGTGAGGTATATGGTCATCAAGATCTTCATGGTTAGGGTCAAGATCATGGCAGTAGGGTCAAGGTCATGGCAGTATTAAATGGCAGAATTAATGTCAAGGTTAAGTTTAGGATGGGCGCTAGATCAGGGTCAATGTCAAAGTTATGAGGAAGGTTCTATTCAGTATCAGGGTGATTATCAGGGTTAGGAAGATGGTCAAGATCTAGCCCAAAGTGAGTGTGAAGGTCATAGGGTCAGGGTAAAGGTCAAGTTCTGGTCTGTATGAGGATTGAGGTCAGTTTCATGTTAGGGGTGTGTATAAGGGTGATGGCGTCATTGACTCAGTGGACATGAGTTTGAGCAAACTCCGAGAGATAGAAGAGGACAGGGAAGCCTGGCATGCTGCAGTCCATGGGGTGGCAAAGAGTAGGACACAACTGACCAACTGAACCACAGCAACAAGGGAGAAGGCTCAGTCATGGTAAATGTTAGATTCACTTATGGTGGACGAGGGTGTATATTAGGTCTGTGTAACAAATTGACATAAACTAGTTAGCTTAAACCAAAAGAAGTGTATTCTCTCACAGATGTCACAGATGTCAGAAGTCTGAAATCTAGGTGTGGGCGGGGCCGTACACTCTCCAAATGCTCCAGGGGAGGTACCTCCTTGGTCTCTTGCAGTTTCTGGTCCCCTTGCAGCTCCTGGGCTTGTGATGGCATCACTCCAGTCTCTGCCTCTGTCTTCATGTGCACTTCCTCCATACCCGTGCTTTCTCCTTTTCCATGTTTTAACATGTATCACTGAACAAACTAGTACATGCTCCACCCACAATGCAACGGCATTCAGCATATCTCATCTCGATGTCCTTAATTCTGCAAAGGCCCTATTTCCAAGTAAGGTTACATTCACAGGAACTGGTATTAGAACTTGGATACCTGTTTTGGGGACTACTATTCAAGCCAGCGTAAGGCCAAGGTCAGGAACATTTAGGGTCAGACTCATGGTCAAGTCTCATACAGGCTTAGGTTAGCTTCAAGGTATAGCCAAGAGTAAGGATTAGCATGTATGAACATTCAGTTCAGTTCAGTCGCTCAGTCAAGTCTGACTCTGCGACCCCATGGACTGCAGCACGCCAGGGTTCCCTGTCCATCACCAACTCCTGGAGCCTACTCAAACTCATGTCCATTGAGTCAGTGATGCCATCCAACCATCTCATCCTTTATCGTCCCCTTTTCCTCCTGCCTTCAATCTTTCCCAGCATCAGGGTCTTTTCCAATGAGTCAGCTCTTCGCATCAGGTGGCCAAAGTATTGGAGCTTCAGCTTCAGCATCAGTCCTTCCAGTGAATATTGAGGACTGATCTCCTTTAGGATGGACTGGTTGGATCTCCTTGCTCTCCAAGGGACTCTCAAGAATCTTCTCCAACACCACAGTTCAAAAGCATCAGTTCTTCGGTGCTCAGCTATCTTTATCGTCCAACTCTCACATCCATACATGACTACTGGAAAAACCATAGCTTTGACTAGACAGACCAGACATTGACTAGACTAGACATTACTCTGTGGGCAAAGTAATGTCTCTTCTTTTTAGTATGCTATCTAGGTTATAACTTTCCTTCCAAGGAGCAAGCATCTTTTAATTTCATGGATGCAGTTACCACATGCAGTGATTTTGGAGCCAAAAAAAAAATGAAGTCTGCCACTATTTCCATTGTTTCCCCATCTATTTGCCATGAAGTGATGGGACCAGATGCCATGATCTTAGTTTTCTGAATGTTGAGCTTTAAGCCAACTTTTTCACCTTCTTTTACTTTCATCAAGAGGCTCTTTAGTTCTACTTCACTTTCTGCCATAAGTGTGTCACCTGCGTATCTGAAGTTGTTGATATTTCTCCCGGCAATCTTGATTCCAGCTTGTGCTTCATCCAGCCCAGCATTTCGCATGATGTACTTTGCATGTAAGTTAAATAAGCAGGGTGACAAAATACAGCTTTAATGTACTCCTGAACATTAGGATTACAATAAGGC